TACGCAGGGAAGGAGCTCCCTCACCCATACCATCCCGCTGACCGTTCACTCGGATGGGACGTTTGTCAAAAGGTACTTATTTGATATTCGGTTGTCCTCCCCTCCACCGAGCACCGCTAGAATACCCGCCAATGTACGTTTTGGGATTTCGCTGGTCGTCTGCTTGGTGATACCCAGCGTTCCGTTGTTGTCATTATGAATGACCAGCAAAGTATGCGGGTTAATCCTGCCTGTCTCCTATGGAGATAATTCGTTTGATAATTGTCGAAAGGTCGAGACTCTCGCAATTGGCTTCTAATTGCTCGAGATTTTGGAGATGTCATGTCAATGGTAGGATCTTAGACGCCTCATATGGGTTTGGTGCCCATGAGTTTTCGGTCTGACTTTACACCCGCGGGTAATACCATGTGGTAACCTGGGACTTTTCTGGAGTTGGATCCGAGTCCAGCGCTTTAGGAAGCGTGTGAGAAATCCTTATAGCACGTGCTGATGCATCACGGGTCGCAACCGTTTGCTGAAAGCCTGACGGGTACGTGGCGGATCTGCTGAGCTAGACCTCCCTGGAGGAGTCGCGACTCTCGGGTCGGTGTTCGGTGAGGTAGTGACGCCTCGTTTTTTTATAACCCCTGGGCTCCCCCGGGGGAATTTATTTTAGTTGAGGCCATAGCTGCTCGCTGGATGGTGAATCACGTTCATTTCACCTTGGTGACGACCTTGGTGATTGTTCTGATCTGTAGTTCTATGGCCCCTTCAGCGTCCGTTGAGAACCATAACTGGTTTTCGATGTACGCTGAAGGGGTCATATAATTGGAGCTCCGAACGTCACCAGGTCTCAATGACACAGAACCTTTTTTGCCATGTTTCCAATTTGAAAAAACCGCCCATCACAGCTCTCGCTCGTTCTTAGATTAGTTAAATTTAATCAACATGTTTTCCATTTCAACCATTCTATTCTACGTACTCTTTAGATGTTTTAAGTTTGACTAAGAGTATTCAAATCCAAGTACTGTGCGATTTTTGTTTGAAATTTCTCACCTGGGTTCGATACCGCTCTCCGAACTCCCATGTTTTTCAATGGAATAATGACTGCCTCCACAGCAGTTCTTATTCATTTGATGTTTGAGCCACCTAAGAGTGGCCTTTGATATTGGAAACTCGCGTTTACTATCTAGGATGTATTGGATTGCCTTTCCCGTAGTCGAATGCATGGAGATAACCAACAGGTGGCATGCCAAAAAGAAAAATGACGAGGAAAATCTCGCGTCATACTTCTGAATTTCATTGTCCATATCGATAATTCTCGTACTTGTCAATCATAGGTCTTAAGCATAAACGGCATATCAATTCTCGTTGTTCTCATTGATTAAAAACACATCTATATAATGCAATGCAAGCCAACCGCAAGTCGGTCAACAGTTGGTATATCTAAATCTAATCAAAAATGCAGGCCTTCATAGAGTTCGGCTGAATATACTCGGAAGCATTGCGGAAGCTGGTGAAACCCCAACGAATTTGGGCAGCCATAGCAATCTCAACATCCAAGTCCTTAGCAAACTGCCAAGCGAGACCGGTATCGCGTTGGAAGGCACGACCAACAAGAATGACATCAAGATCGTCCTCGTTCAAAATCTTCTCTCCCAGGTTTCCGTTGTTGATCATACCAACAGCAGCAACAAGCAACTTATCACCAACAGCCTTCTTGACAGCGGTAGCAAAAGGAACCTGGAAACCAGGACCAGAGGTGATCTTCTGAGCAGCATGCACACCACCGGTACTGATATCGATAAGATCAATAGCACCCTGAGCAGCAAGCGCACGAGCGAACTCAATCGTGTCCTCAAGCTTCCAGCCCTTCTCAGCCGGGAGGCTGTTCTCAAGCCAGTCGGTAGCAGACACACGTAGGAAGACGGGAACATCGTCACCGACAGCGTCACGGGTTAACTGAGCGATTTCTAAGGGCAGACGAATGCGGTTCTCGAAGCTACCACCGTAGTTATCGGTGCGCTGGTTGGAAGAGGGGCTAAGGAACGAGGAGAGGAGGTATCCGTGAGCGTTGTGGATCTCGATGAAATCACAACCAGCAGCGATGGCACGCTTAACAGCCGCAACCCAGGCAGTCTTGACCTCAGCGATATCATCCTGGGTCATAGCAATGGGGATAGGATCACCCTCGGCGAAGGGAATGGCGCTGGGAGCCTTGATGTTATCGGTCCAACCACCGACAGAGTTGTTCGCGACAACGCCGCCAAGCCAAGGTGGCACGGTTGACGCCTTGCGGCCGGCATGTGCGAGCTGGATACCGATTTTCTGGCCCTGGCTGTGTGCAAAATCAACGACCTGCTTAAGTGGCGCGATCTGCGAGTCCTTCCACAGACCCACGCAGCCGGGAGTGATGCGGCCCTCGGGGACAACACCGGTTGCTTCGATGATAATTTGTCCAGGTCCGCGCTGGGCAATGGCGCCGTAATGCGCTATGTGCCAGGCGGTCATGTGGCCATCATCGGCACTGTATTGGCACATGGGCGCCATCTGGAGGGTTATTGTTAGCTGTGTGAGCATGCAAGGAATTGGAGAGAATTGCGTACACCAAGGCGATTTTGGAAAGTCACGCCTCTGACGGTGAGAGGCTTGAACAGCTTGGGAATGGGCTTTCCGCTCGTTTGGGGAGTGCGAGCTGTGCCTGCCGGGGGGCTCTGGGCAGGGGTGTAGTATGAGATGCCCTCGGCGGGCTTAGCGGAGACGTCGGGCCAGGTCATTATGATGGTTTTCAGGTCTAAATTCTATTATATGGGTAGTTAATTCCATCTTGAAAGGACAGGGGTGGCTTGATTTATGTACTGATCTACAGTGGGGAAGTTGAGGAGTGATTTATCATCGAAATTTTCGGACAGGCATTAATCATCTGATCTGGAGGCGAATAAATCACGAAACCTCCACCGGACTATATATTCCGCCCTAGAATGCTCCCACTTTTTGATATATGGTTCCATTTATAAGGATGTTAAGCAAAATGGTCCTGTAAGAAAACACGAAAAGTCGCCGAGTGAGATCCACGCGGTTGAATTAGGACCCGATTTCGGGATCCACTCAACCTCGGCAGATGGAATGTTTATATAATGTATCCGACAGGGGTCGAAGGCAAGTCCGGATGGTTCAAACTTTCAAAGTTTAAGTTTATTTCCACCCATACTAGAAATATTGGGTGCGGCACTTTCAAGTGATGGTGCTGTAGATATGACAGGATGACTCCACAATCAGATACATGTATATAGCATTATTTGACGATTGATATTTTTCCAATACTCATATCTATCTGGCGGTAGGATAGACTTAAAGAGTTCTCGCCACTCTAAATCGAGCGCTGGCCATCGTAACGCGAAGTGGGTACTCCCTCTCCGGTACTTTATGCAGCACCCCAGTCAGTGATCCCAGTGATTTTTCCCCCTCTATAATGATGTCATACTGGTCCAGGTCGCTATGAGTAAGTATTTTGACCCCTCCTTGATCGGTTCCAGGCACGATGAGTACTTCTGCAAATAGAATATCCGTCTCTGTCTCAAGCTTTAGATTGGGTCTAGACTTTTTCATAGCCTCCGCCATTCCTTTATTGAAGTCATTACGGGAAGCAAATGACCCATAGTTGTAGACTTCGTTCTCCCAGGGATGTTGGAAAATGATCTCCTAGTAATGGCCATTATCGACAGTCCCGAAAAATGACCCCTCGATTTGTCACTATTGCTGTAAATAGCTTTGTAGCTCCTGTGCAATGGACCCTTTCAGCGCTAGGGGTAACTTTGGCCAGCTTTCACCGATCTGGTAGCCGTGTATTTTCACCAAGATAAATCCAGTCTCCTCAATCATGTAAGCATTGGGGACCTGGACAACCGAGACTTGAGGTTTGATTCTTGACCATAATAATAGCCTCCACCTCTCCTACCTGAACTCTTCGTCCGACTCTGAGAATGGTGGAATCATCAAGCTGTAATACAGCCGTTGAGTCGATTGGGGCAAATATCCATGCCCTCTCAGATCCGTTGTACCGAAACAAGTGGTGGCGGATTGTCTCGCCGAGAGGGAGTGAACTTTACCTCGACGGCTGAGTCCGTAAGATCGGCTGAGTTAGGATGATCAGAGAAAGGCCGTGCTAATGAAATATGGGAAGACAGAGCCACTCACTGCCTCATAACCAAGTAGCTTCCAACATCTCAGCATCCTGGGTCATATTGCTCTTTGTCAAATATGCGTTGTAACATGTGATAAGATCGCGGTAACTAGTAGTTGGTCTCGAAGCTAAAATAGCGTTTTTTACTGTGTTTACGATTTGGCACCTGTAACGGTCGAAAATGTTAATGAGTGTTGCGGCCAGGTGATATCCATGAATGTTTGGTCTCGAAAGAGAACTCGGGAAAGTTGTACCTGGCGGGGAAGCCTTAAACTCTAAGTTTGAGCTTATTTAGACCCTTTCCCCAGGAAACACCATCCTGTTTAGCGATTCAAGGCCTCGAGGATAGACAGCTACTATCCACAGTAGTTAATAAGACTCAGCCGTCTGTAATCTCTAGGCAGAAACGCATAATACTCAGGCACTAACACTTGATAGCCCACATTTCCCTTTAGGAAGTACATGTTTCCCAGGTTTCTATAAGTTTCAGATCAACACCTTTCTGCCAACCGACAATCCCCCCAGTGGCTGAGTGGATTCGCACGGCTTAAACATGCAGGTAACCCCGGCTTCTGGCGTTTGATCTGCTCGAATATAAAAAGAAAGAAAGGGGAAAAAAGCCAAAGCCAAAGAAAAATGCTCCCAAGATGGGCATACCCCGGGCACGGACTGGCTGGGATTGTCAGTTTTTGTATTTCTTTTTATTTTGGATATGTTTCTCATCAATGTCCTGTCCGTCTCTGCGAACCTGCGACATCAGAATCCAGAGAAACTTCACTCGGATCTGCAGTATGGCGACGAAACCTTTCCTTCCCTGTTTTTGATCCAGCTATCGGCATCAACATCCGGGTCCCCCATCCACTGCAACTAAATCAATACCCAGAAATACACAGAGTCGTTCATACTTTGAATACAACTCCAGATACAGCTGCCCCGCGAAAAGGTTGAGCTCCATCCGTAGCGTATCGGGAATCTCGATAGCAGCTGTGCCCTCTGGGATGCTGTACAGAGAGAGCTTGTCGAGCTAATCGAACGAATAGCTCTGCCCGGGTGCATACTGATGGAGGGTCACCGTAGTTGACTGCCAGATGGCCGGAAGAAGGCAGCAGGCCTCGTACGGACTGATGATGATCATTTTCTTGACAGTCAGTGCGCCGCCGAATGGCCAGGGGGGTGATCTCAAAGCCATCGCACTGGTCGCTGAAAGGACCCCACAAGCTTCCTGGTAGCCTGTCGCTGCCACAGAAACAGTCTTCGAAAAGGCTGCGGTTATAAGAAGCCAGGTTGGGAAGTTGCCCAGCTTTATGCCCGAAGCAAATGATGTTCCACACAACGGTTAGAAAGCTGACTTATAAGCACTGGAGGACTTTTCAAGCTCCCCAGTGCTTACAAATCCCACAGATCCTCGTGAATTCGGTGCTTATTGGGAGTCACCATTGGAGGTCTCTGCACTTGCCGTTCGAACTCCGACTCCGGGGCGACTTTGGAGCTTGCTAACCCAGATGATGTGAGCGCTGTGCTAATTGACAATATGCCCAGGAAATACGGAAACTCGATACTCTAAGAGGCATGTGCAACAGCTCAAAATGCGCTGGGTCATTTCCCGGGACGCTGTCTACATTGATAAGGCGGATGGAAATTCGATCAGTTGAGACTTGAGAAAATACCGTACACGAACTTGCAAATCCCCCTGAGAACCATGTCTCTGAACGCTTACATGAAGAATTCGTCACTACTCACTACATTGAAGAGAGAGACTTTCATCATCGAAGAGATGTTCGTCAGGTGGATGTTCTCGTCGACAAAGTCAAGTGCGGCTAAAATTCTAAGATGGCGCGACCGCCTTTGACAAGTTGACACTATGGATACTCGTCGAAAGTCACCAGATACCATCTTAGATTTCATAGAATAGGGATCCAATCGGATGTCGAGGAAGTGGTTCCGCTTACAATTTACAGCCAGTTAAGGTTAGCGTTGTTAACGTTCACACCATGGCGCGCACTGATTGGTTCTCGGCAGCAATAGTCTTCAGGTAGATAGTATAAATAGACAGAGTAAGTTCTAGAAGAAAATGGGGCTTGTAGATGGCCCTGAATGCATTCATGCCCCTTAATTTTTGGATGGAAGGTTTTTCTTTAAAATCCTAGGAAAAATCCGTGAAAAATCCAAGACAACTTGTTTCGCAGTATTGTTGATAATCACATATATAACCTTGGAATATGCAACAGAATCACAATCACACAACTCAACAGCACAAATTTCGCTTCAATGTTTCATGACAATGTCTATGATGTTGAGGAACTTTCCCCCAATGATCGTTCCCTCTTTGCGCAGAAATACCGGGAATATCTCCGCTGTATAGCGCAAGTAGCAATATGGACCACCTACATCTACTTTGCAGTGCGGTTGTTTTTCACTTTGACAACTCTTGACCGAACATGGAAGATGTGGATAATTATTGGAATTGAGGGTTTATTTGGTCGTAAGTTGTCTTGTAATAAAGAACACCGAGCAGCCGCTGATCTAGTTAGACATATCCCTGAACCACCAACGCCTGTCCTTAGCCGCAACAACAAAGTCCCCACACCGGACACCCCGCAGGAGATTACACGGCAATGAGAACCTGCCTAGAGTCGATGTGTTAGTAACATGCTGCGGAGAGCCAGTCGAAATCATCTTGGACACAGTCCGAGCAGCCTGTGCTTTAGACTACCCAGCTTCGCGGTTTCGAGTCCGGCTTCTGGACGACGGGGGATCAATTGACCTGCGCGACGCGATTATGAGGCTCACCACGCAATGGAATCACCTATCCTATCACACCCGTGGCAAGCAGTCTGGGAAATCCTTTGCCAAAGCGGGCAACCTCAACTACGCCCTGTTTTCCCTACAAACCGAAGACCCACCAGAGTTCTGCACAGTCGTCGACGCCGACTCCATCTTGATGCCGGAGTTTCTGCGTGCAACGCTGCCCCATCTACTTGCAGACCCGGAGGCAGCATTGCTGACCACGCGACAATATTTCTATAATCTACCCCGTGGTGATCCCCTCTCCCAGTCGCGGGCTTACTTCTACACATGTGAGAATGCAGAACTCAATCTTCTCGGTCATGCACTGGACGCGGGATCAGGCGCAGTCTTCCGTCGTGACGCAATTCTCGATGCAGGTGGATATCCGACCTATTCATTCTCGGAGGATTGGCAGCTGTCGTTGATCTTACGAGGGCTGGGGAAGCGGACGATGCAGATACAAGAGGTTTTACAATTTGGTCTCGTTCCTACCTCCCTTGCTGGGCATCTCAAACAGCGGAATCGATGGTACATTGGACACTCTCAACAGATTTCTGTGATGTTCCCTTCTGTCAATAAGGCAATTCCAGAGCATCTGCGTTGGGATATTGCCCTTGGAGGACTGTTTATCATGACAGGTCTTGTAACCTATTCAATCGGATTTGTTGCTCTGCCCTTTCTTCTTGTCTCTGATGGTGGATTTATACCTGCTGGATCGTCGTTGGAAGTCAAGATCCAGCTTGTTTTGGGCATTGCGCATGTTGCATCTACATGGGCATATGATTGGGCTCGAAGTGCACATGCGGGTGTTCCATTTGCACCATTTGCACACGCGGAAAATAGTTGGCTTGCTACCGGTAAGATTGACTGCAAATTTACATATCTCTTATGGAACGTGAAGCTTGATCCTAACATATTTCTTTAATAGCCCATTTGTACGCCGTTGTACGATTCCATTTACTTGGAAGCAAGCCAAAGGGATCTTTTGTTACTGGAAGCACCGCCAATTCGAATGGGAACGCCGCATCCGTCTCGCGATTCCAAAAGGCATATAGAGATACTCTTCAAAGTGGTGCTTTGTTGAACATTTGTCTTTTTATTTTGACTATTGGAGCCATGGTCTTTGCTACCTGGGTGGCTATCTCCGGAGATGGACCAGTAATTCCTAAACTGCTTACTACAGTTGCTTGGCCGCCGTTGCTACACTTGTGTTTTTTGGCCATTGTCAACAATTGGGTGCCTATTGCTCATCTTTTCAATTCCCCAATATATCACCCCAGAGACACTAGATTTATCACCACTGAGAAGGGAATATCGTGCCTACGAACGGAGGTTGAAGATGAACTTAGCTCTGAAAAGTCTTTCCTCGGTCTCTGCTGCACCTTTGTGGTGCCGATTGTTCTTTTGGGGGCGCTTGTGGGTGTTGTGATATCATAAGAATTGTCTCCTCGGGTTTAGATTGTATAATATTTTCCTGAAGTTGGTAATTGAGGGGAAAAAATCGAGACAATCTCACAGAAAATGTCTTGTGAGACATGGCTTTTCACAACAATCTTATGCAGCCGCTTTCCTTGCCTAGTGCTCGGACATAAGAGTTAATAGTCGGATTTGGTTGTTTTAGCATGTTATTAGAGACCCCGTCTATTTATGTCCCAAGACTTCTTCCTTTTGGTTTTCTATTAGTGGTTCTACGTAATAGTGTGCTGTCGGTGCCCTAGTATTCTCATCGTGTCTTCTTCGTATCTTCGTCCTATTCTCGCGGTGAGCTCGTGGTGTTCTTGTAGTGTCCTCGCTGTATTTTCGTCATGTCTTCGTAGAATGTTTACCATATTTTGGTTATATTTTCGCCATATTCTCGCCCTTCCTCGCGGTGCCCTTATAGTTAGTGTTTTAGTGGTGTCCTTATCAGTATTCTCTCTCACTTTCTAGCCAGAACAAAAGACCGTAACTATATAGCAAGACACCCAAAGTCATAAGTAAATCTTCTATTAGTAGAATAAATGTGATTAATTACCACATTGACATACTAATCCTAATATAACTACCGTAATACTTCGTAAAGTATTCAGCATTCCTTGGCTAACGCTAACTGGAATACTTAGGAATTTCATAAAATGCTCGAGAACACCCTGTGTACAATAAACAATTGATAGCAAAGCTCATAGGAGAAAATATTTCTTATACAGCTATGGAAATAAGAGAAAAGTTTTCTAGCACGGAAGAAGGCCCTGACAGACGGTTAGGCAGAGACACCCCAACAAGAACCTTCTCGCCTCCGTTCACGAAATTGCCATGCTTTTAATAACAAGGGTAAATGTTGCCTCATTCAGCACGGGCAAGAAGTTTCGAGATGGAAATCTTCTTACGTGGAACTAGTTTACCTAGAACGTTTGGAATATAAGATGGAAATCCCGCGTTGATCTGCCCCAGAATCCCCCAGGACTGCTCCGCGTCGGCATCATATCCATAGATAGGCAAAAGTTTCACTCAAGGTTATTGTGTTTTGACGGCGTAATTCGAACCTTCTTTGAAAACGATCACAGAATGAGGATGTAGTAGTGTGCGCACTCCTCGAATCTCTGCTCTCAAGGTCTTCAGATCGACGAGGCTTATTTCCAACCTCCATCGTGTTCCTGGGAGAACGACCTATCCACCGGAAAAGCAGTGGCTTCCATTTTTAACATCGGATCCTCTAGAAATTTGTACGGCCGGGAGCTCAGAATTTCCATTGCCAAAACTCTTAGTTCAGTGGGAGCCCCACAAAATGTCTCTTTCACTTCACTCTCGTTTGCCTTTTGGTGACACAGAATTCATATCACCACCAAAAGACGGTACCTCAATATCAATTAGATGGTTGGGATCTGACTCGTTCGATGTCGGTCGATTTTGGCTCCCCATGTGGTAGCATATGATATTCGTTGAGCTTGTCATGACAAGGCATTTGCTTGATGGTTGCTTTGTCCCTTTGGGGGGCAACGTGCTGAGTCTTAATGTGACGAAAAAGCTCTTTCCCTGAGAACTCAGAATTTTTCCAGTTGCAACCTTTCCAACGGCATTGGTAGTAATTCGGACTATGACTAATTAACTCATGAGATATAATTAGATAAGTGTGCCCAAAGCCGGCGCAATTCTATCAACGCATATATTGTTAGAGAACTTACTCGGACTTCTTCTTTCCATCATGGGATGACGATCCCCCTTCCAAATAGTTGGTATGATTTTTCGCATCAAATAGAGTCCCAGTAAGCTCTTTAGCCTGCCGGCTGTCGGGGGCATTGCCTGACATGCCATCACTGTGAATTTCATTCGACGTGACAGCAGAATGCTCTGCATTGGTCTCCCAAGTTACAGCTCCATAAGGCAAGGGACTGGATGTACCCGGAGTCTCCTCAGTTTGTCCAAAGAACGATGGTGGAGGCCCCGGGGCCATATAATCAGGAGGCGAATGGTTTATGCTCAACGGCAAATCTTGTACGTATGAAAATTCATCATCAAGATTGGTCCCATCTATCATTAGAGACAGTCCCCTAATCCTATCAGTACTTAGTGTGCTTTCATCTCTGAAAGCTGCCAAAGATGCACCATTGGATGCTGTTACAGAAGAAGCTTCTTCGCCTGGAGTTGCGCGTGGAAGAACAAACAGCGCCAGCTGTTCCATGTGATGTCCAACATGTCGATCAAAAGTGACTGGTGGATGAAGTGGAACTTGGCAAAGAGGGCAGTTGGAACCACTCTGCAGATTCGCCAAAGTAGAGTGTGACTCAAGCATATGGTCATACCACTGTCGACGACTTTCATATAGTTTCGATGGGGTACTGCACTCTGCGGATATGCAGACATATGGCATCAAGTCTCGAAAGACGTGACGAGCCCACTCTTTATTGCCTTTGATTTTGATAACAAGACAACAGTATGGACATTCAAACGGGTTTTCATCGGCAGATTCCTTTGGTGGATTGGGAACAGAGAGAGATTCATTCGACGTGAACATGCTGGGAGCATATGAAGTTTGGGAAATGTCAGAGGTGGAGTTTGTTTCAAGGAACTGGAGATGGTCTTCTGCTAAGACCATCTCCGTAGCCACTGTTTCTGATAGCTGGGTACCTATATCTCCATCATCAGATAAACCCTTGCCAAGCTTTGCTCGATGTCTCTCGAAATATTTCAAAACTGCTTTTTGCCTTGCCATCGCAGCGCTGAGGCGAGAAATTATAGAATCCGGAGCGTTTGGAAATTTGTGGGAAATGTGTTGCTGGGCCCATGGTTCGAAATATGATCCATCTTTGACTTCCACGCCGAGAAGACGATCGTGGTCGGCAGGTCGACGAATGGACATTGATATTTGGAATAGGAGGTTGATAGTGTTTCGCAAGCTTTGAAAAAGCATCTGAACGTCTGTCATATCATTGTCTCCCCCAAGTTCCAGCTCGCTGTCTTCGAAGAAAAGCTTATCGGTTTCATCTTCAACTTGGTCTTCATCTTTCATGACATCAGCTAGGTCTCGAAGTAGCCTCAGCAGTCGCTGCAAAAGCTTGACTGTTTCGTTCTTCAGGTGGGAGGCATCTCGAAGCCGATAATCCAGCGAAGATTGTCCAGTCAGGTGAGCCCCAATATTTCCTGCCCATATTCGAAGTCGTCCAAGCTCGTCCAACCAGCGGTGTTCAGATACTTCATTGTTGTATCGCGTTACAGCGCCTGAGTTGGTCAATTCTATGAACTCTTTCAGACACTCATTTAACGAAGTTCCAATATTTGTGGCCATGGCGTATGTATTTGACGTGAAAGTCGTGAAAGTTGAACATAAGAAGATTAGAGATTTAGAGAAGCGTGTAGAATGAATGTGAGGCTGAGGCGCTGCGGGGTAGAACATATCAAGTACAATCTCACCACCTGCATCTTGTGCTTTTGTTTTACACCTCTCTGGATTCTTCTCATACTATCACTCGGTCATGGTCACAGGAATAGAGGCAACAGGTGTCGCTTTGGCCATCCTCCCCTTGGTTGTGAACCAGTTGGATAACTATGCAAGGGGACTTGAAAAGATGAAGGCCTTCCGACGATATAAATGGCAGCTGGAAGACTTTTCGAGTGGACTTAGTGCCCAGTATGCCATAATGGTTAATACTTTGGAGCATTCTTTGGAGGGTGTGGTTGACGACCATGATCAAAAGTCCGACTTGATCAAGAATCCCACAGGTGTTGGGTGGGAAGACCCAGAGTTCCAAAATCGACTGATACAGAAGCTTGACCGGGACTATGTCCCCTTTACTGGCACAGTCCGAGCACTATGTCGCTTATTGGAAGATATTTCCCACAGGCTCGGGTTAGAGACAGGAGATTACTGCAGCGTGAGTCAAACGTGGAAATACCCATCACAGGACAAGGTCATTGAGAATACGTCTATTCTACCTGCAGGCAATATCAATAAATCCCCTCAGTGCCCTCAAGTTCCGGAGAATCTTCAACGCAGCGATATACGAAGATCTGTTGGACAAGATCGATAAAACAAATCAGATCTTGAAAACGATCAGTGAGCAATCCCAACTTCGCGAAAAATCTCTCAAGCAACCAGCGAGACGAAGAAGAAACCTCAAACGATACCGAGAAAAGAGAGCCCATGCAAAGGCTCTCTATGGTATTATCGGAAAAGGTCAAAAATGCGGAAAATGTCTATCTCAAGATGCCCACTTCGTAGCCCTTCAGCTCAACAGAGAGTACATGGATAGCAGAGATGACACACACCTTGCACCCCAACCCACCAGTTTTTATATGATCGCATCGCCCCCGGAGAACTGTTCATCCACAAAGGACAAAAGGCGCTGGCATGAAATCAAAGTTCAAACTGATCAATGTGTTCAATTGCGCTGCACCTCCGGAGACTGCAACCAAGGACTTCCATCGTTAGGTCGAGAATCCAAAGTGCGTTTCGAACTACCAAGAACAAAATGCGTGGAAAGGGTTCAGTCAACACCTACCACCGTGGGTGCATCTAGCGCCGGTCTATGCTCTGTATTTGATCAAGTTAATGTTACACCGCCGAGTTCCAGTTCTGAATCTATTGATTACATATTTGGAAACAAGACTACAGAGGCTGGGTACTACCTGAACCTAGTTCGCACCATCCAAGACGAAATGCATCTCCGCTCTTTACAAGAAACCCTTACTGGCTCTCCATCCACCCCCGATTCCCCAATCCAACACCCAGAGGAGTTGAGCCGCCGAGACAGAATCTACCTTGCAACGCAACTCGCGTGCGGTCTCCTCGAGCTACACGGAAGCTGGCTCCAGCAACACTGGGAAACGAAAGACATTTTCTTCCTCCGTGGGAAGGCATCGCAACACTCACGGTACGAACGTCCATACCTCTTACGTACAGGTCTGCATGTACCCGAATCAGACGCAAATGAGTCGACTCACCGAGGACACGATGACCAAAACTCTAGTCGACAGTGGAATACAACGCTATTTCCGCTGGCACTAGTCTTGATAGAATTGTCCTTAGGAAAGGCTATATCAACACTGCGTCGGCCTGAAGATGGAGAGGCTGGGGAGGATATGTCTATGCTCAACACCGCGACAAGGCTGCTGCAAACTGTATATGGCGAAAGTGGGTCGAATTATGGAGACATTGTTAAGGAATGCTTGTATTGGTCACGAAGTAAAGGTGATGGGTTTGAAGATCCTTACTTCGATGAGTCGGTGTTTGACGCAATTGTGGCCCCTCTGCTGGAAGAGTATTACCGCTTCGAGGGCCTGTCAATTAGAAATTAGAAATCACACCAAAGGGAGGTATATAGAGGGGAGGGGAAATATATATAGCAAAACATATATGCAAATGAGAAGGTCACGAGACAACAGTCACGTTACGCTGGACTACATCTCCGCAAAGCCCACCAAGCCCACAACCCAGCCTAACCCAACCCGCAAATGGGACTGGGCTTTGGGCCCTGTCTTCGGGCTTAATAGGCACCAAATAATGTAAACCATGCTAATTGGTTGTAGCTATATAAGTAATAGAGATTTTCTTCGTAATTTTGGATATTCTAGTTAATTACTTGAGTCTTAAATTGTGGGTTACCATCCCTAGATATTATAGCAATGGAGAGAACTTAGGTGACCGAGATCGCTAAGGTCACGGTATAGGAGAGAAATGTTTGCTACGTTTGCGGCCGTAGCCCCCGGAGATCCCTTGTATGTTGGGTTGGGCCTTAACAGTTGAGCCTATAGCCTACTGCTAGTTGGGCTTTGGGCCAGACCGCAGTCACGTTACGCTGGACCTCGGTCTCTTGGCAAAGGGAAGGACTTTCCACAGGTAATTTAAACCAATGCGGGGAATTGCTATCTCTTCTAGTGCGCCCTGAGTAGTTCTAATCTGAGTGGATATGTTGAAGACTACCTAAACTGGAAGGTTGGAAGTGGACACCCTATCCAGCAAAAGTGCTAGTTTGTGTCATCCAATTTGTGGGCAAAATTGTGTATAATTTGAAGCAATGCTTCTATTTCAAAGACTAGAGTTAGAATGCATATGACGATGTATTCTCCATGAGAATTTACCAGGAATAACCGAGGGCGAAGGAAGGACTGCCTTTGGTACCACAAAGTGTCTATACACTTTCAACATCCTGAATACCTAATCTGGATTAGAGCCATATGCAAAAGCAGTAAAAATAGAGAAATCATCCGCTAACATCTCGCGTTTCTGCGCCTTCGAACCCCAAAATTGAGAAGAACCGAACCTCCAGAGCGACGATCTTCTCCGCAATATGGGGGATCATCATTCCCCCGCTCCCCCTCACAGGGTCCGTTCGCGTCTGTTAATGGAGATAGTTTCAACTCCCCCCACAAAACTAAAAAGGTACCAGCACCTATATTTCAATAAACGATCGACCGATTTCAAACACCGAGGTATCAATTTTGAATTCGCCCGTGAATCCGGGGTGGCCGAGGCAGCCATTCGATTCATGTGGACCCGTCAGCAGTGGATGAATTGAACAAGACCCCATTGCCAGTGAGTCCGCGACTAAAATATGAGTTGATTTCCTCAAGACCACTCTACACTATACCCATCATTTACACTATGTCTTCCACTGCTGAACCGACATCCGGACACCTCGGACACCTCACTCCTGACCAAGAAGCAAAGGTAATTGAATTCTGGATCATCATTTTGACCTCTGTTGCGACTGTCTTGTCGGCAGTGTACGAGGTCCCGATTCCAAAGGGCCCCTCCAGCAAGCTGTTTGCTGCTTTGGACAAGATCAATGAGCCGACGGTAGAGGCTATTATCAGCGCATTGAAGGGGGAAGATTCCAACGGAGAGACCTCGAATGGGACCGTACCGGCGGAATTAAATGGCGAGACCAACGGAGAAACGACCGCTGAAGATGGCACGGACAATAAAGAGCAGAAATCACTCGACAAGGTAGATGCGCTCATGAACGAAAATGCCAAGAATACTATCATTTCAGAAATGGCCAATCGAAAGGTTACCCCGGCACACTTCTCTTCCCTTTTCTCGCAGCTCCGAGAGCTAGGCGTCCAGGATTCAGAAATCAAATCCATGGAGAACATCCTCTCTATGATGACCCCCCAGGAAATGTGCTTTGCGATCTTGAAAATGATCAAGCAAGAAAACCCGGATAGCTTATTGCTCCGGTTCCTGCGCGCCAGGAAATGGGATGTCGGAAAGGCATTCTCGATGATGGCGTCGAACATCCTATGGAGAAAGGAAATGGAGGTTGACGACGAGATTCTGCCCCGGGGAGAGGAATATGCTTTCGAGCAATCCCGTAATCCCAAAGCTACCCCAAAGGAGAAGAAGGAAGGTGCCGACTTTACCAACCAACTCAAGACAGGCAAGAGCTTCCTTCATGGCTTTGACAGGGACGGCCGGCCTGTTATCTATGTTAGAGTGAAGATTCACAAGCCAGGTGCTCAGAGTGAGGAAGCTCTTGAGCGGTATATTGTTCATTGTATTGAGTCGGTGCGACTTATTGTAGCTCCTCCAGTTGAAACGGGGGTATGCTTGACCAGAATGTTCAGATGTTGACCTATGCTGACATGCTCACAGACGATTGTTTTCGATTTGACAGGATTCGGGTTATCCAATATGGTAAAGCAGCACAGTGCAGCCAGATGGAGGTGTCTCTTGTACTAATCTTCAAAACAGGAATACCCACCAGTCAAATTCATCCTCAAATGCTTCGAAGCAAACTACCCCGAGTCTCTTGGACAACTGCTAATCCACAACGCACCCTGGATGTTCTCTGGTAAGTCATTCCACAAGGTCATCCTCGATTTTTACTACATCAGATATTCACAACATTTCCTTCCACCAAATAGGAATCTGGAAACTCATCCACGGCTGGATGGACCCGGTCGTCGCATCGAAAGTACATTTCACACGGTCAGTCGCCGACCTAGACAAGTTTATCCCACGTAACAAAATCCCCAAAGAGTTCTCGGGTGACGACAGCTGGAGCTATAAATACGACGAGCCCGTGAAAGACGAGAACGCGGTTATGAAAGACACCGCGACGCGAGACTCGCTCATGTACGACCGCATGATGATCGGCATCCGGATGATCAGTGCCACAGCAGCGTGGATCTCTGCCAGTTCTCAGTCTGATGGGAAGGAAGAGGTGTCTAAAGTGGAGGAGCTTAAGTCGCGACGGAATGCTGTGATTGATGAGTTCCGTGTGAACTATTGGAGGTTGGATCCTTATATCCGAGCGCGGTCGTTTATTGATCGGACTGGGATGCTTTTGCCTGGTGGTGGACTTGGGAGGGATAGTACCAACGGTCAGGCAAAGTAGAGATATTTATTTTGGGTATTGTTAGAATGTACAGGCAGGAATGGATACATATTCATATTGCGATGGGATCTTTATGACCCACTTTCCGCTTCAGAAGCATATGTTCTCCGCTGTACCAAAATATATTATAGAAATTTTCGACGCATCTGGTTCCTGATGGCCACGGACGGCGTTGAAGGGATGTGAACAGAACGTAAGACCCTAGTTACAGTGTTACACTTGCATATTTCTTTTGTTAATAGATATGATCTGTAGAATTCATCATGATATGTACATTGAATCCGTAACTCCTGATGCTTATATACTTCGTGAATGCAGCCACCTGGGCAATTTATACATGTCCGCCCTCAAACCCATTCACCACTCCAACCGATCATCACAGACAAGACTGACATCAAATCTCTCCTCTCCCTTCCAGACCTTCCCACCAGAGTTACAAGAAGCAACAATTTCGCGGAGGTCACTAATCATCCCACCAGGCCCACTAGCAAAGACACTGGTAGGACCGCGCACCGTCTCAGCCAAGAAATCATCAACCAGCCGCGGAAGATCAGGATGTCTATTAACATCATCCGAAGCACCACCGAGCCGCTCAACAGCAGTAGGCTTATCACATCCACAGCACCCAGAAACAGACTTAGAAGGCGAGACCTGCACAACCTTCTCTTCAATCTTTGGCACTGAGAGATTGCAGTTTTCGGAATCCGAGTTCACAATCGAGGGCGTCTTGCTCCCGGAATCTCGGGTAGCGAAGATTCGAATCTCGAGGTTCAATGTATTCCTCGCTTTCTGCAAGAGATCCAGCTCTGCTGCGACCCACTCCGTGTTCGCCGTGTGACGGACAGCCCAGATGAGCTCGACCTTTCGGTCTGGCGAGGGTTGCTGGCGGGCAAGATCTAGTAGAACGGGAAGGACGTAAGTGATGCCGGTCCCGCCGGCAATGCAAATTATATTGGTGCTTGGTGTCAAGTGACTGGTGATGGACTCGCCATATGCGCCGGTCAGGATGACGGGTGTTGTAGGGATGCTGGTAGCAGCGAGGTCAGCGACCTTTTTCGTTTCGCCGCTTTTCGCGCGAAGGATATATGAGTGTTGGACTGTGCCCTTGGACACAGTGGGCAGGTTGAGGGGCGTAAAGGGGTGGGATTGCCAGATGCTACACTTCGTGAAGGACAGATAGTAATGTTGGCCAATGGACCAGGGGTCCTGGTTATTGTGCAGATCGAGGCGGATGACATCACCGTGTTCCGTGTCCGGGAAGCGGGTGATGGTGGCATCGGCGGGCTTAAAGCCCAGACCGAGAGTACCGGAGTAGTCGGGGTGGTAGTGTAGTAAGGCTGTGCGGACGAGGCGAGCTCCGCGATCGAGGAACCAGAAAATCAGCGAGGGCCACATGAAGCACTTGAGCTGTTTCCAGTGGGCCCAGCAGGCGCCGATGTAGACCATGGCGAGGATGTAGTGTAGTTTGCGGAAGGTCTCGTAGCCGGTGAGTCTGATTCCCCACGGCGTGCTCAGAAGGACGAGGAGGAGTAGAAGGATCATGGCGACGATGCCCCAGACGATGTATGTCTGAGTGACCCATTCAAGTCCGACGGTGGGTTGGGGTTGGTACATTCTCAGCTCAACGACACACCAGCTGATTGTGTGCAGGGAACTTTGCACGAAGATGATGTAGCCCAGCCAGCGGTGGAGGAAATTGAAGCTCTGGTATGGCAAGCCAGTAATGAGGGAGAGGAAGGACTCTCGGCTGCTCAGCAGCACGGAGAGCGGGGTGAGGGCGTAGGCCAGGGTGCCGATGCGATCTGACCACGGGCCTATGCTGTTGCGGGTATTGTATACACCGGGCATCTTTGACACGGGTGTGACCCATGTGTTGTAGAGGATGCCGACAAAGCTGAAGATGAGGAGGTAGCCAGCCAACACAGCGAGGGTGAGCACTTGGAGGCGTGTTGTGCGTCCAAAGATAAACCGAGCCGCATCGGGCAGGAGATATCTCCGGGCGAATGAGGCAACCGAGCGGCGAACCTTGTATAGCCCGGCTAGTTGTGGTGCTACTAGTGTTGGTGATATCGTTGGCGCATTAAACTGGTTCAGGACGACCCAGAGGAGCAAAATAGCGCCAATTACACACCACAGAATACCTGAATATAGCATTCCCAGGTCATGGGATGCGTACACAAGGTCAAGATACTCGCACGATCCTGCATCATTGGTGCAAGGGAGAGCCCGATCAAGGTATCCCCAGTGAGGCTCTAATGCTGTCGCCGCGCTCATGTTCTGGATGTGGCGAACATCCAATTTGGGGGACGACATTGTGTCTTGAACTGCCCTGTGCAGTGAACTGATGTTGAAGACCAAGTATAATCTTCAGCCCAGTTCTGATGACGTGCAGCGACGATTCAGTTCAAGTTGATGAAAATTCTGTGTTCGGTCGGATTATCTGGTCATGGCGAGGCGTAGAAGAGGGTTTGAGATTCTGTGAGAGAAGCCCACGAGGTTTTATCAATTGCCAGTCCGCGAATCCCCATTTGCAAGCTTAAGGTGGCCATTTCGCATTTGCGGCGATTTGAGCACATTTCTCCCACGCCATCGCTGGGTTTCTCCACTTCGCCTTAGCGCAGGTGGGGAGAGGCCATCAGGTTATAAGACCATCGGCCTGGAGCACTGAGATTAGACACGCCATTTCCTCAAATTCCTCATCCTCTTATACCCAGAAAACCAGTCAAGATGGAGGGCATGGACCACAGCAGCTCGAGCAGCTGTAAGGTGTCGGTGAGTGCCAAGAGATTTGGAGGTTCAAGTGGATTCGCTAACCAAAGACCAGATGATGTTCAATTTTAACACCATCGATGCCTGCTTCCTGTCCACCGGATGGCAGATCAAGAACAATGGCATGTTTGCTGCGACATGCATTGGCACAATTCTGCTCGTTGTACTGGTCGAGTTCTGTCGGCGCATTGGTCGGGAATACGACAACTTCCTGACCCGCCAATTTGAGCGCCAAGCCGCGCACGGCACGTTTGCCAAGAAATTTGAATCTGCTCGGACGGCCGTGACGTTTCGAGCGACCCCATTGCAGCAGTTGACGAGGTCTGTGATTCATGCAGTCACTTTTGCAGGGGCTTATATCACCATGTTGTTGGCCATGTACTTCAATGTCTATGTGATTATTTGCATCTGTATTGGTGCGGGGCTGGGAAAGTTCTTGTGTGATTGGATGGTTGTCACGGTGGGAATAGATGACGTGCAGGATGAGACACGGAAATTGGAGGAGACAACAATATGTTGTGATTAATGATTTGACATGAACTTTGTATATACATTTTTGGTTCTTTTAGCGGTTTTTCATAAAACAACATGATTTTAGATTTGCTTATAATCCACTATTTCATTATTTACATACACGATGTCTGAGACAAAGTTGAGTAAAAGCCCTCAATCTTGCTCAATTGTTTCATACAAAATTTCTTTCAGTGCTGTTGTCTTGTATATGTTGCGATTTTCGCCCTTTGCTGCTGGTCTTGGACACCTGTAGTAACTAGCAATAAGAACAATGAATTTCTTCCTAAGAGTTTGACTGAAGGACAAAATGACAATAAAATCACCCTAACAATGAGTATTGCGACTTCTGCTGCTTTCCATGCCTTGAAACACTGTCTCTTTAATCTGACTGTCAAAGCTGCTTAGGAGGTTTTAAACAGCCTCAATCCCGCCCACACTTGGTAGCTGCCGTTGTTAGAACAATTTCCTACTGATCCATCAAGCTCTACGTCCTTGACTTGTTGATATAACAGTTGCCTATACTACTGATAAGAAGGACCTTGGGAGTAACTCCCCCTAGATATGAATTCATCCGAAGATGCCCAGGACCTTGAACAGTGCTTCAACAAGGCCCACAAAGACTTCACAGCCACATTAAAGAGCCTCATACACACCCTACAACACGATGGCTTTACCATGGAGAATTGTTGGGAAGTCTGCGACCAACTCGATCTTCTTGATTCTCTCCTAGGTGATATGGATGAACTTGGTCCGGAGATGGTATTGGAGGCTCCACAACAGCCCACCATGCGCGGATTACCTAGATCTTACTTTCTGGACTATAAATTCCAGTTTGATTGTCTTGGTATCCAGACTGGATTGGATGATGTTCGAGGTATTTTGGCCGAGTGCTTTTACGACGACTGTGCTGAGCTTGCTTGTATCGGGTTGGAAAGTTTGCTGGCCAGGTTTCCATTCTAGTTGATCTTCAATGAATTGAGTTGTCACTGCGTTCATCAAGGTAGTTGGAATGTGTACAAGGGTAGAAAGTAGAAACCAATTCAGACATTAACACGTGGGCTGGCTCGACCTTCCCCCGGAGTGGCTGGGTGGGTCCGGCTCCTTTCGGCTATCTACACGTTGATGCATATACGGACCCATCATGGAATTATCCCACGGATATATGGGCATGATCTAGGTATGGATACTGTCACGAAAATTACCACTTCGTGTTATCTTTGCCCTTCGCTGTCTCCTCCCCTATGGGGAATTTAATATAAAATTATGCAACTCAACTCTCTCGAAGAACGGCACATGGAACGTTGGGAACAAAACCAAATACCCTTGACCTCATCCGAGAAAGATACTAATTGGATGGCAGACTTATCGTCATTTCGCTATTCAGAACCAAAGGGTCAAACTATGTAGTGACTAACGGCCATAAAGGTATCAACGGGTGCTTTCGGGAGCAGACAGGGAAAGACAATCCATTCCTAAGTAATAGATGAGAGAGAGCTGATGATAACCATCAACATGGTATCTATCCAATATAAAAGTTTTAGCTCCAGTCTTAGTATGTATCTCGGTCTTTCTAGAAGGCAGTCAAACGAAGGGCGTGCCAAGATCCTCTTGCCGAGCCAGCCAAACCGTATTGGCTCGATTTCTTATCCTGCGTACCTGTCCACGGGTGTACCTGCCTGGATCATTACGCTTCCAATTGATAAGAATATCAAGAATTCCGATACAAATCAAAACCATATGATTACAACAATCTCCTTCCCCGCGAGTAACATAGAATATACCAACCCCGGACTAGCTCCAACACACCGGTCCGAGATAAGGTATAGCGTCGGAAGCAACCGCCTTGATAAGAGAAACGAACAGCCAGTGACAGCTGCACTCGACAATCCCCGCGCTTTTAGCTTGCTAGATTTGAGGTGCTAACCGAAGGCTTGTGGTCCTTAGCATGCAGCGATTTTACGTAACAGCCTGAGAGTCGTGGATGATATGGACGACGAGCAACAGGGGAGCCTATAGTATCCGTTCTTAATATCGCGGTTACAGACCTCGTAGCTATCTTCACCAGCTACAATGTCACTGCCAGATAAGAAAATTGCGGTGAATTTCCCCGCCTCGAAGATACTGGTGAGTCAAGATACCAGACCTAGTATTCCGAACATCCGACGATACTAGATGCAAGAGAGAGAAGCACATATAAAACGTACCTGGAAAGCATGGAGAGAAATGGACTATCGCCAAACGCTCATATTTTATTTCCACATCACTCCTGTCCGGATCAAGGATGAAGGTTTATCTACAACATACCCTCTTAGGGTTGGGTCTATCAGGGCTAAGCCTAGCCGGGGTTGTGGGAAGAGACATCGAGGTGATACGGTTCCACAGTCCTGGAGGTGTAACCGCCGACTCTTTGCATAACATCCACGTCGAGTTCCTGGATGCACAGTTCGAAGGCCACCTGCAACTTGTCTACGGGGAGTGCGGGATCCAAGACCCGACGCAGAGTCACCATGAGATCGGGAGCACATTCGTGAAACGCGAAGCGCACCCAGAGCGCTTCGTCTGGTCTACACCATCTGATGCACCCCATTCACACTGTCTGCATGCCTTCTCCGGATCAAGACTTGTAGGCCGCACTTCGCCCATCATGGTATCATCGCCTATTAAGAAGCGAGAGAGTATCGCCGATGTGGCAGATGCCATGGGACCGTGGTTTGACGGAGTGGCTTACATGAAGTCAAAGAAGAATAACAAAGCATTTGTTTCCAAAGCGAAGAATACCTCTGTTGCTATTCTTGGCGGTGGAATGTCCGGCTTGATGACGAGTCTGCTGCTCGAATCTGTTGGTATCCATGACTGGCACATCTATGAATCATCTGGGCGAGTTGGTGGTCGTATTCGTACCAAATATCTCAACAACACCACTCCCGACCAGTATCAATATCAGGAGATGGGACCAATGCGATTCCCAGTCAGTATCACCTATGCCGACACAAATGAGACGCTTGAAATCCAAGATCATCACATGGTCTTCCAACTTGCTGGCGTCCTCAACAAGATGAACAAAGACAAGCCAGATCTCCAGGTCAACTTCATCCCCTTTATCCAAAATAGCCCCAACGTGCCTGCAGCCTCTGGCGGCAACCGTCTCCCCAACGGGCTAATCCCCAGTGCAGCCCAAGTCGCGGCCAACTCATCGCTAGTCTATACGGCACCTTCATCCAATGAAACAGCCGTCGCAGAGGCAGAAGCCGCATTCGAAAACTACACTACAATGAACAACCGGGAAACAATCCGCAAGATCGCAACCAACATGTACCAAGCCCACAAGCAGGCCGTTGATGACGGCATGTTCCACTGGTCCGAGGCTGGGTACTTGAAATACGCGCTGGGCTATGACGCCAATATAACCGACTACGTCGCCGGCACAGAGTCAACTCCAATCTGGGGTGATCTCTATGACGACGTCTACTTCGCAGCCACCAAATGGCGCACCATCGACAAGGGTCTAGAGTCTCTTCCTCGCGCATTTTACCCCCACGTCGCAGAAAAGACGACCCTCAATCGCACAGTCTCAGGGTTGGTCTACAACGAGACATCCGGTAAAGTCGCCGTTGCATGGCGCGATGATCCGTTCCAGATGGTGCCGGAAACAAAGGAATACGACTATGCCGTCGTCGCTACACCATTCAGTAAAGTCAGACTGTGGGATCTACCCCGATACTCATCGCTTCTGAGCCGGGCTATCTCGACCATGAACTACGACCCCTCGTGCAAGATGTCGCTTCTCTACAAGACACGGTTCTGGGAACACTTGGAAGAGCCCATCTTCGGCGGATGCGGATCAGTCGATATCCCCGGCGTTGGAAGCGTCTGCTACCCTTCCTTCAACATGAACGCGACCGGACCGGGTGTGATTCTTGCATCTTATGTTTCAGGAACGCCGGCTCGGTCGACGGCTGCGCTGAGTGAGGACGAACACGTCGCGTTAATTCATCGCGCGATGGTCGAGGTGCATGGTGATATTGCTGCCGAGCAGTTTACCGGTGTTTACAATCGCCAGTGCTGGGAGGTTGATCAGCATCAAGCGGGTGCCTGGGCTAGTCCGCTTGTTGGGCAGCAGGAGTTGTATTTGCCTGCTTACTATCAGACGGAATTTAAGACTATCTTTATTGGGGAGCATACTAGTTATACCCATGCTTGGATCTTCTCGGCATTGGATTCGGCTGTGCGGGGGACAACGCAGTTGTTGCTTGATCTCGGTTTGGTTGATGAGGCCAAAGAGATTGTTGAGACTTGGATGGGCAGGTGGATCAAGCTGTGAGTGTTTAAGGTTCGTGTTGTATAGAGAGTGTTTCACTTAGAGTAGCTACTTATTAGAATTTTGCTGCGCATAACGTTATATGACAAGTCAATATATGAGAATGAAGTTATAATATCCATGACCAACATATACCGCATGATACTTGCTATATTAACAAGGCGCCTTGTTTGATCAGTCGACTTCTATAAATCAAAACAAGCCCCCTAAGGTCTTTGTCTGAGCTATCCAGGATTGAAGCCATTTGTAGCTCATATCCAATTGATGATAAAGCTATTGTATCAAAGAAATCACAGGCACATAGACCTTTAATCCCAACAAAGCCTTGAAAACATCCCAACTAATATAACGATACGAGCTTATCTCATAAAATTCCCATTTCGACCTCCAGGTGGTGTTTTCTGATTAGAAGTGGCCCACGGCAAAAGAATTCTTTCCCTCCGCCAAACCCTAATACAGAAACTAACCACAAACAATCAAGTATGGCACAAGAAGGTATGTTCACCCACAACGGCATCTACACCGACGAGAGATGCCACATTAGCGGACCCATAGTATGGGTAAACGTATTCGTCGCAACCCCCGAAAACCGCCATAAAACAGATGCGGAGTTCATGGGTCTCGTAGCCGAGACCATCCACGCGAGAATCGCTAAGGAAACACCCCATTTCAGTATCTCGATTACACCAGAGCCCATGCACCACAGAGTTATGGGATGTCTTTCGTTACCGGCCCGTGGGGATTATTGGGCATTTACACGGTTTCGGGATTCGTATCTTGATGCTTTTCTTAGGGATGCGGTGATACTCGCGCTCTTTTATCAGACGGAATGCGCGGCCGGGAATATTGAGATTGATCGGGTGAGACTTTTTCGATTGTTTCATTTGAGGTCAGATGCTTTCTAGGGTTTGGATGGGGCTTTCATTGACCTGTATTCAGTTCTTTTGTTGATATGGTGGGTAGGGGGTGTAGACAAAGAATTTAACGGACTGGTCCTACAAAATAGAAGATCAAAGGTCTTTGCCCTTAATTTTGTATATTCCACAGCCAATCTGATAACAAAGAGCTCATAAAAGCCATGATCGTTGGCCACGATTCGATGAACCTATTGGTGCCGAGGCTTCGAGCACTTTGATTTCGAAGCTTAAGAAAGAAAGATTCGAACACTTTGTCGAGTGCTTTCTCATAATTAGTACAGAAGACTTGACAAAGCGGTTATTATCAAAAGAATCTTTGTTTATACTAACGGCTCAAACAGCCTACTATATTAAGATATATATATTGTCACGTCTCAGAGTTGGGTATTTAAGCATCCTTACCTCTCTTACCTAGATATCACCACTCAGAAAAAGAATATCCAATCTACCTATCTCACTACAGCCAAGACTATGTCTACACGAACCGCGTTCAGAACTCGCATAGACAACGTTCCCGTAGCCGACGGTCCATCGGGGAAACATGTTATTTGGGTCACAGTGTACTTTGACCCCGACGAGGCCAGGCTTAACGATCTAGAGTTGGTTCGCCTTATGATGTACCGCGTCGTGAACCAACAAGTTAGAATCGACGAGTTACCCATGCATCACAGATACTCTCACTGTTTATCGGTTCGCGTCAGTGGAGAGCTTCCCGATGAGGATGCTATTTATGAAGTGGCGGAAGCGATGGTGGATTATTTTTATGGGAGGGTCAAATCAGGAGAATTTGTGGTTAATCGGACTTACGTTTTTCGTAGACAGTCGCGGGATCTGTTTAGTCTCGGGCCTTCAACGTCTCGTTGATTGGGGTGTCTAGTTATCAGATAGATGTTAATGCATTGTGCATTTACCGGTGATCCTGTCGAGCAATAATATATCTTGTGGTTAGTATTTGAAATCAGTTCTCAAACGTTCTTATATATTTTGTCTTTCTAGTAGGCTAAATTAGCATTTCCATTGTAGCTTCGAGTAAAGAGAACATAAAATACGAATCTATGTTGTATGTCTGAGATTGGGGCTGAAGTAGACCTCAAGAAAGCCCACCCAGCCCACAGTCCAACCCAACCCAACCCACCAAATGGGCTGGGTTTGGGGCCTATACTACTTTCTATAGTCAATTATAGTAATACTTATGGTACCTCTACTTACTATATAAACAACTAACAAAAATAAGTACGTCTTATAAAAAAGTAAAGCTTTATAAAAATCAATTTTTATTCTTATTTTTCCGCCTCCTAGTATCTATTACTTAATACCTTATAAATAACGTATTTCACAAGCGAGCCGCCATCTCCAAAACACATAGTAAATGCGATAGATTACAATTTGAGATCTTAACAACGTTAGCCTATGAGCACCTTAACTTGTAGTCTAATGACCTTTTGATGATATCTAGCCTCTTTAGAGAGTTTGGGAAATGTTTAGCTCTTATTTATCGAGATATATATATTTCTAGCTTATAGTAATGTAATTTTCCGTAAGTTTTGAAATAAGGCTAATATATTATTTCTATTTCTTGAAAGTGATATATAGTTTTACTAAGCCTTATCAAAAGTTATCGACAAGCAATAAAGCAAAACAAAAACGTGGTTGTTGAGATATAAATATAGAGAATGTCGCATTTACTATGTGTTTTGGAGATGGCGGCTCGCTTGTGAAATACGTTAAAATCAAATCAATCAGTCCTATTAGTTAATTTTTAAGTGATTTATATACAGCTTCATATACGGCTTAAACGGTAATTTCAATACCCCCAAAAAACAGGAAAAAAATGCATTAATTATACAGCTGCGATAAATTGGCATGTTTGTATTGTTTGGTTAATAATGGGCCCCTATGGGCTCGGTGGATGGGCCCAAAGCCCAACCCATTAGTGGGTTGGGTTGGGTTAGGTTATGGGCTTTATGGGCTATGCAGAGGTCTAGCTGTGGGCTAGGGGCGTGGGCCCATTTGTGAGCTATCTTGAGGTCTAGGCTGAAGCATTTGGATTTCTAATCCAACCCCGCCAAGAGGATCAGATTTACATGTCAGCTTACTCTAATTCCTAGGTTACTTCATAAAACTTGATTACACCATCGACTATTTCCAAAACATACCTGCACAGTCCCTACTAGCCATTAAACCAAGCACCAACCACATTTATGTCTCGACCAAAAATAAAAGCAGTCTTTTTCGACTTCATGGGCACATGCCTCGACTGGCACAGCAGCGTAGTGGAAGCGCTACCCGCAGCAATTCCCAAGGATGAAGCCTCAAAGTTTGCGCTAGAATGGCGTAGACAATACTTCCTAGAAACTACCAAACGCGTCAGCGAAAACCTCCACCCAGAAGACATCGACATCACCCTTGCCCGCACCCTGGATACTCTCCTCAACCAGTCACCCGACCACAAACCGCACTTCGACGTGAAGACCAAGAACCAAATAATCGAAGCATGGCACTCGCAAAAAGCATGGCCCGAGGTTTCCGATGCAATCAATAGTCTTCGTCAAGATCTCGGTCTGGAAGTCTTCGTTCATGCGAACGGTACGACGCGGCTCCAGTTAGACTTGACTCGGTCTTCCGGATTAGAGTTCAATATGCTGTTTTCTAGTCAGCTGCTAGGTGCTTACAAACCTCGCCCGGAGGCTTATGAGAAGGGGTTGGAGCTTGTGAAGCTTCGGCCCGAGGAGGTGGTTTTGGTTGCTGCACATGCTTATGATTTGCGGGGCGCACAGAAGTGTGGATTGAGGACTGTGTATGTTCATCGGTGGACTGATGATATTGATGAAGATATGGAGCTGGTGAAAACCGAGTTTGATGTGTTTTTGGAGGATATGAACGACCTTGCTGGTGCCATTAGGGGATTATGAGTGATTTACGGGTGGTTTTGAATATTTCATGAATATTGTGTAACTGTTGAATTAAACTCTTTGAATTTAGTATACTACATGAAACTTAAATGAAAGTGTTTGAATGAGTGCTACCATATCCACCCCTTTAGGTTCTCCCTCATCTGAACTGTCGACCCAACACAATAATCATTTCCATTAGACCGCGGAACCATGATGTTGGTATTCTGATAAAGTGGAAAATATTATAGGTCTATTTCTCAAACATCCAGGTGATATGGTGTCGAGCGCTTGGCACGGCGGCTTTCAAGCGGTTACGAGACAGGTGGACTGCGAAGGGGCAGAGCGGCCAAAGGTCAAATGCCTGATTTTGTAGGAATGGTGCCTTGATATGCCCGAATTATAGACTACTTCCGCTCTATACCATATACTGTAAATTGAAGCTATTCCTAGTTATACACACCATATATAAGAATAGTTGGTTGGTTATACGGCCCTGTCAGGTCTTTTTAGGTGATATTTTTAGATATACTTTTTGCTAGTCTTTTTAGATGTCCTTTTAGGTATATATAAAGGCGGTAAAAAAAGACAAACGTATGAGACTTTGAAATCTCTATATTACTCAAAATTGAAGCTATTCCTACCCCACAAATCATCAGTCAAACCGCGTAAAATGCCTCCTTATATTAATCTCTCGAGATTTGGTCGGTCGAGATAGCTCCAACGTCTAGAAATAGGCGCATACGGTGATTTATATGGTAGGAATAGCTTCATTCTTATGAACTACTAGGCCAACGGGTGATCTGTTATAATTGAGTTAACTATTTTGATTTCTGCCAGTTCTATGTAAAACAAGGCATAACTCAGGCATTTGACCTTTGGCCGCTCTGCCCCTTCGCAGACGGACCACAACCCTATCCGCAACAAAGTGGCACCAAGATCCGACCCCTTACCCAGCTAGAAAGCGGCTCCACTTCCCGCAGAGCCTCCCTCTGTTTTCTTCTTTTCCTCAACAATTTGGTAGTGTTCCACCAGTGAGAACAACGCGTGTATGATTTTTGGAACCTCACCACTCACGGCGCTTTGAGAAGATGTGTACAATATTGCTCAACGCGTCTTTAAGTCTTTTGTTGTGCTGTAGCTAGTGTCGCAATATATACGTCTCATTGCAGACACCAAGTCTCCCAACAATTTTGATAAACTGTTTAGTTTGTTCGGGCATGAAGCAAAATCTAGACTTTTACATCCCATGTACTTACTACTTGGCACATCACAATTGTGGTTGGACGCCTCTAGTGCCTTAAGTTTTGAGTTTCATTGTGCCTGTGTATGAATTTCAAGTGTCTTTGTGAACCATTCTCCTCACTTGGATAAGAGTATGCAAGTCTTATAGCCCGGCCTAATACCAAATACTCTTCTTGTTCACCTTGTGACTAAATCTTAGATTGTCTCAAAGGCGTCGGGCTATAACAGCATCGGCTTTGATAATGGCTGGCGGCATACGATATTGTGCAATACCCGTTGACACAGCTTGCTCTTCGTATCGACTACCATGGTGCTCCCTTGTCCCTGACGTCATGCACTATTCTCTGGAAAGCACTGGAGCCCCAGGCTTTCTCCCAACTCCACACAATCCACAAGCACGGAATATCATCCCCCCGAACTGCGACTATATTGACCAGCCTTATTGCCGAGGGTGCCAAGATGGCTTGACCGATGCAAGCTTTACCAATTGGACTTTCTACGGGCGCCACCAGTCAGCCAAGAAAGTATATCCTAAGTCTGGGCGAGTCTATATCGGGTAGTATTGCCTTTTATACCTCAACTGCCATTGATCCAACGCAACTACTAAGAAGCTGACTCGCAGATCTACTCCCTCGGCTCTTGACACCTTTGCGGGGAAATAGCAGAAGGGGGTGGATGCTCGGACCCATTCTGCGCCTAGTGTGATTTGGCCAGCGAATCATACTGCCCAATTGCTATCTTTGGAAACTGAATGACAAAGGTTTAGCTCCCCACTATGTCTGAGATGAGGTTAGTGCCAACTTACTAGCTGCCGGTTAACAAAGAAATCCGGGGTTGGGCATGGGATTGTGGGGAATATTACGAGGGGTTGGTCCCAACAAGGCGGCGTGTAAGATAGACAACTGGATCAACTGGATGAAAAAGCATAAAAGGGCTACTCATCATGATCTGGTTTGTGTCTTTTCTTTTCCTCCAGTTTTCTATCACCACTATTGAGACAGCGTCTGACTTTGATTTCCCAGGTTTTATTGAACACAATCCCGCCTCTTGAATCTCAAAATGTCAGACGAGAACATCAGCGACAAGCATGAGGCCTCTACAGTAGAGATGCTTCGTCGCTATCAAACCGCCGATAGTGTTATGCTTCCTATACCACGCGATGTTTTTGAAAAGTTATACCTTAGCCCCAAGACACCAAATGCAGGAAAGCTACGTTCTACATTTGGCAATCCTACACCAATCTCATTGATGGGCTTCTTGTTGGCTGCCACACCGACCGCAATGATTACTATGGGCTGGAGAGGAGCTGGCGGAAACGGTGCTGCCATTTTGTAAGAGAGACCACGATTGTGCTACCAGGGAGACAATACTAACATTACCTCTCTACTAGACCGGTCTATATCTTCTTCGGTGCAATGGTGCAAATATTCGGGGCGATCGGCGAATGGATCCTTGGGAATACATTTTCCTGCGCGGTATTCTTTACATATGGTATGTGCGGTTCGTCGTGGACCATGAACAAATCCATGTCTTTGCTAATCAGGATCCACTGGTTTACAGGCACCTTCTGGCTAGTCCAGGGCACTTCACTCATGCCATTCTTCGCCGTTGGCACAATGTATTCACCTGATGGCAACACGCTAGAAGGAATTAAGACGGCTGAATACAGCGCCACCGTCGGTTGGTTCTTTCCATTATACCTGATTATGTATACGCGCTAGTGCTAACATAATACTTTATAGGCCTCTACTACGTCACTCTCGCACTCCTCACCTTCGTATACATGATTTGTTCTCTCCGCACAAACGTCTGCCTCTTCCTCGCGCTTCTTCTACTCGTGGTTACATTTGGGTTGTTTGCTGGCACATATTTCCAGATGGCGCTGGGAAACCTGGTACTGGCTGCCAAATTACACAAGGTATGTTGCGAATACACCTATTGTTCTCTTCCATGTTGAATTCGTACTGATTTATGTATCTACAGGCGGCTGGTGCCTTCAATTTCGCACTTTGCATTCCCATCTGGCATATCTTCATTGCGCAGATCCTGGACGCGGTCGACTTCCCAATCTCACTACCAGTGGGCGACCTAAGTACAGTCATCCTTGGAAAGAATCAGAAAGCCCGGAAGCGTGAGGTTGAGGGGTAGATATAGTGTCTAGCTTTGACTGCTTTGAGAATATATTTACATCGTTGTGTGTTGAAGCAACCATTTTGTTGTTTCGTAACTATATCTTTCTTTGCCGGAAATACATATTTTTTGATTATACTAGGTGTTTCTATTGTCCAGTTCTATATGGAATAGCCGTGCTTATGGTAAGTACTTGGCTATTACTCACCAAAACTACAGTGATGGTCTGAACTGTGAGAATCAACCACCGTAATATATATTCGCCCCAATATCCACATCTGGTTACCCTAGAGATAACCGCTGTAAAACACCCAAAATGGCGCTAATGCCGGCGATGGTGTGATCCCGCTAAGTTGAACCTCAAAATCTTACGGCTACCTTCTTAGACAGGAACACCCACCTTGGTTGGTCGGAACTTCGTGATGGAGAAAGAAAAATTCTCTACACCTCAGCCTCGAACATGGCACTGGAGAACCATCGTCCGGATGGCAGCAGCCGCAGGGATAGTGGGCCTAGTGGGGTTCAGTAAATTCCCTACCCCAGCGCCGCGCTGGGGCTTTCGGGACGAGCCTCAAGTCCAAGACCTGCCGTATGGATCATTCCCACAACCGGACGACCCGTTTCAGTTTATCCCCTGCACTGATGCCAGTCATCCGCCGCCACTTGATGACCCGACTCCGCAGCAATCGTGGGCCTCCCTCTTCGATGTCAATCCAAATCACTGGAGTTGGGGAAGCACAGGTCGGGGAATCTACCTGTGTGGGTACTTAGACCTACCACTTGATTATCTCAACTTTTCAGACTCTCGTATTGTTCGAATTGCAGTTACCAGGTTCCAGGTCGCCGGTTTAGCCTATAGGAATGATCCTAGTCTTTCACCCAAGAGCTACAGGAGTGAGCGCACTATCATCATAAACCCAGGAGGCCCGGGAGGAAGCGGAACATCTTTCCTCTGGGAGACCGCAGAGGAGATGACCAACCGCTTCAGTGATGGACAACTCGATGTGCTAGGGTGGGACCCCCGCGGTGTTAATTTCTCCCTCCCCGCCGCGGCATGTTACCCTCAAGACGGGTTCCGGGATCGATGGTCACTGCTAGCACTCCGATATCGCGAGGAGGCCCCAAAGGCCCAACTAGAGGCTGTGGATGCCATGAACAACGCCACCTTCTTTGCCTGCCAGCAACGGCTGGGAGATTTTGGTCGCTTCATCAGCACGGCATCGGTGGCACGCGACCTAGACGAGATCCGAAAAGCACTTCATGAAGAACAAGTCACAGGATACTTGGTTAGCTATGGTACGGGGATTGGTCAGACATATGTCAACATGTTTCCCAGCCGAGCGGGTCGTTTGATCCTCGATGGTACCGAATATGTCAGGGATCATCGCCTTTTAGGCGGCTTTGGCTGGACTGCTCTCGACAACGCAACGGATGCATGGCGCGACGGCTTCTTAGGGGAGTGTATCAACGCCGGTCCAAAGTGGTGTGCACTGGCCAATCCTGTTCCTAACCAGAAAGGCCCTGTCACACTTGCACAGCTGGAAGCGCGTATGACCCAGCTGCTTGAGTCACTCAAAGCTCGCCCACGATCCGCGTACACAGAATTAGCTGGCCCTTCTCTGGTCACTTACTCAGCGCTCGTCGAAAAGGTTCTCTATGGGGCTATGTATCGGCCGGCGGACTGGCCGGGTACGGCACAAATGCTCTATGAGCTCGAAGCAGGGAATGCGACCCTAGCCGCCAATTTCCTAGATCTCTCATGGAGCGACCATTCCAAAAATCCATTCTATCCACATGTTCCATCTTCCACTGAACTCGATTCCCTCGTGATCTGTGCTGATTCGTACGATGCGCCCCTTCCAGACGGACTTGAATGGTGGGATCAGTTGTGGGAGTCAATGTCCTCCCAGAGCTGGCTAGCTGGAAACTCCCGCTTCTTTGCAGTTCTGCCTTGTCGATATTACAATACCTATTGGGATCGTCCTTCGGAAGTGTATCGCGGCGATCTCAACAATACTCTCAAGACCCCTACCCTGCTTATCGCTTCCCCGTATGACCCTGCAACCCCGTTGCGAAATGGAAGAAGGTTACTAGCAGAAATGGGCCAAAATGCCCGGTTGATTGTTAATCACGCTTATGGGCATAGCTCTAGACGTGACAGATCGGACTGCACAGATCGAGTTGCTAAGGCTTATATTCTACATGGCATTCTTCCCGAGGAACAGGAAATTCACTGCTACGCCAATAACAAGCCTTATGTCCGTGAACTTGTAAGTAACGAATGAGAATAGCTTCCGCAAAAAACTGTTGATCTTTCTGCATGTTTTTGCATCCATCGCATAGATAATTTTCCATTGTCAATGGTTTTGCTTAGTTATAACTGGATAATGTGTGAAGAACTTTATGGATTGTATATGGATTGTACATCAGTTCCATATTATAACGCATCTCACTAGTACCCCACAAGAATAGGAGGTCATCAAAGACCGATACTAAGTTGTCGGCAAACTGGGATTCGGACGAACCTCAACAGCATAGCTTGCACGGGATATGGTGTAAGGTTTAGCCCAGTGATATTTTCAAAGCGATTTTTCGAGGTCTACCTGCTCATAGACGTGCATCAATGATCCATTACATTCTGGACATGTCATAACATCAAGTACCCGTGGACCCCTCGGACCAGTGGACGCGTTACACAACAGATAAGAGGCCGATTAGAGGCCGATAAGCCCCTGTCCGGTTGGTTCCAATTTTTCGGGGATGTGATGGATTCGATCTCAATATTATTTGTCAATCTCTTCCCTATTTCCCATTTATTGTGTTTCCCACTCTACTGTAAGACTATTCCACACTATTTCACCATGTTCGAATGCAGCACCTGTACCGAAGAATTCTGGGATCAGGATGACTGCGATGACCATATGGATTACCAACGTCACTGGATTGAGTGTGAAACATGTAGTCGAACGTTCCGTACACAGATCGCTTGCAATCAGCATATGAATGCTGTGAACCACTGGGCGCCGACCTTTGAATGCGAGACATGCACTAGCACCTTCTATAGTCAACACGCCGCCAACAACCACATGAACGCGAAGAATCATTGGCTCCCGACCGTTGCATGCGAGACGTGCCCAAGCAAATTCCACTCGGAGCAGGCTGCGGAGAATCACATGAGAGCCAAGGGACATTACAGGAACTACTGCCAAGCATGTAGGCGTAGGTTTATGAACGAGAACTGTTTGCGCCAGGTAGGACAGCTGACATGATTTGAGAGAAACTATGAACCCGTTCGACTCACCCTTGATTTCATAGCACCTGAATTCCCGGATCCACCGCGGCACCAATATTGCGTGTCCATTCTGTCAGACTGGCTTTGTCACTGCTAGTGGTGCCTCACATCATCTTGAGAGTGGGTCCTGCCCTCAAGCTCAAATCTTGAACCGCGACAGCATCCACCAAATTATTCAACAGCTTGATCCAAATGGCATTGTATGCAAGAAGCAGTTGGGGTGGCACGATGAACAGAACTCGACCTATTCCGTTACCGACAGTGCCTGGAATGGTAGCTGTTGGATGTGTTACCTATGCAAAAGGGGGTTCAACTCGAGAAAAGCGCTGCAATTGCATGTTAACTCGCCTGTGCATAAGGAGAAGGTCTACCACTGCCTCAAGCGCGGCTGTCCAAAGGAGTTCCACTCGTTAGCTGGTCTGTTCAACCACCTGGAGAGTGAATCGTGCGGATTCATGCGGTTCGAGGGAGTTCAACAGGTTCATAATCAGTTCAACGACGCTATCCTGAACCGTCGGAGAATTACAGGATTCTAGTTCTTTGGCTATTTGTCTGGAACTTTGCAGCCGCTTACTCGAAATTATTCAATTTGTCCATCGCTATGGTACTTATAACCAGATGGCTAGATTTACATTTGCTTTACATTTTGTATGAAGACCGCATCAATATCTTTGCTCGTTTTCAAGAAAGAATTATGCTATCACGTTGGAGGAAGTAGTGAGAATCAATCATAATTCTCTATTTCTGTAATAAATGATATCGAGTCTATTTTTTGCATAATATAATATTTATAGCTATAGATCAGCTCCAAAGAAATATCCCATCAAAATGGAGCCAAATCAATGACATGAATACTATTCCTGCAGTAAATAACTATAACTAAGTTAACTCGTCTATGTAGTCAAAGCGCCCGAGACTTAAGCATTTCACTCCGCCACATTCAGGTCATTCCCATTTCGTTTTTGCCTACACTACAGTCTGGAAAGTGATTCAATGTCACCTAAACAGGAACCGAGGGTTTTGTCATGGTCTGGTAAAATAGACTGTATTTTTCAAGTACACGGCGGGAACAGCGTATTTTACCGGGTTCCAGTTTGGGGAGACTCGTAAAAAGTTCCAGGTACAACCCTCTGAAGCAAGTAGGTGAATCAAAACTATAAGCCAAAGACATTACGCAATGGTGACAATTGTATACAATGGGTTCGTCTAGTAGTGCAAACAGATGCTTGTTGCTTCACTAAGATTGATGACTCGGCGCAACAGGGACTACTTCGAGGCTGGAGGAATTGGTGGTGACAAACGCGTGCAACCTGCTGATGGTAGAAAGATAAGCTATATGGGTTTTGTGGAAGGACAGGAAAATATATTGACCAGCTTGGGGAAGTCTTCAGCGATTAGAAGCAGTGAGTTACTCGGATGTGATCAATTCATATAAACTTTCTAACAGCGGAGACAGATGACTGCTTAATCCTACTTCTAGGTCAAATTCCTGCGTAGGGTTCCAGTGTACGACGACACCGAATCGTGGTTTTACCAGCTTGGTGTTGTTGCGGGCTGCCTCTGCCGACTCTGTGTTCTTAAATCGAATGACGTAGCCGGTTTCAGCGGTGCCGATACCATGTCTTGTATCTTGCGTCGTTCCGTAGTGCCGTGCGGATGTGTTCGTTAGCAGCATCGGTTGGAAGATAGCGCCTAAACGTGTTTCTATCGTTATTGTCATGATCTTTTGGGTCGACAAGTGCTCTGATTCGCACATATTCTTGCTCTTTCTCGGGTTGTTAGTCTCTCGGCGAGAAGGCGTTATTGCTGCCGTTAGCTGCAACTATGGCCTAGGACCTAGTCGCAGACACTGTCGGGGCGGCACTTTCAATCTGTGCTCTCTCAAGGCTTTCACCTCCTCATGAAGTTTCTCGCTCTGTTCCTAGAGGACATTTTGGTTATGCTTGATCTCCTGAAGTTCATTCTGGGTGGCTACGATGGTCATTATTTAGTAGTAGATGACATCCTTCAGCGCGCGGATTAATTTCCATACTTTCTTAGTCATGATTCAGCCGGATCCGATGGGGCGAAGGCATCTCTACTTCGGGTTCGCGTCCGCCTCTCGATGGTGACCCTAGCTTCGAGGTCCTCAACGAGGCTATGGTAGGTCCGTCGTCAGTCGGGGATTAGTTCCCGCTCGGTACACACAACAGTGATATATCGTGTGTTAACAGGCGCGCTCCGTCGTAGAGGTCCTTTCCAATATAGGATCGGTCCACGAAATTACACGCCCAAGAGATTCAGGACTATAGTCATTCTTAAAATCAGCTTCACCAAATATATAATAATTATTTTTCTGCCCCACTGCCAAGACCTTAGCGTGAGATAATGATTAAGCTCCAGTTTTTACTTGGGAGCTGGAAGCGGCGCTGCGGGGTCGGCCCGCCGTCGCTCCGCTTTAGGTGGCTAATAACTCCCCAATATTACACAAATTACGAAGGAGACGGGTCACTCGTCAACCAGTTTCAGAACTAATCGCTTAAGGTGTTGAGACCTCTCATAGGTCACATGATCTGTCCCTACATAGTAGTAACTTAGTTCTCTCCTTTCCTCTAGATCTGTACAACACACACCACCACAATAAATTACATTGTGCTACTTCATGATCTCATCAACTCGATAAGCTATAACATAAGGCTTCCCGGATTATGCGACTCTGCAGGTCCTTCTATCCCAAGGATCAGGCCTTGATTGGGTAGCGAGCAAGCCAGGTGATCGACAGTTTAATGCCCCACGACCTTGTCGGAGCGATAGACAAGGACCCCTATATGATTTGCTGTCGTGCCAAGCATATAATAAAGCGATTCCTCTTGAAGATAGCTTTAAAGGAACAAAGGAATATTTTTATTAAAGTCAGCTAGGATTTCTGAACCAGCTTCTACTATGCGGATTCGAACCAAGCCTATAATAGTCTATTATACCAAGTGGCGGAAATATTACCGAGATTTAATACTCCTATCTAGGTAATAAAAAATATTCATATACCACATCCTTTTGCTTCTATAATAACCCTTATGTATTATTGAGCTCCCGTATTGATTTCTTAAGGATCTACTTCGTTAGGGTATATTAGCCGTCAACTAGGTAAGGATACCAAGTGCTACGTAGGATTCAAAGAAAAGAGGACAAAATGTTTTTGTAAACTAAAACTAAACCTTGGGTGGATCTCCTACGGTCCTAAAATATAGTTGCGGATGTCCGTAGATGGGACTAAGTAATAATGATAGAGTCTATCCGAAAACGGTGACGGAACCTACCGGTTCCGCTAACCAAGCTTTCCCTAGATCTGGGTGTCTAAGGATCCCCGGTCTTAATATTAAAACCCGGGGCAATCTATAATAGATTGAAAGAATTAGCAGAAACTAGGTTTCATTTGGCTCATATAGTGCCTATACTCATACCCTAGGATTTGTTGGCGAGGCCAGTTAGCGCAATGGTTTTTTGTTTGATCCCAGAGATATATTTGAGTCCTACAAAACGATCAGCTTTGTTCTAAACCAAAAAAATAATATAAGTAGCATCGACCTATTATTATGTTTCCTGATGTTGGTGGTACTATTAAATGTGTCCCGGACATCCTACCTCTCTGGTTCCCGGGCTTATGTATCACGCCAGCTAATTAAGACGTCACCTGCGCAATAATATTCGTTTAGATATAGCTGTTCTCGGAGATTAGGAGTTATGATAGGTTCTTACTTTCTTGCTTTGCCATGGGCTAGGCTAATCTAGAACTGAGTCTGCGGTATCACCACGAGTACAATGATTAAGTTCTGACGTACTATATACTTCTATCAGACAGTGCAGTGCGAAGACGTCAATTTAATAGTGAGAGATGAATATGCTGATACGTTACTTAGTGATATACCCTACTTCCGAGGCTTCCTATGGGATAGAGCTGCCATATATTCTCCACATGGACTTATATATTTAATGGAGCAACCATTTCTATATATTTCAGTACATACGACTTTTGGTTATTCATTGTCAAGACAATATAATACCTCAAAAGGCCTTCTAGCATACCCCCCTATACTACACAGAACCAGCACAATACGTTATGCCCGCTCCACAAGGCATGGTTATGAACGGCCCATATGGTGGACCGGGCGGCGGCGGCTACGATGAAGAGGATGGAGAACATAAAGTCAGGAGGATTGATGCCTGGGGACGGAGCTATAATGGATACGATGTTCTGAACGGATTTCAGTTCACCTGGGATGACGGCGTTCAGGGCAACCTCATCGGTAACACGAACGACAACATTTACGAATTTTATGAGTTTAATGATGGTGAAACGATTGACAGCATGACTGTCTATGCTGGAGATGGTGAAGGCTATGTCAACGGCTTCGAATTCGATACAAACCTGGGCGGCCACTATTCGATTGGTGGAACGGAGGGCAAAGTTAACTATCTTGAAAACCTTGGGACTGGTGATTTGACTGCAGCGGCAGGCAGAGATAGTACTCACGGCTCTGGAGACGTCGTGGATAGTATTGACATCTACTTCAAGACCTGAGGGCCTGTTATCTATTGGTGATGGCTCTGGTTTATATGCTGTTATATTTTCAGTTACTCACAGGCATGAAAGGCCTTGGTGTGGGTTTTTCCTCGGTGTACACTGTTTTCCCCATGCTGTCGTGCGAATGCAAAGGCTACTATATACACTGTTAAAAATGCCATAGCCTTCGTGACCTCTCTGCAATAAAAGGTCAAGACCTGGCTGTCAAACCTCCAACCCCCATCTTATTCACCAACACCCACAAAAGCTCAACAATCTATACTAGCTATATGTTTAGGTTCTATTAGTGATATATGACAGAAAACTGGCGTACGAACAATGTATGGTATAGATGACCGATGTTGAAGACTCCAAATAACTAAAATGATAAAACCCGCTTTTTCAACAATCTATGCGGACCATGATGACTAACTATAATATGCACTTTTGTATGGTATGCCTGGTACCCAATGTCATATGATGTTTCCGGTATATTACCTGGTTTCTACCATGTATTCGGACTTAGTATTCGACAATTTATTTCAACCTTTACTACTTGCATGGTATAAGTTGGTATGATGTGTAAAGATGCTCGATTACTATCTGCGTGCTAGCTAGCTGTGGTCCCGAGCGGAGTCTAGGGCCTAGTATATATACCGCTACAGTGACAATCGGGGGTTCCCGATTGTCTCTATGATCTTTTGGCCGGGTGGTTAAATGCTCTTATGTAATCACCAAGGCGCAGCAGCCTAAGTTCCCGTTAGGATTACAATGGCAACATTGCAGAACCAATTTGTTGTTTTACATTTATTGATGAGTATGATCATGATCACTTTGATCCTTTAGTTTCTATCTCATCTTTATTCTTTGCCATTGTATCACACCATGCCAATTCCCATCAAGGACACCGTAACGCGTCTCGCGACCATATCCAAGCTCTTAGTCCTATCCTATATAATCGACTGGATATTCATCATGTAACGCCAAACCACCCAATTCCTCCCATCAAACTAACAATTCCTACCAGCGGCGTCGCCCTAATCGGCTATGGCTTCTACAAACAATCCCCAAACCACCACCCCTTCAGCCTAACCGACCCAACAATCAGCTACCCTTTCACCAAAGAAACCGTGACAACAAAAACCCTCGTCCTAGTCTGCCTCTTCGCTCCAGCAATTATAATCTTATTACTCTCATGGCTGCTGATCCCAGCAAAAGCCACCACCTCTAACACCTCCAACGTCTCCAACCCCGCACCTAACCCCCCCGCAGCGCAATACATCCGCCGCAAGTTCTGGGAATGGAACGTCGGCTGGATGGGCCTCGCCCTAGCCATCGCAAGCGCCTGGTCCGCAACACAGGGTCTGAAAGTGCTAATCGGCAAACCGCGACCCGATCTCCTGGCCCGCTGCAATCCAGACCTCACACGCATTGCGGAGTTCACGGTCGGTGGGCTTGGAGAGGAACTGCGGGGTGCAGCGACGTTAGTTTCGTGGGAGATTTGTCGCGATAAGAGTAATTCGTTGCAGATTGATGGGTTTTCCAGTTTTCCCAGTGGCCATTCTTCCTGTAAGTCTATAACTATACATATACCATAACCGTGTATTGTGCATCTTATCTTCAGATATGATACAAAAAACACAATTCCAGTATATATACACACATGAATTCAAAGCTAACAATCCCCAGTCTCCTTCTCCGGCCTACTCTACCTAACCCTCTGGCTCTGCTCCAAATTCTCCATCGCATTCCCGTATCTCCCACGCTACCCAGTCGAAGACCAAAAGCACGTTGACGACGATACATCTGTACGGAAACGCGGTGCTGCGCCGCCCGTATATTTAATGCTAATTGCGTTCGTGCCGACTGCTACGGCGTGCTTTATTTCTGCGTCGCGCTGGTTCAATTACAGACACCATGGTTTTGATATTCTCTTCGGGTCGGCGCTCGGAATTTTCTTCGCTTATATCGGGTTTAACATGTACCATCTTCCGATTCGACGTGGTGCGGGCTGGGCTTGGGGGGCGCGTAGTCGGAGACGTGCTTTCCTGCGGGGTGTTGGGGTTCCTAGTTCACTGGGCACTGATGGGTGGGCGGGTGACAGGGGGTTGGATGGTGATGTTGAAGGGGCGGCTGCGGTGAGGGAGATGGGGTATAGGAATCAGGGACAGGGACTGGATCGTGTTAAGCCGGACGGTGGTGAGGGTCCGGCTGCTAGGCTTGAGGCGTGAGTGAGGCGTGGATTTCCGGGATTGGGTTGAGCGCGATTCGGACGAAGCAAGGCCTTGAAGGTATTATGTTGATTTATATTGTATTGTATAGTGGATAATGAACAGATCATGAATCGGAGGCAGCATGGCATCGTATATGGCGGTCAGACGTGACGTAAATATTTCTATTTTGAGGTTTCTTTCAGACCTCATCGCCAACCTCCAACACGTCCCTCATCCCACCGTGCTTTGGCCTCCTTCCGAGCCGCTAATTTAGACGCCTCGCCCCGTACGCGCCGGACCCAATCTGCAATCTCCTTCTCTGTGGCCCGACCGTGATGGTCTTCATCGAGGAAACTCTCCTCTACAGCATGACAGACAGCCTCTTGTTCCGTGATCGCTGCGCTGAAGCGTTGGTATAGTGCTTTCGGCGACCACGGGGCTAGAGCGGCGTCCATCTCGGCTTGCTTCTTGCGCCAGGAGACCTCCAGCGACTGGTGTGTGATCAGCATTGTTTCCGCGGAGGCGCGAAGTTCGGCGAGGTGGTTCTGCATCTCCAGAACGCGGGTTGCAAGGTCTTTGTTTGTTTGAATAAGGGTCTCGAGCTGTTGTTGGCGGGTTGTGTAGGAGGAGTGTTGGCTTGAGAGGGCGGAGATCAGGGATGGGTCTTCGAGAATTGTTTGGAGGTCGGTGGTTCTGGGGTTGCGTGGGTTAAGAGGTGCTCCTATCCTTGTGTTGGGAGGTTTGAGGGGACACACGATTTATCGGACACTAGGTCTGGGAGCCATCCCTCCTCGATTGTTGGGGGATCGGGGATATATGGCTGTTGAGGATTATTGGGATGTGCGCCTGTCTGGTCTGGCTGCCAGGGTTGTGTAGATGTGTTTTGCGGAGTGCCGCGTCGACTCGCTTCGTGGCTGTTGGGTTTGGGGGGTGGTGGAGGAGGTGTGTCGGGATTCATTATCTGGGATGAGTAGAACTGCGTTTGCGGGGGGAATGGAGACGGTGGTTGAGACATGATATGGTGGTTAGCGGTTGGTGGAAGTTAAGTTGCTACGTCGGAGATGCGGGATGGGCTCGAGCTTAGTGGGGACTAGGCCGGTGATCTACGTGGTTGTATCAACTATGACAGTACGATCTCTACGTATGTGGAAAATAGCTAGTTATGTTGCACTATATATTGTTCAATGGATATATCGTGATATTTCGTGATTTAATCCTAATTACAAGATCGTATAGAAGCTTCTCTTCGGGCATCCGAGCCACTCAAATAACCCCCAACAGGGACTCTGACAAGTCTAACAGCCGCCTTCACAGGGAGACTCAAAACTTCAAGCGAGACATTAAAGATTCCCGAGACAACGGCGGAGTGCCCGTCCGCACGATTCAACCAGCAGGAGCCATGGGCTCCAACTGGAAATGCTTAAATGGATTTCTGCCACTGATTCGCATCTTCAAATGCGATGGTGGTTTCTTGTATAGACAGGAGTCTGACATGACAGTGGGAAGAGTTTAACAGTCGCAATGCTCCTGTTTACTCAGTTCTCCTCCGAATCTCCCGCTCCATAGCTTCAATATTCGAGCCTGCCATGGCATCCTTAACCAACTCGCGCACCTCATTCTGCACCTCCTCGCTGTAATAATCCTCACGAGTTGCAAGCTCCTCAATGCGCCTCTTGAATTCTGGATCCGGCTCACCACCAGCAGTGGCCTCTTCCTCCGTCATTGTACCAATGTTGACCCTCATATCGCTGCCAGGGATGGCTCCGGGAGAGTTCAAAACTTCGGCAGCTTGCTCGTGTGTCGGAGCAGGAGCACCGCCGACAGCTTCGCGGAGGTAGGAAGCGACCTGCGGGAACTCATTCTCGGTCTCGAACTTTTCCACAGCTGTAAAGTCTTCGGCGTTCTTCTTATTGGCATCCACACCAAGTTCTTCGACTAAACAGCGCGCGATGTCGCTATCTTCGACCACAAATAGACATGTCTCGCCATCTTCGTCGAGCAGGTTCACATCGACGTTGAATTCTTTGACTAGAGCGCGTAGGAGATCGATATGACCGTAGGAGGCTGCGGCGTGCAGCAATGAGTAGCCGGACTCATCTTGGCTGGATGCGATCGAGGGGTTGGATCGCAGCAGCTCCAGAAGGGCTGTTGGGTTGTCGCAGGCCAAGAGGTAAGGATTTTGGGCCATTATGAGTGAAATTATTAAAGTGAAAGTATTAAAATCAAGTGAGTCAAAGGTAACTTGTGGTTGTTAAAGTAAGTCAAATCAACTTAGCAGAAAAAAAAAATATCCGCCTTTCCCTTTCGGCTCCCCGCACTGTGACACATTCAGTCTGACTCTTCGTCTTTGCTCCGGCTCTTAGCCGCTTTTGTGCTTTTGGCCTTTTAGTCTCTTCTTTGTTTTCCTTCGATTTCATACAAATACCCTTTCAATACCTCAGGCAGGAGGTCAGGAAAATCATCGCGCCTTTTCTCTTTCCTCTTCCCCCCTCCCTCCCCCCACTCCTGTCTGCCCCTCCTCTCCGATCTTTTTGATATACCCAACACACAAACATGGCGACTCAAGATCCACACGTCATCTCACAGCTTGTGAAAAGCCTGGAGACTGCAAGCAAGGCCAGAAAGGGCGAGACAAGGTTCACCTGCAAAAAAAGCACCTTTGCTTTACCCAATAATGTGACCGTGGACTCATGGAAGTTCCAGGACTGGGACTACAAGCGGGCCGGTCTACCAACATATGCGCGAGGTCTTTTCACCACCAAACGGAAAGACAACATACCTGAAATCGCAGCGCGCGGATACGACAAGTTCTTCAACGTAGGCGAGACAAGGGCCACGGAATGGCGCAACGTCGAGAAAAACACAAGAGGTCCCTATGAGCTGAGCGTGAAAGAGAATGGATGCATTATTTTCATCTCAGCATTGGAGGACGACACATTGCTGGTCTGCAGCAAACACTCGACTGGACCCCGCGAAGATACAATAGTTACCCACGCGCAGGCAGGAGAACGCTGGACGGAACGCCATGTCTCGTCCGTGAATCGATCTGTCAAGGACCTTGCCCGGACGTTGCGCGAGATGAATGTTACAGCCGTTGGAGAACTATGTGATGACAGTTTTGAGGAGCATGTCCTGGCCTACGACGAAGCTTCTTCGGGCATTTACCTTCACGGTCTCAACTACAACCAGCCTGACTTTAAGACAATGTCGTGTGAAGATGTGCACAAGTTTGCTGACGACTGGGGTTTCAAGAAGGCCAAGTTCGAGGTCTTCGATGACATTTTCAGAGTGCAGAGCTTCCTGGAAGGATGCGCGGAGACAGGAATGTGGGATGGACGTGAGACCGAGGGCTTCGTCATCCGATGCCAGTTGAGTGATAACGGCACCGAGCCCTACCGAAATTGGTTCTTCAAGTACAAGTTCGAAGAGCCGTACTTGATGTACCGCCAGTGGCGTGAGTGCACCAAAGCCGTTATCGGAGGGAAACACCCCAAGATCAGGAAGCATGAGCAGATCACCGAAGAATACTTGCAGTTTGCTCGACGGGTTCTGGTGAAGAACCCTAACATGGCAAATGAGTATATGAAAAACCACGGTATCATCGCTTTGCGGGAGCAGTTCCTTAAGGAACGGGGATTGAATGGAGCCGAGCTTATCGCTCTGGAGGCTCGGAAGCAGAGCGATGCGCAGGAAACCAACAAAAATATCATCCTCGAACCGGTTGCCTCTCTGGGATGTGGCAAGACGACAGTCGCCTTGGCTCTGGTTAAGCTCTTTGGATGGGGACATGTTCAGAACGACAACATTCCCAAACAGAAGAATAAGCCGAAGAAGTTCGCTTTCGACGTCAGCCATGCTCTGGGAGAGCACAGTGTTGTCATCGCCGATCGCAACAACCACCAACGGCGCGAAAGGAAGCAGCTCATGGAGGATATCTACCCTGTGCTTCCGGATGCGAAGTTCGTCGCTCTACATTACGTCCACGAGCCCAAGGCAGACATGCTCCCCGCCATCCGAGAAGTCACTCGAAAGCGTGTGCTAGAGCGTGGCGACAACCACCAATCCATCCGGGCTGGAACCAACGCTGAGCAAGAGACCGTCGGAATTATGGAGGGATTCCTCGGCCGCTTCGAAGGCGTCGACACCACCCGCTTGCCAGATGAGACCTTCGATCACGTCATTGACCTCGACGTGTGCGCCTCGTCTCGCGAGAACCTCGAGACAGTTGTCAAAGCCCTACACGCCGCCTACCCCCTCCTAGTGCCGACCATGCCAACGGCAGCAGATCTCGACCAAGCTATCGACGCAGCCCTAAATGACTACACTGTGACAAAAGATCTCAGCTACAGCTACGGGTCCCCACAGAAGCCGAGAGTCAAAAAGCCCAAAAACAAAGAGAGCAACGCCCTCATCGCCGAACTAACAGACTCCCCCTTCTTCCCACAAGCCCTCGCCACAAAGATCGAATACTTCAACATCTCCCTCCCAGCAACCGAAGTCACCTCGCTCCTCCACTCCCTCTTCCCGCCAACTACACCTCCCGAAACAGCCCGCCTCTATAACCAACTCGTAAACTCCCGCCGCCTACAGCCAACCTTCCATGTCACCCTCATCCACCGTGCCTCGAAGAAAGACAACCCAGAGACCTGGGACCAGCTAGCAACCCGCTACATTGAAACCCAGACCAAAAGTCCCGTCGAAGACCCAATCCAGTACCCGCCGACCCTGGGCTCAGCGCGCGTGCGCATCGAGCGCCTTGTCTGGGATAACCGTATCATGGCCTTTGTCGCGCGCATCCTGCCTGCTGAGGGTGTCGAGTCTGCCGAGTCTGAGTGGCCGTGTGCGAACCATATCCCGCACATCACTGTCGGCACTGCGGCACCGGATGTTAAGCCGAAGGAGAGTAATGATTTGCTGCAGCGGTGGGTTGAAGTTGGGTCTGGTGGTGAGACGGGGATTTATGAGGCGGAGGTTGAAGGTGTTAAGGTTGTTAATGGAGTTGTTGGCTTGGTTATGAGCCGGGGGAAGTATTGAGCTGTTTCTTCTGATCCGAATGATTATGAAATGGAATGCAGTGGATTATTGAAACCGGGGCAATTGCTTGTGCTTACTTTGGCTACAGCTATGGTTACAGCTATGGCTATGATTTTGCTGAATTGCATTTTAGGGTGCTTTTAGCATTCCATTGTAGATATTATGTCTCATTCTTATTCATTGAACTAGCTTTGATATTGAATGGATTCCTACTATTCATGCTTCTATTAGGGGCTGTGTATACAATTCTATAACCAACAAGCATAGCCACATACTATCGCCCCCTCCCCGTCGGGGTTAACTCATTCAGCGGGGGCTGACCCCTGCATCAGCCGCATCGGCATCGGAGAACACCTTGCAGATCTTTTGGGGGCCATTTCTTATCTTTTCGGACCTGCTTTTCCAAATATTTTCTAATTTATAAAAGCCTTTGTATGATTCTATATTCGCCGTGCTTCGAGGGTGCCACCTACCATGACATCTCAACCAAGCCTCCAAGATGAAGGCGTTGTCTTAGAGCGACTCTTGAACGCCACAAACGAGTCAGGCCCTGCAGAAAGCCCCAGCACTGAAGAAACCAAGCCAAACCCCAAATATCGACATCCAACTAAAGCAAACACCGTTCGCTTCCGGCCACAACTTTACGTCCCCATCCTAGTTCTCATCTATACCGGACTTTTACTCGCGGCGTGGTCAATCCTCTGTCTATCAAGTCGAAATCTGATCGTATCCATCCCGAATGGGGATTCGTATGATTACATCCACGAATCATGGGTTCAGGGTTATGTTGATCGAACCCAACAATGGTGGCGGGCTGCCCGAGTGATGTGGAGTGTTGTCGGCGTCTTGACTCTACCGTTGGCTTCTTCCGTCTGTGGATATGCAGCAGTGGGGTACATTCAATCGCAACGATATCGCAAGGCCAACCTCACTCTAAGACAAACACTCAACCTTGCTGATCGAGGCTGGAAGAGTCCGAATGTCATTTTTCCAATGCTATGGAGTCCAAAGAAACACGGTAGTTCAATCCTCTTGATTGCCATGTTACTCCATATCTTAGGTCAAATCTTAACCTTCTTTCTGACAAGGTATGTCCGTTGCTAACTATTCTAATTAGGTGCTTCTATATCCCCGCTACAGGAGCTACTTGTCGGACAAAGCTACGTTAAAGTCCCTCTCAATCTCGGAGCCATCACTGAAGTGAAGGATATCTTTGCCTTGACGGATCCAGTCTCCCTCGAAACAAATGATTTGGGCGACGACGTCGGGATATTACGCTCGAACCTCGGTATTGCACGTTCAACAGATTCGTATGAGAACCTGTGGGGAGCAAATGCCACATGCAGTGACACTCCGTTTAATTGTCCATCCACAAAGGTCGACGTCGAAAATCTATCATTACCTAAAAATGTCACGCCGCACGAACAGATTCTGTTCATGTCTGATGTTAGAGTGAATACCAGTACAGGTCTGATACGACAATTTGCTCCGAGATTCAATTCTTCTGTGCACTGGGAATCACTCGACAACAGCAAATTCCCAAGCAATTGCTCTGGGATCGCATTTTTCCGGAATTACACAGTGAGCCATCAAGAAGAGATAATAAACGCTAATGAGTATCAGATCAGTGTCTGTATGCTTGGCAATCTGACCGAAACACCGTTCAAACGCACTCGCAATCGACAGGATTTCAACGAGACTTTGTACGTCACTGCTGAAGGCAGTCAGAACGTCCAAACGACGTTTAAATTAACACTATCTACAACTCTGGGATATTTCGAATTACCCAATGATCATCTTGGTCCAAAGTACGGTCCATTACTAGACAGTGACCCTCTAGCAACATGCTCCCGACCCGAGTGCGAGCCACAATCTAACGATGAACCGACCACGTAAGGATCCCGACATCCCCCTCTCGAACGATCTTTTCCAGCTAACATTTCCATTTTCCTCTATATAGATCCAAACGAGATGTGCTTCCAGAGACCTACCCTAATGGGACATACAACGGGACCTTCTATCTCGAATTCGTAGCGTCCAAGGGCCCCCTCGCTCTAATTACATTAGCGCTATTCGGTCAAGATGCCTTCATCGATACCAAAAGTCATAATCTCACCAAAGTCCGAGACGCAAGTAGTCCGCTCAACTCCGTCTGCTACGAGTATGCCCCGCTGGCCCTTCTCTTGGGTCAAAAAGGACTACCGTGCAATACTGGTTACATTATGCCCGGCGCGGAATGGGTCGATGCTTTTAGCAGACCGCAAAGGGCAATACCGGCCCTGAATCAAGCGGCCTTTTTGGCGAATCAGGCTATTCTGCAGGCGGCGGCTGGTTCGTCGTCTTTGTTCATCCAGAGTCGAAGTCATCTGGAGTATTTGAGGCCGGAGATTTCAACTGGCACGGTCATCGGTCTCTCTGTTTTGATTGGTGTTTTTCTCTTTTTGTTGGTTTTCCTGTGTGTCATGACTCTTACGCAGGTTGCTTGGGCTGGGTCCCTTGATAGTCACGCGATTGTGAAGATGAGTGTGGCGCTTTCTGAGTGTTTGCCATCGTCTGAGGACTGGGATAAGGATTCGAGGAAGAGGGAAGAACTTCTAGATTTGCTTCCTGGGTACATTGGTGATGCGGAGCCGGAAGCTCCTGTGGGGAGACTTGCTGTTGGGGCAGAGGGAGTGTTGAAATGGAGGCGGCGGTATTGGAAAGGGGAGGGACTGGCTCTATGAATTCTTTGTAGCATAATAGACCGCTCAGTGATGATAAAGCTAGTCACAGATTTAGAGAGGAGTATGGGTTTATATAGTACGCTCACCTGTTTTTACAGAGTGATATCCTAGAACTGAGGTTGTCGATGGTATTCAGATGAGGCTAGCTTGGTGCGTTTCATAGATGTGGGCTACTAACTCGGCTACTCTCGCTTTTTTCAAGTCTCAATGACTGGGTGAGTTTACCTTTAGGGTTGCCTATCCGGGGACATAGGTAATGCTTAACACTTAGGGCATGCTCGACATCACTCAGTGATCGAAAAGCAGCGAGGGGTGAGCAACTAAAATGGAATGGGAAATTTATCAAGCGCAGCCTGAAATCCGACGTACATGTACTAGTAACCTACAAGTTCCCTTTTTGTCTGATATTAATATTTAGCAATGTACTACCAAGAAACCCAGTCCGTATGCCAACATGAGTAATTGGAAGACAGAAAAGGAAGTCAAAGCGCCAAACACTGTAGTTATGGCTAGATACATATACACAACGAAAGTGAGCCAGCCGCGCCCGATATCCAAGTAACCACAAGCACACCGTGCGATGTATGCGAGGTCCGACAAAGCGCAGGGTATCAGGCACGAGCAAGTAAACAAATTAACCACTAATCCAAGCTGTAACACGCGATGCTCCGAAACGACCCACGTATTGCAGGCCGGTACTGCCCATGGGGAAATAGCTGACGAGGTACCAGACGAGGGCAGCGAGCTGGAAGATCGAGGAGACGAGAGTGAGGAAGAGGTTCTGACGCTATAATTCACGGAAAAAAAAGAGAAGTCAGTCAGCCAGAGTTTCTCGAAGAGGATGTGCTGCCAAATGTGGCAAGTGGATGGTGTGTAGTTGTGATATGCAGGTAGAACAGGATGACCGAGTCGTCAGGGACGGTGAGACATAGATTGATCTTGATGGCTCTGGACTCCGCGCTCTGTGAGACCGGGATGTGTCGGACAAGGGGAAGGGAAAGGACATCCAAGTCCCGCGCCGTGGTGGGACGTAGCACAGACGCAAGATTCAAAGCAAAGAGGCCGGCCGAGTACAGGGTGGGATGGAATCGAATGAGCTAAAGTGGTTGCAGCCAACAAGCAAGCATGACAAGCCGTGGTTTCAGGTTGTACTGCGCGATGGATGTAAAGGCTGCAAGATTCCCCTTTTCCAGGTCGTGCAGTGCGACCATACGAACTCGGGTAGAGCGAGGGAGAGCGAGTGTGCGACAAAGGAAATCGAGAGGGAAGTATCATAGGGAGGGGAGGGATCGTCGGTGGGCCATAGGATGAAGCGCAAAGACCAAACACAAAATCCAAATCCGAAAACGAGAACGAAAAATAAAAGAAAGATAAAGAAATCGATTTTGCTTACCCCGATGGCGAAGTAGAGCGTCAAAGCGATCGCTCCGAAATAGGCCGCTGTGAATGGCAACCGTGTTCCCGAGACCAAATGCTTAGCGTAAGTCCACGGTCCCATGAGAACCGCCCATGATAACAAAAACAAGACTGAGCCGACGGACCATCTAGTACAGAAACTTGTTAGCAAGAGATACCCAATACCGGAGACGAAGGTTCTTGGCATGAGGCGCAGATATAGGTCAAGCTCAGGACCAATCAGCTTGAAGTGTGAAGTACAAAGGCGCACATGGCCCTAACCAAAATTGACCGATGACCAGGTTTATCCAGCTCGGGATTTGCTCGGTCGTCCGAGAGCATGAGATAGCCAGAAAAATAAAAGAGGGCTGGGAGGGCAATAGAAAGCCGGGGAACATAGTCCACATTATGCGGACCATCGCGGAGGCAACTTACAAGACCGCGAATTTGCGGGGCTTGAGCGACAAGACGGGGAACAAGAAGAAACAGATCATGAAACAGACGGCGGCGCCCAAATTACATGCGCCGAAGATGAGCATACGGTCCCACCGACTCACTATATGTAGTCCGTGTTAGTGTGTTTCTCTTCTTCTATCGGCTACTACATAAACAAGCATGGTGGGAATGAACCCTCCCGGCGCAGGAACTACAGTCTCATCACCTGGATCACGCAACGGTGTATGGGAGGATCTGGAGATCGGAGGGTCACAAGACAGAAAGAAGAAAAAAAATACTTACAAGCAAAGAAGCCCTCTTCTTCTTCCCGTCGAGTAGCTGCGGGCAATGGGGCCCCAGGACCTTCATTGTGAGTAGGCAGTTGAACATAACCGCCATCGCTGAACGGGTTATAAGACTGTAGACGGGATAAGAACGGAGTGGTCGATGACGTGCCAGTGTTGACGGGGAGATCCGGATCTCTACGCGACCACCCTAGTGAGTTAACAGAGTCTCGGAACGAGTTATTCGCCATATTTGAGACTAGTTTTAGTCAAGTTTTAGATCCTGAATGAAACGTGGAGAAGAGGAGCGTGCACTTCTGCGTCTGCAGAGAAGGCCCGTGGTCCAGGAAGTCAAGACCAAGAGAACGGTCTGCAGGGACTATGCGAGATGGAGTGCAGATGATCTGCGCCGGGTGGTGGATGATCCTTAAGGATTGGCTAGAAGCGGGGGCCTAGTGAAGCCAACGGAGGGGCAGATGACGACTGTGTCGAACGTAGATTCGGCTTTTGATGAGCTGGGACACGCCGTGAGTCGGGTCGAATGAGGGGGCCACTTTCGACTCGAAAATATGCTGTCAGGATCAAAAGATTAAAGGTTTCTTTTGAATATGGCAGGCTGATAGATAAAATGTATGGACAACCTCCCCAACCAAGAAAAAGGCTGCCTGTTGCACTGCGATAACGCGTCAGCCCAGCGGGATCTACGGCTATCTCTGCGGAGTCGGCGATGGCTACCGGGGGTAGCTTGGGAGGTCCTATGGCGCGGCGCAGGTGGATTAATCGAGGATAGGCGGCGCAAGAATGCGGCGAGATAAGCCAACCAAGCGGAAGAGAGGTGGGAAGCGTTGAACCTTGCGGGCAGGATCCGAGAAGGGATAGGAAGCGAACACGGTGTAGGGGGTTCGATGGATGCTGATTGGATAAGGAAGCGCTGCGCTATCGGTAAAGGAGGGTAGGGAAACGAGGGGAATCAAGCAAAATGACGAGATGGCGTGAAGCTACCGATGCGACCAACCCGATCGGCGTTAAGTGCTGAAGCTGTCAGATGATGGTTTCCAGTGTTGGAGTACAAAGCTTCGGACCGAGCCCCTGTGGGGTTATTGACCAAGAGGGGCCCCCCAAATAGAAAGATGGGATACATAAAAGAAAGACATGCCGCTTACCAAGAGGGTGCAATGTTGCCTAGGTGGCGTGTAGAGGTATAGTTGTATAGTGGCAGTCTTCCAGTTCTGCGATGAAGTTGGGGAAAGGAGGCTAATGCCTAATGTGGTATAGCGCAAGATATGTAGCATCAAGTAACTATATAACCCACCTATAAGCAACTTCACATATCATTTTATGTATTTTTTATATTGTTTTCATTTATTCTCACATATGTAGATATTATTATAACATTTAAATACGCAAATACTATGCTTTGCGCTATATCCGCTGGAATTTGTTAAACCTCAAATCCCTTAAGGACATCCAGAACTATACTTGTTTGTAGGTTCAAACTTGTTGCATATTAAATCGAATCGATATACTTTAGGTGGAGTTGCCAGATGACTTGTTTAATAGACTATTAATTTACAATGTACTCACAGTCCATTCTTTACTATAATCTATCCTTTTATATACTTGATTTGGACGCATGACCATTAATAGCCCCCCCTCCCTATCTGCAACTTTCAATCATTGGTTGCCGTCCCACTGTCGATCCTTCATGGCTGGTGCGCACCCTGTAGCGATCGGCCGTAACTGTAATAGTAGAGTGACGGTCAGGTTCTGGTATTGGACAGCCCTGCAGAAGCATTTATCGATAACGGCTACAACGGCTATAGTTGCCCGCAGTCGTATCGGAAGAACTCCAGATGATGTTACATACCCATTATATAACCTTTTTACCTGTTGACTGTATTCATGTAGCTACCCGTGTACCACCTAGGGGAATTATCCGATAACCATAAGGGCGCTAATATGCACTCCGGACTGCACCGTGGGTAACATTGGTACTAGCCTCATTGTTTCTCCAAATTTGGCTTCGGCTTTTGCTTTTTTCCTGTTTCCTTGTTTTTCTTGCTTTTTCACGTCTGCTTTACTTTGCAGTGGTACTCTATAGAATGTCCGATCCACACGAGTCGGTTCATCCGTGACCCCCCGGAATTTGAGTGCGACCTTGACCACGTACGATGTCGTCATATCAGGGTCCTGTGCACAGGTGCTTCGAGTAGAACATCGATAGTCTCAAACCTCTTTGTGTTGAATACTACCAAAGTAGATCTTGAAATACAAACTTCTCTCCCTTGCGTCGACCGTGGATTACTAGGCGTGTGTCGCCGAACCTTGACGGGACGGGACGTCAGATCCATATTTCCCCTCAAAACGAATCCCGGAGATCAATCCCCATCTGTCGATCCCAGAATATCATCATCTCCTAAACCGGAGTGGCTTATAAAGAGGGGAAAGTTTGGCGATGTGGCTCAGCACAGTCATATCAAAGTGAGGTGTATTGCTTTGATTCACTATTGGTGGAGGGAGGTCTGAAGACACATTCCAACCCCTCCAATTATCTCTCTTTGCCACATTCTATTCTACTTTTTTTGTCCTTCGGAGACCAAACGGTTAAGTCCGAAATCCGAAGTTACCAACTGTCTTGAACATTCTGAACGGTTTCCAAATATTGAAGTATGTTATTATTTTCTTTGCCGCTGTAACCCAGATCAATACCCACGAGTTTGCCCCTTACGTAGAACAAAAATAATAGCGATTCAACCCCAAGTGCGCAGGAGCGGAGCAATATGGAAGGTCCAAGCTTCCTTGACGATCACAGATATGATCACCACTCCAGACTCCCCTGCACGACATCCCACATGAAGAGCAGACCGCACTGATCCTCTCGCAGATTGATAGTGCTTATGGATGCGGTCTGTGGGCTACTTTTAGCTTTTCTATTTTCTATTTTCTATTTTCTATTTTCTATTTTTCTTTCAATACATATACACTAGGATCTTGCCCACTCTTCTCTATCTCTGGTATTGCCAAGGTAATGGGATTATGCATGTTATGTTCTCCGGATGATATCTGCGACTCGTAGTCATTTTCGAATGTTTAGTCGATCTCTACCATCTTCGGTGTTTTGAGTACTAGTACTCTGCATAGTTGCCGGAGATCAACCATGTCCACATGGCCTCATTCGAGGATCTTGAATATATTCTGCAGACTTCCACTCTGAATGATAGATTAGGGTTTCCTAGAAGATAGGTTTTGGTATGCTTGTAACCCCAAGACCTCATATGATACATTCTTGCTTGCTCTGTTCAAGACACCCGTGAGTCATGATCGTAGTAACAGGTGACAAATATCCCAGCTTGTATCATGGGATGGCCGCCGTTTTACTTGATCCGGTTGTATCACCCTTCCCCCCTTTGTCCAAGTTTGTTTTTTTTTATTTTAGGTTGTGAATATGATAATCTTTTTTTTTTTTTTTTTTTTTTTTTTTTTACTTATCCAAGTAGTATTTCCCTTTTTATTGTTATTATTATTATCATTATTATCTATGTATAGTACAAAAAGAGAAAAGGAAAAAAAAGAGGCTCGGGGGTTTACCGTTGCCACCCCTCCTTCACCAAAACCCACTCACACCCTTTTTTCTTTCTGATCCAGATGGTAGTAGTCAACTTAATATTAAAATAAAAATAAAATTCCATGTCCGATGGCGTAGGTGAATCTTATCGATTTCCCCCGATCGACGGGCTGCATGACCGATGTTGTAATATATCAAATGAGAGATGCAGGAGAGTGCCGCTTGAGTTCATAAAGTCTCCATCCCCTCGGTGTCCGTCTGCGAAACCTGCAAGTGCTTTTCTCTCTGAGTTGTCACTGCATACTTATGTTCTCGAACCTTTGATTTACAAAGACTTTATACCCCGTGAGCTCCTAGTTCGAAATACAGATCAAGGGTACGTGTCAAGTCTCCATATATTGCATATTCCCTTTGTTCCTGCGTCTGTGATGTATGTCTTATTGCCAGCTTCTCACATGTGAATGAGGCTCTGCTCATGATACGGTTTACACGTCTTGACCTGCATGCTTATATTGATATGTCTTGGGATGTATCCTCTTGGATCTTTTGCTAATGTCGACACAGGTCTATACCGAGGTATACTCACTTGTACCAACTTCATATACACATCTTGATTTGGTAAGTGTCAAAGTATTTCATCAGCCTCAAGACCAAGCCCAACCATGTTCTTTTCTTTTGTTATTGGGAAGTAAGCGCTTGCGTCAACTCGTATTCCGATTGCAATCCGAGCGCAGGCATCAAATCCCGAGCAAACACCCAGGGGTCAAGGCGCAAAAGGCGGGATTCAGATCCAATCTGGCAAATACACCACTGTGGGTGAAGGATGAAGGTTGAAGTATGAACTACGTTGATCTATATATACAAGACCAACGTGCCTCCCGGATCGCCACAGCTCACCGCCCTCCCACCGCTTGTTCCCCCACTCTTCTCCAGACTTTGTGCTTCATATCTGCGAAAGGACAACTGGGATCAAACTATCTAGGATACCAACTGGGATCAACCAAGATTAAACTGGGGTTGAGTGCCTGTTTCGGGCTTGGTCTTTTCCCTGCTCGTTTCTGGTCCTTTTTTTTCTGGTCTATCTCCTTGATCCTTGATCTTCTTTCATTTCTCGCATTTGCGCGGCTTTATTTCTCTATCGCTCTTTCATCGCTCACACAGTTCTTTAGAACTTTTCTGTCACTAGGTGCCTTGTGCCTTGCGATTGCGATTGTCCCAAGACTCGTGGTGATCTACACAGTCCTCTCAGTCCTCCCCTCGATTGTCGACTCATCTCGGCTTTAAGACCGAGGAAATTTCCCCGGCTTATTGGCACGTCTCACAATCTCCCCGGATTTCATTCCTGCAATCCTCTTTGTTTCAAGGGTAATTATTTGCATTCCTCTACTTTTTCTAATCTGTTTTGCATTTTATTGGGTTGCCTGTTTTGCCTTGCGCACGGAGGCTACGACATCTTCGAATCGCCCACGGGCGGGGTTGAGTCTTAACTAACATCTTTTCCATACACACAGATCGCGGCATTCTCACATCCAACACCTTTTCCATCCACACTCTCCAGTGTCGGCCGTCTCGAACCGTCTAACTCTGACAACTGTCGCGGAGAGTTAGTAGGATCGACACTACGACTCCTCCTTTAGCCCCTCGCCGATCTGCGCCCCATACGAAACCCCCCAGATTGTTTCACCGGGCTATGGCTGAAGCAAGTCTTTTCATCAAACACGAATCCGACGATTATACCCCTTTCATCATGTCACACTCCGGTTACTCGATGGGTAACCAATTCCCCGATGGGGTCGACCCATCCGACTTGACCATGCAGCAGCAGAATGGCTTCATGCCTTACTCCTATGGTTCGCAACAAAACATGTCATCCAGCTTCAACTTCGGAAACTCCGGCATCGACACAGACGAGTTGTTAGATCTCGAGATCAGCGGTCAGAACGGTCATCAACGCGATAATGTGAACTACCTTCAGGACCAGTCTGCTGGTGGTGTCGCGATGAGTCACCAAAGCCAGATGTCGCATATGTACTCCAACACCCCGGATAATCCTCCCATGGCCAGCCCGTTCGTCCAGAACAGCTTCAACTATGAGCAGTACCGCATGAGCCAGCAAAATCCCCCAATGCACAATGCCAGCTCTTTCGACCAGAACTACCTCGGCACCAGGCGCCAGAGCTTGCAAGGCATGGACCGTCCTTCTTCTGATGGCCGCAGTCCCATGACTCCAAAGACCCCAGCATTGGGCTCCTTGACATTGGGTACCCCTGATTCTGGCAGCTTCCCGTCCCAGCCCATCCGGACCGGACTGCAGGCTCGTCATCAGAAGTCCCTGTCCAACCAGTGGGACGGAACGCCCGGCAGTGCACAGTCGTACGTCGAGTCCTCTCCCATCTCATCTCCGCCTCACCAGTCACACCATGCTGGCATCTCCGAGATCCTCAAGTCCGGGAAGCACGCCTCGCTGCCCGCTAAGGTTGATGCCCATCTGCCTGGTGGCGGTGGAGATCTCGAATCCCAGGAAGCCAAGCGCCGACGTCGCCGTGCCTCGCACAACCTGGTTGAACGCCGCCGGCGTGATAACATCAATGAACGCATCCAGGATCTCTCCCACCTGGTTCCTCAGCACCGGCTAGAAGACGACAAGGTCCGGAAGCAACTTGTGAATAGCAGTGCTCTTTCCATGCCTGGCGCAGGCGGAAGTGCCGCCACTTCTCTTCTCGCTGGAGGCAATGGCCGCCGCGCGACAGCGGGTAATATCACAATGGGTCTCCCCATCGAAGAAAAGGAGAAGGGTCCTAACAAAGGTGACATTCTCAACGGTGCTGTCAGCTGGACCCGCGATCTGATGTGGGCCCTGCATGTCAAATACCAACAAGAAGCAGAACTCGCCGAGCTGATCGGCAGCCTGGGTGGAACTTGGCCCTTCGAGCAAACCGAAGAAGAGAAGCGCATGCGCAGCGAGATCCTCGATGCATTGGAGAGGAATGACCCAACTTCCTTCAGCTACACCCGCGGCCCTGGTAGCGGTCTGCGTGTCCCCAAGCACACTAACATCGCCGGCGATGCCGTGCAGGGCGGCGACATGTCCGGCCTGACTCCTCCCAGCCTGAGTCCTTCATTCCACAGCGGCACCAGCAGTGCCAACGGCGCTGGCCAACCCCAGTACTGGAACAGTGCTGGTCATGCTGCTATGAGCTTCAAGGAGGAGGACGAGTACGGCATGGATATGGGCTAGGTGGCTCGTTTATGTCTTCTCTGATTTGGTCAACTGTGTTGACCTTTGCATACACGGCGTATTAATGCGGGGACCGATTAATCGGCGTACCAGGAGTGAAAGACAACGGGCCCATAATTTTTTTCTTCTTTCTCTTTGATGTTTCTTTCTTACGTTGTCATTACTTCAGGCATCCATGTTAGTACGATTTTAGTTCTTTCTCACTTCTTTTCCACCTTGCTTTTTCTCTGGGGCCTGTGTGCTTATTTCGGTCTTACCCTGCTTTATTCTTATTCCATATCGATACCCTGTCTATTTCCTTGATCTTTACTTCTGGCCTTGAGCTACGCCATTGGCCCCATCTTCGGATAGCGGGCAAGGCATGGTTTCGATCACTTCTGTGCATGCCCTTTTTATCTATTTGTGTCCAGAGCCCATACTGAGTTTTGAAATTTGATTCTGCCTCTCTTCAATCCATCATTTCATTATTTCACTACTCTATTCTCTGATTCTATATGTTTTGGCATTGTTGCAGAATAAACGTGATTGCATCTTGCCTAATACCCCCTTTTGCTTCTCATGATGCCGAGTATCTATCAATCAATCTATGATCTCTGTAATCGCATAGCATATGGGCATTTGAGGTGCGGGTAAATAGTAGTTGGTGGTTGGCATGTGGTTCTCAGAGTTGTTCTCAGATTGGAGTGAGTGATGCGGCGTGAGGTGAGAGTTGAGTGAAATTTGCGGACTGTTTCGCTTCGACTGAAGAGGTGACGTAGCGCAAGGAGATTTGTTTGAGACAGTCTCGTGCTGAAGAAGCTCGCTAGGTAGTGAAGGAAACCAGGTTGTAGAAGAGAGAAGGAGAGGACTTGTAGCGTTGTTGGGGAAAGATGTTAGGGGAGAAAATTGAACACCAATGTAAAATGTTGAACAAAATATGTTATGAAAAACAATGCTAGCATTGGATAATAGAGAACGATTTTTTACTCTAATATGCTCCGCCATCACACCACAACGATAGTATATCTTTCTAGACATGAGCATCGATGTGACCAACTCATACACCTAGTACAACTGCCAAGTTCTGGTCTCCTATGTCGAGATATATCAACAACTTGGTCCAATCTCATGAGATATGGGGGTTCCTGTATAACTACAAGCAAACACAGGAAGCCTTGTGAACCGGGTCAGCCCCTAGTGGAAATGAGGAAAGTAAGTGCCATAGATGCAAAAGATACAGATATCAAAATGGCCAAGAAGTAACGACTGCCACATGCCAAAGAGAGCCGCCCCAGCAAAACTTTTGATGCCAAAGATAGGTCATAAAAACAACCTAGACAACCAATACACGCGTTATTATAACAAAAGGCATTTACCACGCAGCATGACCACCGTCTATACGGAGATCACTACCAGTCATGAAACTACTAGCATTAGAAAGCAAGAAAACAGCAGCACCGCGGTACTCCGAGGGATGGGATAAACGGCCAAGCATATTCTCTGTAGCAAATTGCTCGCGACGGTCAGGATACTCGATGAAGAGCATCTCCAACATCGAGGTGAGAATGTAGCCCGGGGAGAGGGTGTTGACCCGAATGTTATACTGGCCCCATTCGGCGGCGAGATTGCGGGCTAGTTGGATGACGGCTGCTTTGCTTGCGTTGTAGACGGGGCAGATTAGACCCTGTTTAGACCTGTTAGCGTGGATGGAAATATCATAGGACTGTTGAGAATATAGCGAGTCGCATGCTAGGGTATGAATGATGTTATAGGGAAGAGCACACGGCATCATGAAAGCTCGATAAGAAAACCAGACGTAAAAAGGAACAAAACGTACTCTATTAACAACAGTACCGCTCATGCTAGCGACTAAAGCGATACTACCCCCATTCCCAAAACGAATCATCTGCCTCGCAACAGCCTGGGCAGTCATAAACACACCCGTGACATTAACCTCGAGCAAGGCATTAGTATCTGCAGCAGAGTGCTCCAGAGCAGATGTCTCCTGCTGAATAGCAGCAGCCGCGATCAGGCCATCTAGACGACGCTCGCGGTTGGCGATGTCCTCGATGACAATATTGAGCAAGTCTGTGTCGCGCACATCGACGCAGCGGTACTGCAACTCGGTACACCATACCTTGGCATGCTGCTGGACTTCGATGAACTCCGGTGCCTTTTGTAGGAATGGGTTATGAGTTATCGGGGGGTATTCCTTTCTGGGTGTTGAGATTGTATCACGATAGTGACACACGTACCGGCTCTTTCAGATAATCCAGAGCGTATACCTTTGCCCCCGCTTCTAACAGAGCCTCTGCTAGCGCTAGACCTAGACCTCTACCGGCGCCCGAGACTAGGATTACCTTGCCTGCTAGGCTGAAGTCGGGGATTTGGGTGTTGTGGTCCAGGTGAACGGGGTGAGTTGGAACATGGGTGTAAATATCGATTTCGGCTGGCATTGGATATTTGGATATTTTGATATTGGTAAAGGGATGATAATTAAATGAGTAGATGTTGGGATAATAAAGTAGGCAGCGGGGCTAAAGTCTACTGGACTCCAACCATGGAACCAGTGGGCCGAGAGCGCCTTTATAGTTTTTGGTTGATTTTCCAGGGTGCCGGTAGGTCGCGTGAGCAGGAAGTCAAGGGAAATGACACAAAGTATTTTTTTTTTTTTTCGGATGGGTTTTGAGTTGGAAAAGATATGGTCACTAGAGCGGGTGTGATACCTGTATACCTGGATTAGCACCGCTTGACAGTTAACTTAACTTACCGTAGCGCACCTAATTCAACCTAGTACATTGGAATGTATATATCTCCACCAAAACTACATCAAATTAATTATATAAAGTCATTATCCATCTAGACATACATCTCTTCTATACCATTGACTGCGCACATGAAAAAGAAGTTGACTATTAAATAAAAACCAGAAGTTATTGTTGGAACAATACAGGTTATTTTACCACTAGACCACAGCAAAAACAAGGTTCCTTTTTATGGCCTAGGGGGACCCTTATTCCACCCTGACAGTTATATATAGAAAAGTCTCTTGCACAAAGTTTGCTTTTTTTAGCCGCCTTCGTATACACCTCAAAAGACATCTAAAAAGACCATCTGAAAAAACATCTAAAGACCGCCAAAAGACTATCAGAAAGACCAAAAAGACAAAATGCCGCATAAGACGTCGACTATTATCGAAATATTTAAATCACAAAAAGTGCAGGCCAAGTTCCCGTTGACCCAAGGGTATCCTCAAACTATCCTAATGGCAGCGCTTTCAAGCATGGGAATATCCAGGAGGCTGGTGATATCCAAAGTTACGGGATTGTCCGTGGGCCAACTCTGGCTCAAGGAGCCGTTGCTCAGCCAGAGGATATTCGGAACTCGTACTGAAAGCAGGGGGCTCGTAAATATCCTTAGCTTTGCGGAAATACCAGAAGTTGGAGATAACCATGATGATAAACATCAGCCCAATATCCAAGGCATAAGCAGGCCATTCGTGCCTCGAAAGATAGGCGTCTGTACCAGTCGCATATTCCACCAACCGGTAGATATTTCGGACAGTGATGAGCAAACTGCAGAGATAGAGATTCCACAGCCTGATAGTCACATTCACGCCTTGGTGAACGACTTGCCCTCCGCGGCGGGAACGGGAACTCAATCGGATGTGGAAAAGAACGGCAACCAAGGCAAATATAGCAAAGAAGAACACTTGCAGGCCGAGACCAGCGAGAATTATCGCTTTGGCCAAGTTGAGCTTGGATTGAGACTCGGCACGGAGCAGGATAACGACGCCGACGGCTTGAACAAAAAAGCAAAAGATATCGCCCGTGACGAAAATCGGGGTGACCCAGTTTATGCGGATGAAGGATAACTCTGGGTGCCCTGATTTACGGATCAGACGACCGAGGAACATGTAGACCGAAGCGGCGAATAGGATGGGTGCGAGGAGGATCAGGATAGTTTGGATTTCGTATGGTGACTTCTTCTGGAGGTGCTTGCTTGAATCAGCTCGTGCGAGCAGGCCAACGACCTCAACTATAAGATGGTAGAGAGATTAGCCGTCGCACTTTATTTTAGAGGAGAAACATGGGGGTCATACACGCTGCTGCAACAAGGATCACAATGCCAAACCATTGTCGCGTCCTTATTATCCTCCATATTTGAACCAGGCTGACCACACAGAACAGGATGGCAACTGCGAACGCTGCAGGAATGGAGGGTTTGTAGTACGTATAGTAGGGGTTCGAAGCATCGTCTGCTGTGGACATAGTGAGGGTATTATCCAAAGTGATTAAGGTTTTATTATCTGGAAAGAATAAATTATCACTCCCTGGTCACCAACCCCATTTAAAAGACAACCAAGTTGTCAGATTATACTAATTAACAAAAGCACAATGTATATTTCAGGCTACAAACTATCCAATTAGCTATCTTACCGCAGCTTTATCTGAGGCTGAGAGAACGCAATGGTAGACCATTAAGATTGACCAGTAAGATATTATCGCTAGTTGCTAGCACGAAGAGGTTTCCCAAGTAGGCAATCGTTGAGCTAGTGGAGAAATCCCGTAGCAGCGAATCAAAGACGATGAAACTGAAAGGAGCCCTAAGATCACCCGTAAGGCTGTTTGATGCTGACGGATTGAAGTGATCCACATCGGCAACTCAGCCTCTCTCCACGAACTAGGCTACTCTAGGTAATGGGTGCGAGACCACTTAATTGGTCAACCTCAATATTTTCACTGACATGTAGATATCCATATAATGGGGGCTGTGCCACAGCACTTTTAGGGGCTAAAAGCCATCTCAGCTGGGCCCCTTTCAACAAGCGATTGTACAGAGCCCAGGTTGGGCTCCTATTATTGATCATGGCCAACAAGCAAAGACTTGCAAGAAGATGCGATGAACTGCATGTCGAAATGCTTATTACATGTCAGAATTCCCTGCACCGTCTTGGTCCCAGTCATTCAGCTCAGTCTGTCATCAAACATGCATCTACATATATGGGACGCTCTATGGGGGATCCTAACAGGTTTGATATAGAAAAAATGAAAATTTTCCAGTATTTAGAGTAAAATTGGGCATTTACAATCCCTGACCATCAATTCAACATAACTTCCACTATATAAACTATCTTTCATAGAGTGGTTAGCTTATCTATAGCTGACTCGCAACAGATGTCGCAGAGGTAGAGTTTAGCATCTTGAGATGTGTGAGATAACTGCTCAAGTGCTTTTATTTTTCTCATATATAAAAAGTCTTAGACATTGTAAACCCCATTGCATGGGGCGGCCTCCGGCAGCAATCACGCTTGCCAACTTCAACGCCTGGAATACAGATGCATTCCAACTAAAATCCTAAATCTAGAGAAGAAAGAGAGAGAGAGAGAGAAAAAAGAGTAAGCGGGGGATCTCTAGGGATTAAATAGTAAAGTATCCACGTAGGAAATAAGCTCTCTTTCCTGACAAGGACCGTAGAAACCTGTAGAACAAAGAAGCAAATAAAGAAAGAAAGAAAAAGCAATAAAGAAGGCAAGCAAAGAGATTAAGCAAGCATAGGACAAAGGTTATGATCAGGTGGATCGTGACATTAGGTAGTAGATACCAGACGCCTCTCCCCCAATAGATTTGATGCATAAACTACTGAAATCGCTAGTCCTTAAGATAAGAAAGGTTGCATGACCGCAAGGCCTCTAACGACCGAGGCGATACATTTTCAAAACAGACCCACGAACTGTCTTTCCGATGGCAACTACAGGAATGGACTATCCATCGAGGGTCATCTGGTGTCAAACCAGGGCCAAGATTAGTCCATGTTGTAAGAACCAGAGCCAAATCAGATCCATATTCACAAACTTCGACATGGGGCTCTGCGGTGCTTATGCGGCAGGTATAAGTGGAACTGGGATATTTCTTCCACTAATGTAGGCTTTCACCACGGCATCATATAATTTGGCACGTCTTTGACGCGAGATGTGTACGCAGATAAACATAACGTGTTAGTTCTGGTTTCCTACCGTTAACGAACATCATCTGCTGGTTTCTTAAACAAAGACCCGGTGTCTTTGGACAGATCTGTGCATCTATCGAAAAGAGAGAGGTGATTTCAGGGCACGATGATGGTCCAGGGTGGGTGCGAACTTGGGTGTAAGATAACGCTTCAGTGCTAATTCCAAACTTTTTACCATGGTAGAATCTCCTCATAGCAAGCTGAAGACGGATAAAGTAGAATACTCGGTGAACATGGAGCTCCTTCAGGTCTTGATCTCCCAATCTTAAACTAGGGCCACCATTATCTTGTAGGAAGCATCGAAGAGGACATTTTTGCTGGTTGTATGTCACGCCAGATAGACCAAAGCATTCTGAACCATCATACTTGTGAAGAACATGGCAAATGTAGCAAACGAAGTATTTCGGTATATCTCGTTCCAATCGGCGTAAAACGCGCAGTTTGGTTTTTCTTGATAGCTGAGCGGATTGGTTTGATGGTTGAGCATGGCGAAGAGCCGACGATTACAGAGTGAAATGGAAATACGATCACTCAGAGGGAGAAAGTCGGTTATTCATAACAATAGCTCGACAGGGAGACCGGCTAGCGTATTCATCATGGGAATCTCACAAGGTGGAGTACGCCTTCGCCATGATCGAGACACCACTGAAGCGCAAATATCGAGGATTGCCTGCATGTTAGAGGAGATCTTTAGCTCACGCAGATAGAGTTGAAGTCAAAGTTGACTGAACAAGTGGAAAATGAAGGTGAGGTGGTAGCCGGGTAGTATTAACGAGAGTAGTGGTTGTTTGATGAAATGATAGTTTGAATGTCGGGTGATTGTATAGGAAGTTCTCATAATAATTGAAGCCATAAATCTACATGTAGCTCACGACATTTTGCCCAATTAGGCATAGTAGGTTCATTTCGCCTTAGAGCTTACAGGTGACTCTTTAGTGACTCCCTTAAAGACTATTATCCTAAATATCACTAAGTAACAATATACTTGGGCCCTAAGCGCCCTCGACAGGAATAATACAGCCATTTTACCACTATACCATAACAAAAAACAATCGGTTCCTGTCTAGGGCCTAAGGAGGCCATATTCCTAGTTCGACAGCCCTTATAACGCGCCGCATCCCGATTGGGAAATTCGCATCCGCGGCCTAAAATCTGGTACATACATTTACATACGTAGACTGTTGTCCATCGTCTCTAGTAAATATACCCAAATACTAAACATATACTATTAGACTGAAGGGTATGTGCCTTATATAATACCACGATAAGGGTACATAGAAGAGCGTGGGCTAAGGCAATACAGATAACCAGATGACTCCGGATGACGGCCCAACTCATGACTTAGGATGATACACTAATCCTGGATGATAACTACCTACTGGGTAGGTAGTTTACAAAAAGCGTGGCTAAGCAAAAAACAAAGAACCAAAACTAGTTAACCAGTGATTATTTAGGCAGAAGCATTCCAATACTAACCGTGAGGTTATAACCCGGCCTTCGAAGCAACCTTGGCAGTGCTATCAAACTCGTTTTGTCTAATATGTTTATTCTCTCATACTCTTCCAGGATGTTGACACCGGTGACGTACCTGGACACAGTTCCACGCTCGCCCACCACTTTTATCACCGACTCACTACAGACTGCGCCTTTCCTAACTTTCACCATCTTCGTTCTCATTCATATCCTTTTCGCCCCGACCATCATAACCTTGGTGTTCAAATTGTGCGGCTTAGCATTTACCACAGACGAGTCGCAAGAGACTTGTTCAACGTGCGACGGAACCGGCGTTATCGATGTGCCGAAAGATAAACAATATAGACCGAAGTTCAATGAATTTGGAGATTCGAATTGTCTATTCTTGGGTTAAGAAAAAATTGAAGCGAAAATTCCCTATGACTGGGAAGATTGAGAATTTTATACGAGGTATTCGGGGACAGTTCTCGGCTATCCTGGGTTATATAATATATATTGTAAATAAGATTAATATACGGGCAATATATCAATAAGAACCAGCTCGAAGGCCTCCGGGGTAACCGATCTAGGCCCTCGGGATTTAAGGCCCCGGGTTGCCACGGCATTACCGGGTGGATCCCTGGTTATCAAGACATGGTTGTTGAATCAGTGGAGTTGATTGCGAATACGGGGTAGGTGGTGTACAAGTCGGCTAATGTTGATCTGATGTGCATGGAAACTGAGTTATTTACAGAGATTGAGAATTCAATAGATATTGGGACTTGTGGCAATGATGATATCGAGCTTACGACAGCTCTGTGACGTATCCAATGCGGGGAACGAAAAAGGGCAAAAGACCTTATGTGGAGCAGGATTGAGATTTAATATTCAAAATCAACATTCAGAACAAATTCCGTGAGATATATGTTGTATGAAAGTATAAAACAAGAAATGCCAAGCCTCTATTTCTTTACAGTCAAATCGTGAAATCATACCTAAGTAAACAATGATAGATAAAATATGGGTAAATGTCCAGAAATGGGAGCACTATAGCACACGGGTTTGGATATTGAGACAAACCCCCACAAATATGAAAAGAATTGTAGAAAGGAAAATATGTCCGAAAGAATACCAGAATGGAGCAAAATCCCGATCGAGCTCAGTTCGAGATCAGTTCGAGATCGCATGGGGTTCAGTCGAAGAGTAATACTGGTTCGAAGCATGTCCATTACCAAACTTCTGCTCATGCCCATTCTCAAACGCCTGGTCACTGGAGCTGAGCCGACGCTCCCCAGCATGGCCAGCACCATCTCTGCAGGATGAGACAGCGCGATCAGTCGCAACGGGTGTAACCGCGCCCTTCTCGTGCCAGTTCACACCCTCCAACTTGAGCTGCTTACGCGCCTTACGGCCACGACAACAAGCCGCGCAGCAAGAGCCGATCTGAATAATAAAAGCGATCAAACTGAACGCCGAAGCGATCCACATAAAGACCAGCATCTGGGTGCCGACATGCGCCTTGATATTGATGCTCGGGTCTGCGTTTGAGAAGACATTGGCGAAGATCACGAACATGACCGTCGCGACAGCCGACCCGACGACAGTCACCAGCGCGGTGAAAAATGTCAGAATGAACATGGGCAGGGCGCGCAGCCAGAAGAAGGTGCGTCGACGGTGGGGCGGATTACCCGCGGGTGGGTGGCCATCGCTATAGCCTGCTGCCCAGGCTTTGATGCTCCGTGGGTGTCGCGAGGACACGGCGAGCGGGGTGACGAAGATCAGGACGAAGTTGAGGACTGCTGCGGCGAGGAGGAGTCCAAACATCCAGTGGGAGGCGGTGCGGGCTAGTTTCAACGGGCTTTCGATATCGGCTGGGAGGGCGACTGGGTGGGGTGTTAATATTTGCATACCAGGGGTCCTTGCATGCGGGGATATATGTGCAACGTACTTGTAGCACCGGCCAACAGCTCGTTCAGGATGATCTCAACTGGGTTGAAGGCATAGAGAGTCTCCGGCTTGGAGCAGTGAGTGATTCCCAGTCCATTGTATCCTTCGCAGAAGTTCCATAAGCCGACCTGGTAGAAATCGTGCAATCCGATGGTTTGGGCGATGGAGTTGATCAGGACGGCATTTGGAATGGATACGGGGATGATATTGGAAAGATCGAGGTAGAGAAAGTAGGTACTGCGTAGGACTGGTTTATTAGAGGTGTTGCCAATGACTACCAGTACCAAAAAGATCCAAGCGATCAAATATAACAGCGACCGTAGTAGGCGATGCCAGTGAACGGTGGATTTTTGCTGACGGTCGACTGGGCTAGTGGACTTGAAAAAGGGAAGCTTTCGCTTGCCATTGTTCCCATTCATGATAAAAATATGAAAAGGGAAAAGGAGAGAAAAGTCCAGGTCCCCAAAAGGAAAAGAGAAGAGGAATTAGGGTTCTCGGGAGGATGACGTTAGGCCATGAAATCTCCCGATTACCTTGTAGCTCAGGCAAAAGATAGGTGTTTTTAGCTTTGGAGTTTACCTTGATTTAGTGGATTTATCGGGGTCCATTTGGGTCCATTTGGTTCAAATTTAAGAAATTTCACCAGATCGTCGCGTTTCTCGTGCGATCGTCAGTGGCTGAACGCTAGTGGCATGGCCCCTGGCCTACGTGGACGATCATGTAGACTTAATAGTAGTACAGAAAAAGGAATGGAGTTGATTGAAATGAGAAAGGGGAATATCATGGCCAATGAGCAGATCAGAAATAATGATATACCATAATCTCTCGTATTAATAGTACGTTGCCTATATGTTGTGAGACAAAAGAGTCTAAGCCCAACTAAATATGTAACAGGCAGCAATCGGCATGAGAGCCCAGAGGCCGGAGATCGCTGCCCACTTCCCACTTCGCCCCCCTAAAATGTCCCAAAATGTCCCAAAATGTCCTTTGGGATATAAAAATATCATTGGCCCATCATTTTGTTCCTTTGGTGGTCAACGTCATTGGTAAAAATCTCCACATGCCCTCCGATTAGGTAAGTTGAAGTATTTCCCGACATCTTCTCCTATTTTGGGACATAGTTATCCCTATCACACAAGTATGAGGTGGCCTACTATTCTTCTCGGCTTCCTCGCCGTTGCCGTGGCCCAGGACTCGACTACCGAATCCTCCTCCACGGACGCCACGGCGTCGGGGCAGACTACCACCGATGGAATCACGGTTGTGTCAGTCACAACTCCTGTGGCCATTCCCTCGGGTACCTACCAAGACCCCAGTACAACAATCACACTGAGTGATGGCGACAAGTCGATCATTACGTCGACCACCCGGCACAATGGCACAATGACCGCCTCCAACACCACGGCGGTCACCACGACTTCCGACTCCTTGACTTTGCTGGTGGGCGGCGGAGGAACAACAGTGATCGGGAACAATAGTATGAACGCGACTGCGACTACGACTAGCACAGCTACGAATACCCCTGTCGTCAATACCCGTCCTTGCAACAACTACCCCGAGTTATGTACTAGGAAGTACTCCAACATTACCATGGTCGCAGCGCACAACAGCCCGTTCGTGCGCAAGAACAACATCGCCGCTAACCAGGTGCTGGACGTGACGACACAATTGAATGATGGAATTCGCACGCGTAAGTGGAGTCGGAGTCACGAGATATTTATTATTCAAAAAGGAACACTTATTAACCTATGAACTAGTGCAATTCCAGACCCACTACGAGAATGGCACAATGTACCTGTGTCACACAACCTGCCAATTGCTCGGCGTCGGCACCCTCGAGAAATACCTAACCGATGTCAACACGTGGATGCGGAAGAACCCCTACGACGTGGTGACCTTCATCATCGGCAATTTCGACTATGTCTCGCCCGAGAACTTCACCACCCCGATCTACAACTCCGGTCTGAAGGACCTGATCTACACCCCAACCAAGGTGCCGATGGCTCTGAATGACTGGCCCACGCTCTCAGAGATGATTCTCAAGCAGAAGCGCGCAGTCTTCTTCATGGACTACCAGGCCAACCAGACCGCGTACCCATGGTTGATGGATGAGTTCTCGCAGGTGTGGGAGACGCCCTTCTCACCCACCGATCCCACCTTCCCTTGCACGCAGCAACGCCCACCCGGTCTGTCTGTAGCAGCCGCCAAGAACCGCATGTACATGGCCAACCACAATCTCAATTTGCAGTTGAACCTTGGTTCTCTGAGCTTGTTGATTCCTAATTCTGCTCAGCTTGACGAGACCAATGCCGTGAACGGCAGTGGCAGTCTGGGTGCAATGGCTGAGAACTGTACCGGTAAGTTTGACTTGTGTTGGATTTGGATTTTTATTGCTTTTCTAACTTGTAACAGCAATCTGGGGCCGTCCTCCCAACATGCTTCTGGTTGATTACTACAACTATGGTAATTTCAACGGCTCGGTGTTCGAGGTCGCTGCTCGGATGAACAATGTCACTTATAACGGTCAATGCTGTGGCAAGACCTCTGGCGCTCTGCGCGAGGTCTCTGTCGCTGGTATGTCAACGGTGCTTCTGGTGATAGTGGGAGTGCAAATGGTGATGTCTGTGTTCTGATTTCCACGATATCTATGATTATTTTGGGTGCATGACCAGATCGGTCGTCGGCGCTAGGTTTCTCTTTTTTCTTCTTTCTGGCCATATATATTACATTATACCGGATATGATTTTGATATAGCACTTACATATGTACAATGTTGTAGTTATTTGATCTATACATAACAGCAGAGTCGGTAGACATGCCTTTCAAAACTCGAACTCTAATGAAAATAAAATAATTCAAAAGAACTTCTCAACTCCTTCTCAAACCAACAAACCCAACATAAATACCAAAACCAATATCAATCTCCCATCTCCCATTCTACACCCCATCTCCCCGACATCACATGACCTCCCCACCGCACCGCAAACCAACTCCACCATACCCTCAAACCAAAACCACCCCCTCACCACCTCCACCACCTCAAACCTCAGCTGCACAACCGCCAAAATGGTCGACATCGTCCCTCTAAGCAGCTACCCCTCGTACATCGACCTCCTCCCCTCAATCCAAACCTGCAACATAACAAACCTCCCCGAGAACTACTTCCTAAAATACTACCTGTACCACGCCCTGACCTGGCCGCAGCTAAGCTTCGTGGCCATCGTGCGTCCACGCGCAGGATACAAGACCAGCTCGACAGGCGCTGGAATCGCAGGCGATGTCTCCGGGGAGTATCCCAAGGTCGTTGGATATGTTCTCGCGAAGATGGAAGAGGAGCCAACAGATGGGAATCAACATGGCCATATTACCAGTTTGAGTGTTATGCGCACGCATAGACGGCTTGGGATTGCGGAGAGGCTTATGCGGATGAGTCGTGAGTGATATCCTTTTTTTTTCTTCCTGATTTTGGATTTTGGACTTGGATTTGGATCCGCATGGTCTTACATGGATTTTGCTCTTGCATTTGCGGGACAATTACGGTTTACGGTATGGATGCTAATTGCTATGATTCTATAGAACGCGCAATGGCCGAATCCCACCGCGCGCATTTCGTCTCTCTGCACGTGCGCATGTCGAACGTTGCCGCACTGCGTCTGTACCGCGACACGCTCGGCTTCGAGGTTGAGAAGGTTGAGGATGGATACTACGCTGATGGCGAGGATGCGTATGCTATGCGGTTGAATCTTCAGAACATGTGGCTTGATTGGAAGGCTATCGAGAAGCGGGATGCGGAGAATAATAAGGAGAAGAATGGGGACGAGGAAGGGAATGAGGATGAGGGCGAAGAGGTTGGGGAGCTTGGGAAGAAGGATGCCGAAAAGATGATTCGGGTTAAGGTTGGGAGGGGACTTGGAGTTGGTGATTTGGTTGAGAAGAACGAGTCCAAGGCTTAGGGGGAGATATGGACGTGAATGTGAATATAGATGCAAATGGGGATGAGTGCTCTTTGTATGTATAGATCTCTTTTTGCAAAAAAAAAAGTTTTATTTCAATGTATTTGGGGTGTGCGTAGATTGAGATGCGAATTGTAAGTTTTTTTTCGTAAATGTAGTATGTATCAATGTGAATCGTAACTTCGTCGACTTCGCTGTGGTCGAGACTTGAACTATACATCGAGAAGCAAAATCATGTTTGCCCGTCCTCCCAAGGAAATATTGAACTCCAGGCTGAAAAGAGAACTAGAAAAGAAAAAGAAAAAAGATCAACAATACCAAGCTTTTCCAGATCATTTACTTCCCGCATCATCATCCTCCTTCGACTGTTGCTTCCTCACCTTGCGCGACAACAGCATGTCCTTTAGCCGACTCGACGTATCTGCCGACTTCACTTGCTTCACAGAGGCGGAAGAGCCCCCAGTAGGCATCGAGTCCTGCGTACTTGGCCGTGAGACAGAAGGGGAAGGGGGATTGGAAGCAAATCCAAAGCCGACATTCGAGCTATTCGGTGTAGAAACCGGACTAGGCTGTGTTCGTGTGCTAACCGGACGTGCAGGCAAAGGCGGGTTAGATTGCCGGGGATCTTCCAGCCGCAACGTCCCAAGCTGCTGGTCTAGCGGTTGGTCATGCATATGCTTCGCCTTATCGCCGTCATTAGCGCGAGCTTGTCGGACCTGGCGGCGTCGAGTACGTTGACGTTCGCGTTGCTCGTCTCGTGCTCGACGCAGCGTGTCTCGGAACGCTTTCTTGGTGGCGCGCATTTCTTCTTTCATGGCGCGTCTGTCAACTGAGTTGCGTTGCTGTCGTTCGGGTGAGTCCCAGCGACCCCAGTCGGCGTCGCCAGATTGTTGGTTGTTTTGTTGATTTTGGTTGAAACCGGCTCGCCAGTTATTTTTACCGGAGAACTTGGCTTCTCGGCGGGACTCTTGCAGGACAGAGAGTTGCCGGCGGAGATCGACGGCGGCGTCGTATAATACCCGATCATGACGATCGTCTAGAAGTTCCAACTGAGTGCGCACTGTCGCAAGGTCTGTAACGCCTAGGTCCGATGTTGTCGAGATGGAGTCAATTGAGCTGAAAGAGGATTCGGATGAGACGGAGCTCACTGATGCTCGTCTAGTGTGTTCCGTCGTGGGAGGCTCTATCAAAAGCTGATCTGTTGGGGACTTAGGTTTGTTGCTATCGTCCTGGTTGATTGACTCGGACCGACCCGTCGGATTAGGACTTGTCACAGGGCTAGGCCGTTGAATGGGTGTCATTGGGATATTAATCATGGGACGAGGCGAGTTATCCCAGGCCGGCCGGGGGTAGTAGCCACCACCGTATTGAGGTCCAGCTATTGGTGCTTTCCGGCCATGAAGCCTTGCCTGCTCTTCGATCCAGCGGCCATGTGCAAGAGCCTGCTCCTCAACCTGCCGTCCATAATGCTGTGCCTGTGCACTGATTTGGTCTCCGTATTGCATCGCCTGTTCGCTGAAACGCTCTCCATATTTCTGCGCTTGTGATGCGATCTGTGAAATCCACCCAAGGGACCCACTCTTCTGGGTGCCGTTATTGGGATACTGCGGTTGTTGCTGCGGATAGTTCCAGTTGCTCCATTGCCATGTGCCTTGTGGAGGATGGGGGTAGTATTGAGGTGGCTGGTTAGGAGATATGGGGGGAGGGTATGGAGGAACACCATATACTCCGTATGGAGATGGAGGCACATGTATTTGGGGATTGTGGAGCATAGGAGGAGGCACCGACCATGGGGTCGGCGAAGAGGCGTGCTGCCCAGGTACAGGCGACGGGGCATTTGAATTTCGGATTGGCTGTCCTTCTATTGAACCCGTTGCCGCTGGATAGCATCGGGGACATAAAGCGGACGACGGTGCAGAATCAGGTTCACCCACATAGACAAAGACAATCAGAGTAGCCCGGAGCTCGAAAAAGCATTCGTTCCATTCGGCGACAACGGCAGCAATTCGGGCCTTCCGTTGCTCATCAGTCTCTTGTGGGCGATCTTTGCGGTCCCGTCTAATTTCCGCTCGCAATTGGCGTGGGAGATGCTGAGAGGACGCAGCCAGCCCTAATTGCGGCGGAAATAGATACTTCAAGAAGGTATCCCAGTCCTGCTGGGTAATCTCGTTTAAGCGCGAGGCCCAGCACCGCGGCCGTCGTGGAAAATCCTTGGCTTCACTCCGGGGGTAGATTGTCATATGATGTTGTAGAACACCCCGGCTCTCATCTAGGGCCGAGGGAAGCCGTTCCTCAAAGTACGCAGCGGCGGATCTGAAATGCGTCGGCACGACTGTCGGCGGCGTTGGGACACGAGAACTACTGGCATCTTGCGGCGGAGAAACACTCACTCCAGAAGGGATTGAGGCCTGAGAAGAGTTGTTATTGCGGCTGTTCGTTGGTGCGAGTAACGGGTCGACGGCCGAGTACGGGGGTGGTGGAGCTTCCTCTTGATCCATTTTGAGAAGGCGGTTACGGTCGGCCTGGGAAGAGCAAAAGGGCAGCAAGAATGCAGTGGCCTAAGAAGGGCTAAAGATCTTCTGTCAGACCTGAATCCCCATGCTGTGATAAGATAACGAGGCCCTGGGGGGCGGTGGAAGGCAGCAGGATTACTATCAATGGGGGACTGTCAGCGTACAAGACTTCGCATATCATTTTTGAGAGACGTCATGTCCTACCTATAGATCAGATGAGTGACTCGCAATGATAAATGTATGCTGAGACCCTAATGAAGGAGGACAGACGAGGAAGAAGGTGGAGGAGTGAACAAAGTTGACATCGGGAGATTGGTGGAGACGATAAGACGGATAAGGCCGGATAAGCCATATCGATTAGGTGTGTGTATGTATCTGTGGACATACGCAAACCTCCAATGTTGGAATACATGTGTTTCCAAGAAATGATCCCATGTTAGGAAATCAAATACCAAAGTGGCCTTTATGGCTATCATACACCCATTTTAACCCCGAAAAAATAGGGTGTCGGTGATCCTTTCAAATTGTATACATGGATGAGGCTGAGGAACTATATATATTTCACGAGAATATATGTAAATGTCATTTCTATCAAATGGTTTAATTCAAATTACAATATGTAAAAGGTACCCCTTAGTTTTGTTGCATATAAACCATAATAGCAATACGTCATTATAGATTAAATCTCATAGGTAATCAGCCTCAACGCCTTGAGTCCCAATGGAATTCTAGGAGAGGAGAAAGAGAGGGGTGTCACTGTGTTGATTGACTGATTGGAGAAAAGAAGGCGAAGGGAACAGGAGCAAACTAGCTACTTGGCAGTCCTGACCAAATCCTTGATCCCAACAATATTGAAGTACCGGGGCCATGCTGGTTGTATTGGAATTGTCATCTACCATTCGACACAGTCAAACTAGCTGGACTTTAAAGAGCACCACACGATCTTCGTCTTTAGACCCTAAAGTGGCTGCATTTGAATGACACCGTCCATTACCATGCTCGATGTACTCCGTATGTACTATAATCTTTTGTACCATAACTAATATCCTTCAGAACTCCACTCGATAGATTTCCCCGGCCCTCTATTCCCAACACCTAAGACATCTAAAGCCCGATCTATATATTCGTTGGTAATTGAGTTCTTATACCGACCTTTGGTCCGTCTTAACCGACTGTGCGATTCATACGACTCCTGTCCCAATCAACCTTTTCGGCCTGGTCTGTTCAGGCTGCATGATGTAACTTTCGTCCTATCCGGATCCCTAATAGCGCGTCCATGAGTGAAGCTCTGCAGCACGACAACAGGAACCTAATCAAGCTGACTTAATGTCCCCCGGTTTACTAGACAAGTATTTTGTCAGGGTCCACAGGTAGAAGGCCTATCAAAGAGATTCTCGAGAGGATAGTGGATGAACATTATACACATTCAGTTGTACATCCTTAGAACTTGATCTAGGGGGATACAAGGAGTATCCTAGAGATTTACCACTGAATGCCTATCGACGCTAACAATGCATGCAATATGCGGCGGGATGGATATCCCTTGATGACATGTAGCCCTGCGTCGTTGCTCTTGTAAGCAATGTTCATTAGTAAAACTCTTTTTTACCATCTGTCCCGACAAACTGTGGGGATCTTAGGTGATAATTATGTGTGTAGTGCTCTTTCTGTCTGTATCCTGGCTGCGTATACCTTAGCTTACCTCATGTTCTTCCCTCAAACCATAAACGATGGTGATTGAATTTTTATTGAACACACCAACTTCGTTAACCTCTTATATCCTGCTATCATGTTCTGTAAGACTAATAAATTGTAACTACTTATGTTAGGAAAGTTGCAAGTGCAAGGTTAACCAGTATCAACATTTGATCTGGTTTCCTCCGCGCGGTAATCTCGTTCGGTTCTAAGGCGATAGGTACATGAATGATCATCTCATATAGTAGATCCTCGCCACATATATGGTATATTTGATCCTTTGAGTGGGGCTCTCAGAAGTGCTCTTGGCGTGCATTTATATTCGCTATATTTTTGCATCCGACGATGAGTTCGAAGAGCAAACAACATTATATTATTCCCAGGCCAGGATTGTTTCATCCCAAGTAAATGGATGGATTCAGACTATACCAGATTATACTAGATGCTAGGCATGGGTAATTCATGTTAGTGCTTTTCGATTCAGTCAAGGTGCGTAGACTACTTATATTTATTTTTTAAATTAAGTATACGCAATGTCTTTAGATATATTCGGCTAAGCTAGTTCTTACGTAGTGACTTATAAGCGAGGTTATATTCTAGCTACTATCCCCGCCATCGTAGAATCTTTATCAGCTTTTACCTTCTCCTCCCTTCTCTCCCTTTTCCCACACACCTCAAATTTTTTATTTGTCAAACTACGGGCAAAATACAGTTGCTAACATCTCGAAAGGTTGTGATTCATTCAAAAGGCTACCCAGTCGTGTCAACTGTGGTAGGAAACCTGTTATTGTCTGATCTTCGACTGCCGACTGAAAGACAACAAGACACGCCCGCACTACTGATTTACGCCCCCGAGGCGTAGTCAAATATTTTATTCGATTCATCAACACAGTAAGCACTCCAGTCTGTATTGTGGGAATTTTGAAGAAATGTTATGAATTAACGTGGTGGGTTTCCGTATAGTTCCAGCCGAAGTATCTCTCACTTTGCAACAACGGGAACTCAGTCGACAAGAGGTCTTAACAACGACACGCCAAAATGTCTGCGGAGCACACTCGCAACTGGTCGACCCTTCTGCCGGCTGAGAGACCAACTGGTCAAATTGACCAGGCATTTCAGCTGCCGGAAATTGTCTGCTTTACGCTGTACCAGTTTCGCTGTGCTCTGGAACATCCTTCCAGCTATGTGACCTGGCGCAATGACATCTACCAGATTCTTAAAGTGCACAAGCTCCATCGCCTTATCGACCCTGGCATTGCCCGCCCTTACAAGGACTCACCCAATGCTAGAAGATGGCAAGAGATGTCGATTGAGGTCCGCAGGTGGATCTCGTGGAACTTGAATCCAATCCTTGTGCGCATGATTGTGAAAGAGATTCCTCGAGCTGAGCTGGCTGACGAGTTCATGTTGGGGGCCGACACGGTCCTTCGGGAGCTTGCCCGCAGTCCCGAGCAGGACTCAGGAGATGTCTCCGATGGTTTGTTCAGTCTCATTCGATGCGAGCGAAGTGATTATTCTAGCGCCCGGCAGTTCGTTCACCGTATTATGGAGTATTACACACACACCTTGAATATGAAAATGGGAATTCCGCCTTTTGTTCCTCTGCTGCTTTTGTTGAACGCAATTCAGCGTGATGTGGGAGAAGCATTTGTCAATGAGAGATACGATCAGCTGGAGAGTATGAACAACGTTGCCCAGGATGTCACCAAGGAACACTTTGAAAACGTTTACTTCGATGCCTTGGAGCACCTTGACTCGATGGGTCAGACAGCTGAGGAGGCTTTTCATCCATTGACTGAATGATGGTGTGTGATGATGATAGATGATGGAAGTCTGAGACCGACACCAGAGCACAAGAAAGACATGGCTAGCCTTTGTCGAGGGGTGGCCACTGGCCCTACAAAGGAGTGTTTATTCGGCCATGAAGATGAAATGCAAAGTGTGACGAGCTTGAGAAGGGGACGATGGCCACGATATGGAGGATGTTCTCCAAAAGGTTGTTTCGAACAGTTGATCAGCCCGAGAGGACAAAATGTGAAGGCACACCATCAATTGCTTGTAGTTTACATCAAATGAAGTTTGTCAAGTTTATTCAACACAATTATGCGCATTAAAATAAACTCAAGGTTCCCTGCGATATGAAAGTCGCCCCACACTGAAACCACGGCACTTGGCACCAAGCAATGATTCAGCGCCAAGAGATTTGCCAAGCTGAGGGGCTATGATTGGCTGCTGATTATGAATAGTAGAGCACTGAATCATCGTTTGGCGGAAGCTTCCGTGTTGTCCATCACGTTGTCCATGCAATGGAGGCCCTAAATTAAACACTTTGCCGGCTTGACCGAATTTTGTCAATTTATGAACCACTTTCATAAGCATAAGGGCATTTATGATTCAATACAAGCAGTAGGAATGCCAATGTCGGCGAATGAATCAGAGAAACGGGCATCCTCCGGGAATTTATACAAAGCCCCTCGGATATCGCCCTGCTGATCATAACCTGAAGTGTATCTTTTCTTAGAATTTTTGCTTTTATATCTGATCGATCCTTCCTTCTTTGCCACTCATTTTGGACTATTTAACCTTGCTTCTCCTTGGCACGCCCATCTATTTCCTTTCCCTCTATACTACCCCCAAACACCAAGGACATTCATTCCTGTTTATATACCGACAAACATTTGTCACTCATCATGGATACTCTCCAGAAAGAGTCCATCTCAAATCATGGAACCCTCAACGAGGCGGACAGTGTCAGAAACCTAACCCCGGACCTCGAAAAACAGTCAACAAACCAAACCGCCGAGACATCAACACAAACCAAACAAATATTCCCAGAAACCGACCTCAGCCGCGGAATAGTAGGCTGGGACGGACAAGATGATCCCAATAATCCCCAGAACTTCGCCCCCAGCAAAAAATGGTCCTTGCTCGCTCTGATCAGTGTTATGACTCTGATCTCCCCTCTTGCCTCGAGCATGTTCTCACCCGCCATCTCATACGTGGCGATAGAGTTCGGAGTAACGAATGAGACAATATTGTCTTTCAGTGTCAGCATCTATATCCTCGGATATGCAGTGAGCCAATCCAACCCCATCTTCTATGAAATCCAACCCATCTAACCTGACCGATCTAGTTTGGCCCCCTTCTACTTGCCCCTCTGAGCGAAGTCTACGGCCGCCGCGTCGTCCTCAGCGGTGCAAACTGGTTCTTCGTGGTCTGGCAAATCGGCTGCGCACGTGCAAACAGCATCGAGACCCTTATCGTCTGCCGTCTGTTCGCCGGAATCGGCGGGTCAGGATGTATAACACTCGGCGCGGGTGTAATCGCAGATCTATTCCCGCGGGAGCAGCGCGGCATGGCAACATCCGTCTGGGCTATGGGACCACTGATTGGACCTGTGATTGGGCCTATTGCAGGTGGATTCCTCGGAATGGAAGCTGGCTGGCGCTGGGTATTTTGGTTACTGCTTATTCTGGGGGGTGTGGTGTCGTTCGGGGTTGAGGTTCTGAACAAAGAGACCTATGCCGATGTTCTTATTCGGTGGAAGACTGAGAAAGTAGCCAAGGAAACGGGGAGAACGGATTTGCGGAGTGCTTATGACACGGATGCGGAGCATGCTGGTTTGGGACAGATTCTGGTCCAGAGTTTCAAGAGGCCTATTTTGCTGTTTGTGAAGTCGCCGATTGTCTTCCTTCTCTGCATTTATATGGTGAGTCTGAGCTTCGTGATACACAAAAACTCCTTTCCAAAATGTAGTTCGCTAACATTCTATCTCTAGGCTTTCATCTACGGCCTGCTTTACCTCTTCTTCACAACTATCCCAAGCGTCTTCACTAAGACATATGGCTTCTCCGTTGGGCTATCAGGACTTGCATATCTCGGTATTGGCTTTGGTTTTATTGGCGGTCTAGCAATGATCGCCTTCACAAACGACCGGATGGTTTCGGCAGCTACAGCAAAGAACGGCGGCAAGTTTGAACCCGAGATGCGCCTCCCAACGATGATCATCTTCGCCTGCATCCTTCCAATTAGCTTCTTCTGGTACGGGTGGACTGCCGATAAGCACGTGTTTTGGATCGTGCCTATTATTGGCATGTTTCCATTTGGTGTCGGCATGATGGGCGTGTATATGCCCATCCAGACATATATCATCGATTGCTATCCCAAATATGCAGCATCCGCCAACGCCACTTTGACAGCCACGCGCTCCCTGGTTGGAGCTCTGCTTCCCCTTGCTGGGCCGAAGATGTTTGGTAATCTGGGTATCGGATGGGGCAACTCGTTGCTTGGGTTCTTGGCTTTGGCATTCATCCCGGTTCCTATCCTCTTCATCAAGTACGGCAAGGTGATTCGGGAGAAGTGGCCTGTGGATCTTGATGGCAAAAAGGCTTGAGCTGCTACTATATTCAGGGGAATCTTACTCCCTACACATCCACCTTGTCTCTCTCCATGATCGGGATAATGTTTCAACGACCCACTAGAAGGTGCATCTGCGCAATTCATATAGTAGAGCTTAATAGAAAATTAATTCTTGTACACGACTATGGTCATTCATCAAAAAAGTTCAACCACGATTTTATTAATATCCATCCCCTCCACAAGATCTGGATACCGTCTAATAAACTCTGCCGTAAGCCCCCACCCACTCTCACTCATGATCGTCTCATAAAACTCCTTTTTCATGCATAACTCGTTCTGTTCATTGCGTTCAAGAACCGTCTCATTCCAAGGCCATCGAAGTTTAACACAACAAGCCATGAACCCGAACAAACCATCCCGGTCCTTGCCGTAAACATGCCACCGCCGAATTAAATTCAGCCTCAACCTTGGCCACGGTATGAAATCCAACACGAGCGGATGCGGAATGGTCATCTGGCCCTGCACAGGCCTGAGAAATGCAGGGAGTCGACCATAAGTCTCCGGGCTGGGCGCGATGACCCATCTCGAGAAGTGGTAAGTCAGCCAGCCAGTACCCAGTCGCTCCGGACCCCGGACTGGGCGGCGTTGCAGGGCCATATGAATCTGGTCTGCTAGCGCGTTTGTTTTCGTGCCGTATATGAAGTCAAGAGGTGAATTGGGAACATCTGGGCATGGGATTACCAGCTCCGGGTAGAGGAACCACGGACAGGAGATCATGGTGCGTGTGCCGAAGTCGTCAGTGTGTGGCGGGATTTGGTTCCACAGAGGCGTGGTCACGGCGGAAAGAGGCTCCAAAGAGGGGGATCGTTTTTGGCGTGGCGTTGATGCAGCCGAGATGGGGGCGTTGAGAAGGCTGCTTATACCATGCGGGGGTATTGAATCATTGAAGTTCGTTTGGAGGGAGAATTGGGCTTCTCGATTGCTCATCTCCTTATACAGAGATGACAGGTCATGGCTGGAGTCATCGGTGGCGGCCGGTTCCTCCAGTTCTGTCTCCCAGGAGTTGACCAGAGATTTCAAGCTCTTTTGGCGCTTGAGAAGAGCTTCATTTTGCTTGCGGAGCCCTTCAATTACTTGGAGAAGGCGTTGCACGCCTTGGTCGTTGTGATGCTGTTCACAGTACGCCACCTGTTCTTCAAGCTGGGATGTATGTCGCAGCTTCTTTTCTCGGAGAGTTTTCTGTGAGCGACGATCTCGAAGGCGCTTTTTCTCATTGGAAGACATTGCTTCGATGCTTTGATGTCGTGGAACGACGGGATCGGCGGATTTAAGGTGCGATATCTGCATAACTTGACATAAGTGGATTATGCATAATAATTATGCAGATATCTACAAATTCATACTTCGACTATCCTTTGTGCCATTTCTGTGTCTGGTTGATGCAATTCTTGCTTCAATGCTCTTATTTTCTAGCAATCTTCCCATGATATAATAGCACCAGTGGGTAAATTGAATTGGAGACTTCATTGGTTACGTCAACACCTAGGAGAGCAAATTAAAAATCCCCCGAGGAGGAAGAAAGTCGACAAATATGTCAGGTAACGCTAGGTCTCAGATATTGAGGATAATGAGGTAGACATTCCTTCACAACGCAGTGAGAGACATGAACCTTGATCCCCTTCAACCCCAGTGTTATTGGAACTCATCGAAAGGTGCGATCAGACGTTCAGCATCCGGCGTTGTCCTGGGGGAATGCAGCTCACTCGATGTTCGCGCCACTGGTCACGCTGGCAGTCCTATGAAGAATCAATACCCATGAACACAAGTTAGACGACTCGTTTGTATCTTGCTTACCTTGCCGCAGTACGTTGCAACTATACACTTCTTGCATTGCAGAAGCTTGCGACCGATGTCTTCCTCGATATTTCCACACTTGAAACAGCTATCAAGGTCGTTAGCATGAAGTGTCTTCATCCATCAGTCTTCCAGTCAAACTCACCTAGGCGCCTGGAAACTACGTGCAACCCCGGGGCGGTAGTGATCTAAGGCAGCCAGGAACTGAGCCCTTCCCGGAGCTCTAAAGCCGTGGTCGTTGAAGAGTGTGTGACGGGAGGTACAGTTGATTTGGGGCACTAGATCACGCAGATGCTGGAGATCCGCTGTGTTGATGCGAGCACCGGCTCGCATCATGAGAGCACCCAAGATGATAGTGCGGTACTTAGATTCTTGGAAGAGGTCATCTGGGTCCGATTCCTTGGCGCGACTAGCAGCGAACATCCGTTCTCCGAAGTTGCTAGTGTTGAGTTTCTGGCGGATGTACGGGACAATGACGTTGGCTAGCTCATAGGCATATTCGGCGGTCCTGTAGACAACAGCAGCCTCCGGTGGAGCCAACATGTCACTTTGATGAACCATTGCACTCAACCTGTACTCCCACTGACCTGTCTTGATGCCTAGAGTGTCGTCGGAAATGGAGATAACGATGTCAAAATCCTGGTCGCCTTCAAACAGACCTAAGATAGACGTTAGTTAAACCAGAGGGAGAGTAAAAGGGACGATACTCACGCCATCCCCATCGACCCATGATTATCGTTTGATCCGTGTCACTGTTGGGCTGAGCCTGATGTTGAGTGACTTGAAGCCTGGGACCCGAATCGCGATAGAAGAAGGTCAGTGACAGCAAGGTAATTGGATAATAAGGAAAGTTATGAGATGAGTTTGTGGATGAGAAAGTAGGAGAAAGTGGAAAAAATGAATCCACGAAGAAAGAGGAAGATGCGGTCTGCGACAATGGAGATAAGGCGTAATAACTCGTTTGCTTGACTTTGTGAGACATCGTGGGATATAAAAGCCTGCTATTGCCTGTTTTGTTCACGATTGACTCAATTCTATCAATTTTGATTATATCCCTGATTATATACACGGTTTCTAATTTTGCATCGCCTTCATATACATCAGTAAAGTCTTATGCCGTCAAGGACAGACGCAGCAAAGCAACCGACTATTCTTGAACAGTGCGTACAGATATCAATGGAACCAGGGGAAGCCCAGATCATGGCGGTCAACGGAGACTTTCCTTAGGTATTCACTGGTAGCCTACATACCCGGGCCAGTCCAGAGTATGCAAACCTAGTTGATTCTAGGCTGTTTGTACTCGACCCGATGGCATAAGGCATATGCATCACTCGGCTGTTTCTCAACAATGGACATAGAGGCCGAGGTTCAGTCAAGGACCGGGTCAGTGACCAAAGAGGCTTGTTTCACACAGAGATTGCAGCTAGAAATCCGCAGATGTCCACTACGTCGTGATGCGACAGGGTATCCACGAAACGGCACTTTTATAAAATTCCATGAGATGATCATCCAATGGATCCTCAGAAAGAATGTCGGGGGCTTATAACCTCAACGGCGAAAAGAAGCGGCGTCAGTCGATCGTATGAGAAGTTAACGAAAAGCTGGAAGATGGGACAGAACGGGAGAAAGGCGAAGAGACGAGCAGAACCTCGCCCGAAGGGTCAAAGAGTCAGGCACCAACAACCAGGTGCCAACAACCCATTTTCCCCTAGCCTTTCGTGTAGTCGACTCAACATCTTCTCAATTGCTCCACAAACTCCAGAAATCCAATTCAATCAGCCAGTTTTAGACATGTGGAATGCTCATCACCCATTCGACAGTCGTATACGAGCCGACCGGAAGAGCTCTCAATGATGTGAAAGCTAGGACCATCATAGCCAGACGCAAAATCCCGTATATGGCGAAGCAAATCAATTCAACAAGCAGGATTACCCGATACCAAAAGCCCTTTCGTGCATTGAATGCTTTAGTATAGAAAGGAAACAGCTTTCTTGACTCAAACCAAATCACATACATAGGTATGGTACTCGCGAAACTGTAGATACCAACGATGACAACGCAGGCAAGCGATGAGACAAGCCAAGTAATTCGTTCAGCTCCAGTGGGGAATGGGAAATTCCATCTAGAAAGAAGAAGAATATATGTTAGTAAATCAACAGTAAGAAACTGACTATATAGTTAGTTAAGGGTAGACTAATATTTACCCGGCGAGATGAATACCACAGTAAAGGAAAGCAACAAAGGTATTGACAGCGGTTATAATGCATCCATGAGATGGCTTATAGAAACCATCATAGGCCAATTCGCCTGACGTATCAGCAGGACCTGCAGCTGCATCAAAAAACCACTCAGAAGCCTGTGCAAAAACAGACAACATGGTCTGTTTCTTTTCTTGTGCATGACGGTGAACCCAACCATACGGATTTGTGGCCGTTTGATCGAGAAGGTGGGTCGGTAAATTGTTTAGATCGCATCTCACATAGATCGTGATTGGTGTGGTCATATCCTTAGGGTTGTACCACCACATAGCGTACATCAGTACAGCACAGGGAACATAAGCGACTGTCGCTAGTTCGATTGGTGCAACCGGCAGAGATGTTGCCCATCTTGCTATTGTGTTGAAAAGGAACCAACTAGTTTGGAGTACAGTGAAGGTCTTCCCTAAAGAATCTGCTTTGGCATGATCTTCAACCTCACGATCGTGAAAGTCTATGTCTTCCACTATCCCGGCCTCAATGAAGGGTTTCATATCGCTTCGTCGCAGGATGTAAATCCACCCATCCTGGGTCTGTAAGGCAAGTCCACCAGCAATAATACAGAAACATTTTCGAAGTGTCCACTCGGTGCGGAATGGATGGGGACCAGTAGAGTCTTGGTTTTGCACTTGATCTAGTGGCCTAGCCCGTTTAGACAACCAAGCCTCCGGGTCCACCGACTCAAGATACCGGGTTTTCTGCGCTTCATTGCACACATTCTTCAATAGCATTGCTCGGTAACGCATCTGTGAAGCGTTTACGAACACGTACTCTGGGAAAAAGATAGCGAGGAGCCAATATGCGAAATTCGATATGATCATTCGCACAGTGGGCGAGTTTCGTCGAGGGAGAGCGGGGTGTAATACTGTCCAGGTGCAGGCAAATACCGTTGACAAACAGGACCACACCAGAGCAAATGTGGAGCGGCTGTTATCCTCTAACTGCCAGCTGACTAGAGCTGTTGAGTTAGAAGCAGCCATGGACCGGCCTATGAAAAACACGAGACCGAAAAATAACATATTGCTCAGAAATCAGCCGAGGAGACCTCAGTCCACGGGTGTGAACGCGGCTTCCTTCAGGTTGTTCTCGATTTGGGGATATAGGAGGGTGATTTACAGTCACGTGAAGTATAAGGTCCTAATATTCAAATCAAATGTGACAGAAAGCTGGTGTACGAACAATGTATGGTATAGATGACCAATGTTGAAGACTCTAACTAAATTGACAAAACCCGCTTTTTCAATAATCTATACGGACCATGATGACTAACTGTAATACGCACTTTTGTATAGTATGCCTGGTACCTAATTTCATATGATGTTTCCGGTATAATACCTGGTTTCTACCATGTATTCGGACTTGGTATTCGACAAAATGTCTACAATCTTCAAACTAGCGCCTTGGCGCTGGGCGAGACTGGAGAGTGCAAAGCGGTGGAGCTAGTTTTGCCCTTAGCTGAACTATCTGAGAGTGTTCCAACAAAGATGAACAAGGATGGCTGCCAGAATATATTCATCGCCCCACAGCCCCAAACCAACATAACCCTAAAATGGCACCCATTACAATCGCCACAGGTGGGGGCACATGGAACCATGCACTCCCTGCATATGTCACCGTTGCAACAACCACCCACCATGGTTCTTTCCCCAGACTCTGTCCATCACTTCTTTCATGAGTCAGGTATCCGATCTCCCACAAGCGGTATACAGCTGTAAATACTAGCCCAACCGCAGTGGCATTCACTCCTCTAAGAAAGTCGACCACATATTTCTTCTTCCGCAATACACGCCAGAAGCCTTGGATTGCAACGGCCAGTGTAATTCCCGGAAGGAAGATTCCTAAACCGCCGAGAAACGCACCGAGGGCTGTCGGAAAGCGCGAGTTCTGTAGTGCTAGTGCCCCCAAGAAGACAGCGAAGTTGAAGTTAGGACCGGGAAAAGCTTGGATAATAGCAAGGCCGATTAAGAAGTCTCTACTAGAGACCCAGCCGGGATCGACGACATAGGTGCGTAAAAGGGGAATGACAACAGGTCCTCCGCCAAAGATAACAGTGCCAGCAAGGTACATATTAGCAAAGAGGTCGAGGACTAATGGGGGTGTGGTGATCTGGGCTCTGGCAACAAGAATTCCGATGAAGGAAGCTAGCTATATTAGTATTGATTCGCGGAAATTTTGTTAGATGGGGTATGTATATACCAAAGAAGATCCCCATGACTAAAGCTCCGACCCGAATTCGAATAATATGCTGTTGTGAAGCAGCTTCCGCGGACTGCGCTGATCTTGTGGTATCAATTGTACTATGTGGGAGTCCTTCGGTTCTAGGATCCATCCTTCGCTGTCGCGTCGTCTCACTCCTCTGCAATCCGTTCTCTTCTAAAGTTATATCGTCCATGGCTATAGGGGCCCCATTTGTCACGTCTTGTTCTGGGCGACTATGTCTATCCTTCGATGCGATCTTTGCTCTCCGAATTTGTTGATATAACCATCCATCCCAGACGCTCGTCAGAAAGCCACCAATAGTCATCAGCACGGGAAAATACCAGAGTGCATTGTAACAGAGACCAGCACATGCGCCAAAAATCACAAGGATGCGGGATAGTTTGTCGCGAATAGCTTTTTCGGCCAATTGTACGGCTGCAAGTGCAACAATACCTACTGTGGAGGCGTTGAGACCGGAAAGTAAAGAGTAGACAGGTTTGGGTAGGGTTTCACTCATATTTTGCACCCCAAGCGAGAGAGCATACATGCCAATTGCACCAGGAAGACTGACATTGTTAGTTGAAGATCAGCAGATGACGGGCTTAGTAACTTAATGGTATAAATCACCTCCAAAGAAAAAATGCAAGCATGGCAGGAATAAATCCTGCATGTAATAATACTAGGCAGAAAATCATCTTCGTGCTAGCGGGACCCGGAAGGCCCTGACAAACAGCAAAGAGCTCTTGATACTAGGAGATCCGTTAGAAGGCCATATGGCGCTTAATAATATGGAAGTAAGATTCTCACAGTCTGTTCATCTACCCATTTTTCCTTGTTGCCCTTTCCCTCCACGAACCTACTATGTAGGATCTGGAAGTGTACTGGTGGCCCGCCGAAGGCAGTAAAGCCTAGATCCCAAGTACGCAGAAAGACGTCCCACAAACGACTTGACATAGGTTTTTCCGGTCCCTCATTTCCCCTCAAACCCCCGCGGCTTCTCCATTTGGAATTCAGCTGGACGAGAGAAGAGAAGCATTGCGAAAAGGGGGAGAGAAGTGGCATACTCCTCCTTGACAGCTGCGCGGATTCGCCAAGTACAAATGGTAATAGATATAAGGAGGGTTAAATCTTCTCAAACGTGCACGAGTGTTGCTGTATGTGAACGTTCACCGTACCTTCCAGGTCACCTTGCCTGAGCGGAAATTTGAAACAAGCCAAGACGTTTAGTAAGCTCGTTAAAATCCCGGGGTCAAAATAACCAATCAATGATAAGGTAATGAAGCACGTGTTGTACCATGGTTCTAGGAAAGTCTATTTGGACTTGAATGTTATTGGCATTACCAAATTGAGAAGGCGAGACCAAGCAAAGAATAGAAAGCATATGGTGGATGGCGAAGAAGATGATAGAGAAAAAGTAAGTGACCGAAGAAGATGTTAAAAGGGAAAGAGGTCTGCAAATCTTGGAACCCATAAGCTGTAGTAGTTGTTTAGCTACCTAGGTATGTCGATGCCTATGTGGGTCACCCAGATGTGGACCAAATTTGGAGCTTTTGTTGGAAAAACACAGGCTATTTTACCACTAGACCACAACAAAAACCAAGGTTCCTGTTTATGGCCTAGAGGAGCCTTATTCCATTCTGACACAAAATAGCAATGCCCCAATAAAAAACGAGCGCTTTGAGGATGCAGTTTATGAGACATCCGAGTCATTTGAAATGCCTTTATTATCCCCAATTGCGGACTTACCACAGCAGCAGGTCGGTTTAAAGCGAGCATATCATGCTATTGATGAGGAGTAACCTACGTTCAAACGGCGACAGTTACAGGAATTGCGACGAGGAGGAGTGCTGAGAGTCTACGGAGGGGAAAGGGTTCTGTAACAGGAACAAAATGACCACAGAGCGGTGGCGGAAAACGGGGAGTCTTCGTTGTCATCTAAAGAAGAGCGACGCAAATCACAATACCAATTAGTAGGCAAGAAAGCTCGTCTATCAAAACTTCGGATCTGTTTCCAGTCGCGCATGAATCGACAGGCGAAGACATGACACACCTAAGGGGGGGGGAAATGATGAATCCTCGTGTCTTTCACACAGAAAGAATCCTTGGAGGATTGATCATCAGAAGAGAATGAGGACGACTACTCCGAAGAAGAAGAGCTGACAAAGGAACCCAAGGACAATTCGAGGGGACTGATTCAGCTGTCAGACGATGAATCTTCAGACGAAGAGTCAAAGGACTAACCAGAGGAGCCAGAGAAATAACCGGTGAGAAAAGTCGAGTCTCAACTGAGATGCGAAGAAAATCCCGAATGGCCGATTAAAATAACAAGTGATGAATCCTCCACGGAGTCATCAGAAGACGAATCTTCCGAAGAAGACTCGGAGATGAAGACATAGGGTGAGATATCAACTGCTCCTCTTGTCGGTCGTTGCTAGGCTGTTCGTCGTGTGGTTCGGAAGATGAGAATGGGGCAAATATCTATGCCAGCAACCATAATGTAATGCAGAGAGGGTTTGAACATTTGCTGGCTTTTATTTTGCTTCGACGGCTACACCTACAAGGCTATGTTCTCTGGTCTGTCCCCTTCTGTCGCTTGTACTACTCTAATCACAAGAAATTGCTTCTAGGCCCGTTAGGTCGGTTTAATTGTAGTATTCTGTACTTTCTGACGTTGGGTAGTAGTCGGCAGTAAAGTGAATCAAGTGATAAATAAGACCCGTCCGTTGAATATCCCTCGAGATGAATGCAGACAATTGCAAGTTATCGAAGTGATACATCCAACCATATATCAGTCAAATACCAAGATAAGTATGCGCCTAATTTACTCTAGATTATCCTTCGGGGTGATGCACCTATTGCTGCTAGTAATCCCCCTTTGCCATGCACTGGTTGCAGAACCCTCCATCCCTGAAGTCGACGTCGCCATAATAGGTGGTGGCCTATCAGGACTCTCCACCGCCAAAAGTCTCGCAGCAGCGAACAAATCCTTCGCCATACTAGAAGCACGAGACCGAGTCGGTGGCCGCGTGCTCAATGCCAACCTCACAGGAAATATCATCCAAGAACTAGGGGCCGAATACATTGGACCAACACAAAACCGCGTGCTGGCTCTCGCAACCGAACTGGGTCTACCAACCTACAAGACATACACAGTGGGAAAATCAACTTTCTATCGAAACGGCACGGCGCGTCATTATCAAGACAGCCTAGGCGGTATTCCTCCCGTGGGACTAGACTCCCTAGTTGAACTTGCAGTCTTCATGAACGACATCAATACTCTGGCTAGCATAGTCGACCTGGAAGCACCATGGAATACCCCGAACGCCGCGGCGCTGGATTCAATGACTCTAGAAACATACGTTAACTCTCGACTATCGACAGCCGACTCTCGCGTCCTCCTCAATGTTGCCATCCCAGCCATCCTATCAACAGAATTGAGGGAGCCATCTCTGCTCTACTCATTATGGTGCATAGCCGCTGCCGGAGATGAAACCGGGCCTGGAACCATCAATCGTCTCATTGGCGTCGACGGCGGTGCACAGGACAGTCGAGTGAGTGGTGGAACACAATTACTTGCAACACTACTCGCCGAGAGACTTGGTTCGCAAAACATCTACCTTAACACGCCCGTACGCAAAGTCCAGCTCAAAGAATCCCGCTATCTAGTCTCATCAGATAAAGTCACCATCTCAGCCCGACATGTCGTCGTCGCCATGTCCCCGCCTCTAGCAAGCCGCATCATATTCGATGCCCTCCTGCCCGCCGAACGTGACCAATTAAACCAGCGCATGCCATTGGGTGCACTCGGCAAAGCGATTGCGATCTTCCCGAGCCCCTGGTGGCGGGACGAGGGTCTCAACGGAGAAGGTGTTAGTGACACCGGAGCGATCCGAGTGACATACGACAACTCGCCGGCCGATGGATCGTTCGGGGCTATAATGGGGTTCATCGAGGCGGACGAGATGCGCAAGCTGGATACTGCGAGCGAGGACGAGGTCAAGCACCAAGTCAAGGAGAGTTTTGCGAACCTGTTTGGTCCGCGTGTGGAAAATGCTACCGATGTTATCATTCAGCGGTGGGATCTTGAGGAGTTCTCCCATGGTGGTCCTAGTGCTTTCATGCCACCGGGGGTTTTGACGCAGTATGGGTCTTATTTACGGGCTCCGGTTGGGGGGATCCATTTTGCTGGAACTGAGACTTCGCTAAGGTGGATTGGGTATATGGATGGAGCTATCAGTTCGGGGGAACGGGTTGCTGGGGAGATATTGAGGAATTGGTGAAATGGGGGATTTGATTAAGGGACTTTCTTTCGCTGGTGGATATCTTGAGGTTTGGGTAAAAGTGACAGGAAAATTGGATTTTATATCTGAATCTTTGGACGCACATGACTTCTTTGAGACTTGGCTAGGATTATTCTTGTGTTAGTCGCATTATAGGAATGGGTTTAGTCAATGAATATCATCTTTTGGGCATTTCTTCACTGATTTCTAGGAGCCCGTCGAGGCAGTGTTCTGGCATCTCCACTCAGGAGCAAGAGATGAAAGAAGAGATGGAAAGGGATAAACAGAAAAGGCACGGGAGAAAGCGAAAAAAAGGCAATGGAAGAGCGAAAGATAAGGGCGGAGAGAGAGGCACAGAAGAGGCAGCAGAAGGAGAGCCAAGATAGGAAGGAGTTTGAACGACGGAGGGCGAGAGCAAGGGCAGGGGAAGAGCCGAAAGACGTGCTATCAATGTTGCGGGAGATGCTGGACGAGGAGAAGAGGACTGCAGGTCCCCAGACTCAGTCTAAATTCAGAGGGACTCGGAGTTATTGCGCGGCGGGAGGCGTTACAAATAGCTATGGATTGAGTCAAGTTGTTGACACAAAAGAAGGAATGGGAAAAGGAAAGGGAAAAGGAAAGGGAAATAGGAGATAGAGAATTCTGAAGAACTAGGGAATGGTGGTATCATCAGATGCTGAGAAATAATATGTACAATAGGAATTAACACCCTCGAATTGGGAAAGGGAAAAAAAGAATAGTCGGGATAGTATTGGTAGATCTATTAGGGACTAGTACAGGGGATATCATCAATACACCACCGGGCCAAGTGTGGTACAGACTCCAAAACACCCTCGATGCCAAGGTTGTCAGATATTGACACGTTACACTTGCATTAGACGGAGATATGGACATGAACAGCCAAAAAAAAAAGAGAGAGCAAGGTGTGTTTCCAAATTACTCCCATGCATCTCCCCAATCATCATCAACCTCCTCGTCTTTGGGTTTAGTATCGATCTTCTTAGAAGCAACCACAGTCCGAGGCTTAGCGGTGTTCAGCGCTGATCGTGTGGTAACGCTGTTGGTAGAAGCGGCCTTGGTCAGACCCTTTGGCAGGGGATTTTTGGCCTTGGTTTGAGACTTCGCAGCTAGCCAGCCCGCGAAATCGGGCTCACCGCCGTCATCGTAGGGCACCGCGGGGGCTTTGGTCGATGAGGGGACAGGGGATGTGGGTTTGGGAGAGGTTACAGCGGCAGTGAATGGATCTTCGTCTTTTTCATCGTCGTCCATAGCACCCCAGGCATCGAAGACGTCATCGCCCTCTTCTTCAGGCTCGTCGTGGACTACCGGGGCCGGGCGGTCTGACATTGACCGGTTCAAAGGCTGAGCTGCGGGACGAAGGAGAGTTTTTGGTAGTTCAGCTGGGGTTGAGGGTGATGGTTTGGCGGGACGAGGAACCGACGCTGAACGGGTAATATCGGGATCAACAGCCTTGGTAATGTTGGCGGTGGGTTCGATCTCGCCGTTGGCAGTTGCGATTTTGTTTGTGAATGATGAAATGGCCCAGCCGGCCCAGGAGTTGTCATTGGGGGTCCCAACACGAGCATCGGGTTTGTTGACTTCAGCGGGTGCGGCCGGGGGTATGACGGTGTCTGGCATCGTGCTGGCATATTTCCGTGTCCGCTGGACATACAAATCAAGTGTCTTGTTTGCTTGGTCGCGAATCAATCTGTCCAACAGTAAGAATCAGGCCAGAGTTTGGGACATAGCGCATTACTCACTTTTCCTTGTCCAAAAGTCCAGGGCAAATGGCAGGTAGAATCCTAACAGCACAATCTTCCTCGCTAAATACATCGATAGTCGCGGATAGAGCCAAGAGTCCGGCATTTCGACCGTGGACAAAGGGGTCTCTGATAGATCTCGTGAATGCCGCGATAAGTACTTTGGAGCGGGTCTGCATGTAATGTCAGCGGCAAGACCTAGCATGGAAGATAAATCACCTACACTTTGACTTAGGTTCTTTGCAATCCGTCCAAGGCAAATGGTGGTGTTCGTCCGGATCCCAGGTTGCTCATCGTTAGCAGTGCGGGCAAGGAACTTCAAAAGTTCTCCATTGACAATCCTATCATTGAGTTTATTGATGATAGTCAGAACAGCCTTCACTGTCTGTTCTCGAACCACCGGGGCAACATCGGTGAAACCAGAAGTCTATGACATGTTAGTACAATGTGCGATACCTAAAAATCGAATGGATTACCATTTGAGGGAAGATCTTGTCGTTGACAACCCTCTGGGGGAGGTTGTCGATCATTGATGGAAGGCTATCCAAGAGGCAAACCCGCAATGCTCGATCAGGGTTGCCAAATAAGCGCACAATAACAGGAGTCAGCTTAGCATTGAATTCTTCTGCCGACAGCTTTTCTCCAATCTTCAGGGTGGCTGAAAGAACTTTCGGCCCACCGCCGCCAAATTCGACAGACTTGAGTAGCTCGGGAAGCACCTTCATCTTGAAGAATTCCTCTGGGAAGTCATCAGAAAGATTTTCAAGCTCACTGCAAGCGGCGACATGTTAGCCGCAAAATTGTTCAGATCTGTGGAATATACGCACTTAATAAATTCTTCACGCTCAGCGTCACTCTTGAGCCCCAAGCTATCGATGTCTTCAGTCATTCGAATGAGTGGTGTCTGGAAGAATCCACCTTGTTTCTTTCCCTGCTCCACGAAATGCCCCGGGCTCAATCGAAGCTTTGGGTTGGCGGTGCAAAGACGTTTATAGCTTGGCTGCATGCTAGGAGGAATATTCGTGGTCTTGCCAGCTTGGTCGCCGCCTGAGAAACCCCCATTGAAAACCTCAAATATCAAGATACCCAACCCGTAGGCATCGACTGCTGCCAAAGGATTGCGCTTGATAGTATCCCAGCCTGTTTTGACAACTTCCGGGGGCGTGTATCTACCGGCATCGGGCACACTACTTCCGTACGTCTATGCATTGAGTCAGTATATGGCATCATTCGGAGTGTGTCCTGAAAAAGCCCGAACCAAGACCACTCACATATATAATCGCATCGTCTTCCTTCATAGAGCTCAGAATGTCGAATCCTCCCAGCTTCCATTCGCCGCTCTCGCTCGTGAACACCGAGGATGCGCGCACGGCGCCGTGAACTGAGGAAGCATCGTCGTTGATGAATTTGAGGGTAGTCTGTCCAGAAAAATCCTGTTCAGCAATATCATAGTACCAGATTTTGAATAATATCATACCGCCACAGTACACAACCCCCACTTAGCCGTCTCCTCACTCAAGCTCCGTCGCTTCACCGGCCAGCTGAGTGGCACGACTCGTTCTGTGACAATATAAAGATTGTGCTCGGTCTATCAACATGTAAGCTTCTGCACTATATTCCGACATTCAGACTAAAGGTCCGAGAGCCAAGTATACCTCAATCGTATCCAAAACCTTGATAACACCAGGATGCCGCAACGTCCTAGACTTGCGCACCGCATTTTTCGCAAGAGGGAGGCGCGACTTGTTCGCATTGACATCAAACACAAAGACACTGCAAGCGGAACCGTCATCCTATATGTGCCACGGCATCGTCAGCCGTTGAAGTTCGTCCCGCATGGAGAAGAAACCAAAAAGCCACCGTACCCGTTTCGTACCGTTGTGCAGAGCCCAAACCGAATCACCGATGTCGACTCTGTCGCCGAGGGAGAACGGGAGCCCTCCACCCTTTGCGATGGCGGATCCGATGGCTGATTTCAGGAAATCCATGGCCGCGGTGTGGCCAATGTGGCAGCTCGGGAAGTTGTTTGGGGTGTCCGGGGTGCGCGAGTCGGGGCGGCCAATGGCCAAGGGGTCGATATGCGGCCGGGTTTTATGATTAGATCGATAGCTCTAGATAGTGACTGAAAAATGATCAGAGACCAGATACAATGTTCTTGTAAGTCAGAATAGCCAGACCCATTGAACGCCAAACTCCTTTCACCCCGCCTTATCGTGATAAACAGTTCTTGCCTGAGGCCACCACGTGCTCCTATAAATAAAGCTCCGCTTTATCTTTCTTTTCTTCATCTCCATGCCACGATCCCACGCGTCTAATTTTGTCGCCGAATGACACTGAAACTTACGATACTCAACCCACTGAACTTATTTTCTTCCAGCCAACACTCACCCACACACCAGTCGACAGTCGACAATCCTATTGATTGACCAGTAAGTCCGCCATTCCCTTACCCATGCGTGTACACACAGTACACAATTCAACCAGCGACACAAGTTGCCCTCCCTCTCCAATGATGCGAACTCTGGTAAAAGGTCAGACCAATACCACACAACACCACAAAAGAATACTCACCCAGCAAACCCGATGGTACTCCCGCAAATTCCAAAACCCACGCAAAACTCCACAAACCGACCGCGGAGCGAACTTCAAGAGCTACTACCCGGCGCGCACGAACCAACCATCTCTTTCCAGACTCCGCGTCTATCGGACCAGCCATGATGGTGCCACAGCATCACAGCACTGTGCCCAGACCACGACGACACCCTCCTCCGATCACACTCTCAACAACCAACTTCACATTGCATCATTCTCCCCACTCTTCCAGCAGGACACATACGTCTCCCATCAGAATGCTGGTAGCAGCAAGATCCTAGCCAGCACTTCCATGGCTCGTGGCCACGCCGGACAAAGTGGCGTTAGTCCTGGATCATGGGAGACATTGTGTACATCTATGCCTCTACCCGTCCTAAACCGGTACCGCAACTGGGCTTGGCGCGTGTGCGCATCGCTTAGAGCTCGCTTTCGACTGCTGTAATATCCCTGTATATTGCGGTGTTGATTGCTTGAGGACCGCCTCAGGATCTTATCCTGGGGTGTTATGGTGATAGCGTGTACGGTGTCGTGTCTATGGCGCGAGAAAGTATGGGAAACGGGGAGGTGGCGCCGCTATCTGGGGTTGCCGTGTCCGCTTCACTTCCATGAGGACGGGTTGGCAACCAATGGCTGTGGCGTAAAGGGTACGAGGGTTTGGGGATTAGGAGAAGGAGGGTTTGGGGTGATTTGGAGTTGGACGTGTTCTTGCTGGCGACGTTCTGTTAGCTATGCGGAACACGGACTTCTCTATAGTCTTCTCTCCGACTACTTGGGGAGTGACATTCCTGGCTGCTCTCTTTCTTCCTTTTCTCTTTTTTATCTGCTGTGAATAGTGGTGTGGGCGTGTTGTTGTGGGTGGTTGGAAGTTGGGAGACGGAGAAGTGTGTTGATTGAGGTGTGGGCTGGAGGTATTTGGTTTTTGTGATGCTTGGTGGTGTCTCGGGGGTTTGTTCTGGGGCTTTTTATGGTGTGGTCAGAGGAATTTGCAATGGGATGAAGCACCGCGGTGGGTTGATGTCTGGTGTCTGTGGCTTGGATGATGACGCTGTTGAAATTAAACCTGAGGAGATACTTCCCCTTGCACTTGACTCATTATTCATTGAAATGGGGTGATGTGCAGCTGCTGACATCTGCCACAGGTTATCTATCATTGCCGATATTTGGTTTGGATTCATTATACGATTTAGATGTTGAGTGTCAATACAGGTGGTGACGCTGGGGTGCTTCTATATAGAATACAAGAATGGTCGGCCCCTTATGCAGCCTTGGTACATATTTCTGAATGTATTTTTATGGTATGGTTCTTTCTTGATATTTCAGGCGAAAACTGCTTCACTATATATAAACTACTTTCATCTACACAGAATGACGGAAATTTTCAGATAACCATTTCATTGCCAGGTGGCCGGGGGTCTGCTGGAGCTATCTGTACTTGTCAAGTTCACACACATCTTCAACCACGCCTCGCCCACTGCTCTGCTTCCTCCCGTAGACCGATCACCTTCATTCACATCACCATCCGACCAATTGTCTCCATTTTGAGACACAACCCATTGCAGACCTCGCTTCCCTCCGTGGAAGGTACAAGGACCAGTGAGCCCACCAAGTGGACACACAGGCCGCCAACCAACTGAGAAGAAAGCAAGAGAAGAGATAAAAGAAAAAAAAGAAACAAGATAAGAGAAAACCAGAAGAGAACATCTTAGGTAAAAGAGAAACCCTCAAGACTTCAACTCGATGATGACGCATGTGGAGATGTTGTGCACTAGGGAGGCATACGACGATGAGCTAGGTTGGATATCAAGTGCTCGATTTCAATGAGTTCATCGCCTAGAAATTCGGTTTTCATGTACACCACCAGATCGAGATCTGGAAAATAGATAGGCACAACTGGTAGATTGATCTGTCATGTCTGATCATAGGGTTAGCGGATTTTTGCCCAACACCACAAAACTGTTCACTCACCGAGCAAGTCTTGAGACGACATGAAGTTCACCGCAGTATTCAAATGTTTTGAAGGCCGCGTCGATGACGGGGAAACAGATGAAGATACGGTCATGGAAGAGTAACCGGGGTATTTGAGTTGGCGGTTGCCAATAATGCAGAGCGCGGGCAAGTCACAGCTAAGCGATAGGATGTAGCATCGTTCGAGGGAACCGCTCACGGCTTCATGGTCCATGTAGTTCATTTTCCTTCATCCGTTGCCTCAGCTGGGTGGGAAGTTCCAGGGGTTGTTGCTGGGGTATTAGCAGACATCTGGGGGGGCATTTGAGGCATTTGGTTGAAGCCGTTGCTGGGAGTCCGATGCTGGTTAGGTGGGAAATGATGCGGTTGATGAGGACTTGAGGAAAAGTGAGGCTGCTGTGGGTAGTTGCCACGGTTGGGGGGCACTGGGTTGGTTAAAAACTGGAGATGCTTGATGGGGCACTGTAGCTAAACTCACTATGTCCCGATTGCTGAGGATATCCGGGTTGGCCGGGCATAAACATTATTGATTGGGGTGGCTGTCCGGATTGCGAGTTCTGGTGCATCATCATCGGTGCACCTCGGCTCGGGCTTGGGTACCCACTATGCGGCTGAGGTGCATGTTGGGGATAAGCATGGCCCGGGTTCGGGGAGTACATGGGCATCTGTCCGTTATACGGAGTCATGCCTTGCGGGACTCCCATGTAGGGTCCATTCGAGGCCTGCTGCGCCATCATAGGAGCGCCATTCACAAACTGAGGACCACCACCCTGGAAAGGTCTCATGTGGCCAGGTTGAGGACCACCGTAAAACTGCGGAACCGGTTGGGGGAAGGAAAGCTGGGCATGGGGAGCCATGGGGGACGGGTATCCATGTTGCATTCGCGGGGACGGGAAAACCTGGGAGTTTGAAGCGGACAACTGCATGCGGTGGTGATCATCATGGGAGGGGCCATGGGGTCCCTGAGAGTGAAGACCATGGGGTCCATTCGAAGGACCAGAAGATGGCGGCATCGCTGGGTTACCTTGCTGGAAGTGGAAGGGCACCTGATGCTGCTGGGGAATATTGGGGTTGTTGGAGACGGAGCGACCCTGGGGCGATACTGTTGGCACGCCGACTGGCTGTTTAAACATCTGATCGTACGTCTTATCTTCGGTGCCCTCCGCAAAGTCCCAAGTTGGCAAAGTCTTGTAGGGTGGCGGGATACCTCCATTCAACAGAATCAACCTCTCGGCAGTCTCTGCATTCTCCTTCTTCATGCGCTTGATGGGATTGAATTGGTCGCTGATCGATGGGCGTTCAGAGATAGGCAGTGGCTTCCTTGGGCCAAAGAATGCAGTCGGCGTTGTGGCGCGCGACACAGATCGGTTACGAGAGAACGGCCGTGGGCTTGCAGCAGCTCCCGAGGTACCAGGGGTGAAAGTACTTGCTGCGGGGTTTGGCTTGAATTCCATAGCTTTGACATTGAACTTGGTTCCTGCGGAAGACCCGGCCTGCGATTTGACGGGGCTGGTAATTCTCTGCTGCTCGCTGGCAGGACCAGTTGGGGGTCCACGGGCATCTTGAATCGGAAGTGGAGTTGGAACAGGTCCCATTCCCGCGCCCTTTCGTTGCTGCAAATTGTCCGCTAGTCGATGACTGAGCATGCCAACACCAGGACGTCCCGGCGGAACGACTTGCTGAGGGAATCTTCCACCAGCACCCGCGAGAGGCCCGGTGGGAGGATAGCCCTGACGAGTGCGGTTGTAGTTCTGACGATCAGCGGGTGCAGACGGGGGCACAGCTCCAGTGGGTCCGGCACCACGAGCAGGTGGCTGTTGTTCCATGGGAGGTGTGGTAACCTTCGGGGTGGTCTTGTCGTCTCCCTGCTGCAGCGCTCGTTGCATAATTGCTTCCTGCTTCAACCGGTCCTTGGCTAGGATAGGAACAAGGTCTTTCGGCACCGGAGTCGAGAGTTTGAAGCTCTTGGAAAACTTCATCAGCTCGTTGAGTTTCATGGTTCGGTCATATGAGGCTTGGTTGCGACGGCGTTCCTGCATCTTGATTTTCTCGCTATTTGCGAACTGACGGAAATGATCCAGCACCTCTACCTCCACGTTTGCGGTCGCATTTTCAGGTGCAGCTCGCTTTGCAGCCGGTATAGCGGATGCAGTAGATACCGCAGGTGCGACACCCTTGCCCAAGGCATTCTTTTGCTCGGTATCTGTCGTGGGTTGCAGCGATGCGACCAGCTCAGCTTGCTGTTCTGAGGGTGCAGCTTCCTTTGCCACAGTCTGAGAGGGAATTGGGATAGGAGCAGCGGGGACCGGAGAAGCAACAGGTTGCTTGGTGGGTGCACTAGGAGTCGCAGCAGGCTGGGGAGCTGCCTGGCGGCGTCCAGGGGGCATGTACTTGTTTGGCTGGCCGGAAAGTAGGGGAGGGAAGGCTTTGTCTTCGCGGCGAACACCACTGTACTTGTCTTCTTCGTCTTGGTCGCCAGTATCCGGCGCTACAAGGCCACGCTCCTCACGCATGTGGGAGTTGTCCACATCCTGTCCCTCAATCTCACGGGCGATCCGAGCTGCCTCCGCCTGCTTCTGTTTGTAGTTGGGATCCGAACGATCAAGGCGAGTGGTGTAGATGTTCTCATCATAGTTGGTCTTGGCGCCGAAAAGCCGCTCGTTTGCCTCAAACTGGTCCCATCCCGCAGATGTGTTGCTCGTTTCGAGTGACATATCAATGTCAGTCTCGGCAGGTTCCCAGCGCTGCAAGGTGCGCTCTCGCATAGCTCGGTTTCCGGAGATATCACTGTCGGTTCTGAAACCTTGCGAAGCGCCTGTGGTCTAGATTAGTATACACGCAAACGAATCTGACTAAACAAAGCAAGCCGTACCGTTTGGTTCCTTGGCTGAAACTTCGGCTGTGGTAACGTTTGGAACGGCAATGTCGACGACATCCTTAATATCGAACGTCATGGTGTGCTCGGGCGCAGAGCCTATGTACGGAGTTGCAACATCGCTGACACCGTTTATCCGGGGCTGACCCTCTTGCGAGGTTCGCTGGACCATCTTGAGCAGGAACGAAAGTTCGTTGGGCTCCATGGTCGAGGAAGAGAAGATACCAGTAAACTTCTCTCCGGTCTTGGTGGTAATGGTGGTGTGTAGGCCCTAGGTAGCAGTTTAGAATTAATCGACAGTATGGTGGTGCGACTTGGCTTACAATGAAGCTAGCGAATAAGAAAACAAGACGGTCATGAGCATGGCTATCAGGGGTGTTCGACTCCTTCTGGTTGGGTCTCGGGGACCCAGATTGTTTCTGGTGGGTCATATTGCCGTTCGATGAAGTGTATGAAGATCGTTGAGTGATGGGGTTGGTCCCTTGGGTCCAGGCCTTGTGGGAGTTTGTGCGCCTATGCAGTAGAACATGCTTGCGTTAGTGGTAACTGGTCATGAAACAGAGAACGACAATACATTTTTATCATCGAATCCGACGACTTCAATTGGCTCTTGTTGGCGCACAACCCGATGCAAGCCTGCAACAGAGCTCATCGGCTCAAAGGTGCGTGCACGAGCTCAATCGCCAATAAGACAAGGGAAGGGCACGATAAAAACAAATGGGAGTTCCCCAAGTCCGGAGAAGATGGAAATACACAAGAAAATGTTGTCTAAAAGGAAGAGCTGAACATACCGTTGTCCGCCATCGACGGGGCTGCCCGACTGTCGTCGGTTGTCGGACCCCTTGGTGCTGTTACTGGATCTCAGAGTGGATCGGCCGGGGTTGGGGGCACCCGCGCTGGCATTGCCAGACGCGTTGTTGGCCGGCACAGAGTTGAGAGCGGAAGCCATTGATTGACTTTGGTGTCAGTCAGGGCAAGCTTGCGTCGTGGAACTTCGCACGGCGGAAAGCCGCGAGGATGAGGCACGATGCCACAACACACCGCCTGCACAAACAGGACTTGGGGGGGAAGTGAGGGGGAAGGATAAGCAACCACCACACTGTGGAGATACCGGAATGCCAATGGCAAGAAAATAAGGAAGAATGGAAGGGAACAGAAGGATAAAAAAAATAGAGGAAAGAGAAATGGGCTTGTCGCAAGTTGATGGGAGAAGGGGACTGGAGAGAGAAGTCACGCGTATGGTATTGTATTTGTGTGTTACACCCTTTTTCTTTTTTTTGTTTCTTTTTCTCTCTCTTTTTTTAGCGTTGTGAGTGCAAATGTCTTAATAGGAACATTATTGTTGATCTCACAAAGGAATAATATGTATTGTTCTTATAAGTATTCTGTGCTCTTGGACCTCCAACCCTAGGAATAAGCCAATTACCAATGTTACTGCCAGAGTACGGGTCAGGCTGAGGTAGCTCCGTCCATACTATTTGACCCCTCACAGAGTTTAAGACTATATTAACCATAATACAGAATGATGGCATTTGTGCGATATAGGGTCAGGACCCATGAACCCTTTAAGATATATGTATTCATTTCCGATGCATAAAGCAGGGAACTACCAATAGAAACAAGTAAACACGCATGAGTACACATATGTATCCATACATCAACTTGTACAATCAACTGCATTATCGGCCATTCAGAGATTTGTGCTATTATTCAGATCATAATAAGTGATATTTTACTTGATATCTTTCTCTTGGTTGCCACTTTCTGGGGTATATACATACACTCTACCTCCAGATGTCATATCTGAGGTCATAGGTCCCGAGGTCACTATATATATCTGGTTCCATGGGTACTTCTCCGGTGGGGCTTTCCTATTTTAGCTGCCGTTCTATAACGCTCAGCCACTAACCTTGGAAGTAGACCCTAGTGACTCAGTGAGATCTCCTGCAGAGGGGTCCAATATATATACCACCACACAATTAGACTCTCAATTGAAATTATGATCTTTTGGCTAAGGGGTAAAATCATGTTATGTATCAACTGATACAGCCCTGGGTGTGTCCAGGTGGACCTGGGTACCTCCATACAATATAGGCTCATGTGTTGGAACCTCAATATTCCAACTTGGAATATTCCCTGTCAGTATTGCAAAGGCAACATCAGGAGCCGCCCGGGATGAAACAGTTAATACCTTAGATCATCGGCGATCTATATATGTCAAAGTTGTTTAAGAGACAACTAATCGAGTGGCTTTGGATACTAGATAGATCCAACTTCCAACCACATTGCATTCGAGTGTTAGTCAGCGCCCTTGGATTCGCAAATCAATTCGGGTATGC